TCCAGCCTATAAAATTACGAAGACATGCGAACATCAATGCTCAAGCAGTGACACTGATACTACAATAATGCGCTAAAAGTAGCGGATTTACAAAAAGAATCCATCATTGGTTATTAATTACGTAAATCGTCTACAGTTTTACACGTAAATCGTCACTGTGTTGGACAGATGCGGACAAAATTTAGCTGATAAGTGATTGAGAAATGACACAGACTTAAACCTGACAAACTGGTTTGAAACCTCTTTTGCTACAGTCAAATTATAGCTAAGAAGAACGAACTGCAATAAGAAATAATCAAATTTGAGAACATACTGTAACAAAGACCATATCTGAGCCATAAAGAGCCTCTTCAATAACTTCTTTGCTCTCTCTAGCAGCATTCATACCAATCTCTGGATTTCCTCCAGCACCTAAACCCCTAGTCAACTCCTTACCAATTTGTAACCTATTATCAGGTAAAACAGGAGACATTCTCATAGCCTGGATATCAGTGTTCACAATCCAGAACTCCACGCCTGACATTTCACTCTCTATCATACGATTCACAGCATTTGATCCACCACCTCCAACACCAATAACTTTAATCCTTGCCTCATTGTAGTTACTCGGAGCAGATGGCTCTTCAAAATCCTCGACAACAGGTCCAGTAGACGTTTCCTTTCTTGGATTGACTATTGTATTGGTCCCTTCACCTCTAAGCATCGATATTTCCGGGTGAAGGTTCAAGAAAGGATCTTGAGCTTGGCTTTGGAAATGCCGTGGAGAGTTTCTGATTGGCGAAGATTCAGATTTCTGAGCAGCAACAACTCGGTTTTTCTTACTCTCAATCATTCTAATCGAGTTAACTCTGCCTAAATGATTCTCCGGTAAGACATTCTTTCTAAGAACAGTGAGCAACCGAGAATCCGAAGGAGTGAAACACGGTGAAACGTAAGTTGCCATACTGAGACCAACCACTGTAGGAATTTACAAACTCCAGAACCAAAAGACCAAATCCAATTCCAGTGGCTATGTCCCTAACAAGACCTGTTCAAAGAAAGGCTAAGAAGTCAAACCCACAGCTCTCAAGTACACGAAATATCCAGCTTAAGCAATCAAACAAGAGACTATAAACACTTTTTAGCATTACAAATGATAAACAAAGTAGTGTGATTTACATTCTTAAAGTTAACATAAACAAAACCCAGTTGCAATAGATATCAAATCCTCAGAAATTGAGAATTAGTGGATGATTAAAGACTAGAACGATGAAACAAGTGAGGAAACACAAAACCCAAATTAAATTAAAATGCTTTTCGCCATAAGGAATTGACGAAATTGAAGATGGGTATTGCGAAGTTTGCAGCATTACATGAAAACAAAGTTAAGAAATGGAAGAAAGCTGAGAAAAGCTTCGATTTTTGGGTAAATACTGTAAGACAGAGAATGAAATCAAAAGGATAAAGCTGGAGAGACGAAAGTGAAGAAGAGAAACCTGAGAGTAGCACAAGAGTTTGGGAGAGAAAAAGTGAATTGAAGAAGGAAGCTCAAGGTCTAGAAACCCACGAAACGGAGGGTTTTGGTGTTTTCTGACTAAATATCTCAATTCATTAAACCCCCCAATTAAAATAAAATAAATATGCTTTTGTTCTAATTTTTGTTTTTTTTTTTTTGTAAAATTTTGTTCTAATTTATCACTGTTATGTTGGTGTTGGTCAAAAAAATTCTCTGTGACATGAAAAACTTGAAGAAAATGATTATACTTTAAAATTCGTTTCGTGTAATTGCATTGATTTTTTTGGGTGTAAATTTGCTAGATGGCTTTTATGAAGGCAACAAAAAAAAACATTTACAAGAAAAATGTGGTGGTTACATTACATAGTTGGAACAATTAAATCATCCAATAATTAAGGTCATCCCTTGATTTTACAAAAAAAAAAAAAATTGTGGGGAGAATAGCAACTCTTTTCGTTCATATATATACGGCAAAAGAGATTCGAGGTTGTGATATTTCTTATGTTTCATGCTTTAGGAATGGTTTTTGGTTAGAGCTTTCCTTGGATTCTACTTCTCTTAAGTTTAGGTTAAGAGTTCTATTAATTAAGAGTTGATTTTTTTGGTGTTATAGATAGGACTCATTAGCTATCATTATTTTCATGTGTTGATTGATTAATACATGAGAAAATTCTTATTATTGTACTTCTTTGCTTTCGGTAATTCGATTAACTCATAAAAAAGGCTAGATTAACTCGCAATGTAGTATATCACGTAAGTTACGTTGCAGCCATTTAGGGTTGCGGTAGCTTGCGGATAGTCCTAACTACTAAGCACATATATATAGATTAAGGACAAGGAAAAAGAAGAAGAGGATACATGTAGGAGATAATGGAACACCCAAAGCAAATTAACATTATAAACCTCAATCTTACAATGATCAGCGACATTTACAGTGCTGAATTATTAAAAGCCACAAATAAAAAACACACAAGCATGAAGCATGGAACACACATGTAGATATGTGACATTGATCATAAGCAAAGCACACATATATAGGTACAGAATTATTCTCCTTTCAGATTTGGTTTTGCGTCCGGATGGATACTTAACAAGGTCCGTAGCAGTGACAGTGTATCTCGTTGTCTTCCACTTCACATTTCCCAAACCAAATTGGGTTGATTGCCTTGCAAAGAACGTCACACAATGTGCCGCCGTCAACTTCAACACACACACCTTCTTGAGCTTCAGTTTTAAAGCATGTTTGGGCTTCAGCCGTCGGGAGTCCTGTGAACCATTCTCACATTAATCGATTATAATAAATTTATTAAGCCGGAGGAAGTAAATAATTACCGTTAGAAACCAACAAGACGATCATTAAGAGAGCAGAGATGTTAATGAGGAGCTTTGCCATTTTTCTTTGTTGTTGCTTTGTGTTTGCTTCGTCTTCTTTCAATAGAGTAGAGATTGATGAGCTTGTAGCTAACTATTTGAAAGCATATGGTCATTTATAGGGCAAACTCGTTGACTTTAATCTATTTTAAAGCAATGAGAGAGAATAGTTTATTAGTTTTGTGTAATATAGAATGTGTATGTATATATCTATTAATCCAATGTGGAATCATAATGTCGCCATAGTTTGGTTCCATAAAAAAATGTATTGGACGTTGACACAAAGGAAATGAATTGCACGACCTATCCAATGTAGCGCTAATCTCTCTATTTTGCATCCAAAATGTACCCATATCGCATATCTTGGCCCAACAAAAATCAAGGGATATGGATACAAATATACTACACCAAAGTTTGTATCGTATATATTCAAATACAGAAATCGTTTAATATTTTGAAATTAATTGAAATGTTAAATGCCCAGACTCACTCAACTTAAACATAATGAGCACATATTGTGACAATGACATTTTTTTTATAGTAAAATGCCCAGACTTACTCAACTTACTAAATATATGTTTTATCATAGATCTATTATAATCCCATTCAGTTTTCCCTCTCTCTGTCTCCAACTTCTTCATATTCCTATTGTTTGTTTAGAGTGGGCAGCTCGGGGTTCCTCATCAATGTCAACAATCTCTGGTTCGATTTACGCAATTTTGGTTGTGCCCTCGTCTTCAAATTAACTCTCAAAATACTGCTACCATAATTTATATAAACTACAAAGGCTCTTTAATATCAATTTTTAACAAATACGGTAAATGAGAACGCAGGTTTATATAAATTATGGAATTCTCGAATTTTATAAAATGTACATACTTCCTCCTCTCTGAAAACACTTAGCCCAAATTTGGAATTCTCGAATTTTTGGTGGGAGATGAGAAAGCAGGTTTTAGCATTAACTGACACGGCGGCGGCGAGGATTCTCCAACTTCTGCAGCACCAGCAAAAACCTTTCCTCCGCCTTGCTGTTGAAGCCAAAGGATGCAATGTCTTATCTTACATACTCAATTTCGCCCGTAATTTTCCCCTTTTTTTCCCACATATATATTTCTTTATTTTGTTGATTTTTTTCCTCCTAAATTATGTTGAATTTTTATGCTCCTGAGGCAGTTCATTTCGATTATAAAGGCACATGTTATCTTTGCTCACTGTTTCATATTAACTAAGTAATATATGGGTAGATTTTGTCACCTTCCCTAGGAACCTAAAACCACTTGTTTTCTAGCACTTGAACTTTTAATAGATGATTTCGATCATGTGTCCTGAGGTTTTCTATTTGGCGTTGGCTGCTATGATCTTTGTTTTCAGAGGAGAAAGGTGTAAGGATCCTTGTGGATCCGAAGGCGGTATAATGCATGTGATTGGGACAGAGATGGATTTCGTGGACGACAAGCTTAGGTTTGTGCCCTTTCACGTGCCAATCTTGACCCTCTCTTTATTATTACATGATTAACATGTATGTTTATCGTATGATGTGTCACAGGCCACAGGTCTGAGTTTGTGTTCATCAACCCAAACGCGAAAAAGTGTGGATGTGGTGAGTCATTCACGACAACATGAAAGGCAAAATTACATAACATAACAAGACATGTGGTCATGTGGATTTGGTCGACTACCTCTACTACAGTCGATGAAATTCGGTTCTCTCGGAATTTTCTAGGGTTTAGAGTTTACTTGCTTCGTACGGATTAATAGTGATTCGATGAGTGTCTGAATTAGTAAGTTACATGATTACAGAGTCGTCGAAACCAACACGGTTGGCACTGAAGACGAGCTCAGTGCTCTTCCGAAACAGGATGAGGATGCAAGAGGCAAATCAACAAGAAGAAGACAACACTCTACTTAGTTTCTTGCTCTATCTCTATCTCTGTTTCTCTCTAGTTGTTACTGAATGTTAAAAAATGCAGCACTTTAATGTAGTTTGGATCTTGATCTGTCTAGCGTTTGGTTTTAAGTAATTTCTCTTGTCGAACTAGGTCGAACTTCTTGTGTCCTAAGTATCTTTTGTCTTGCACATTGTGGGTCATTTTCCAAGTTAAAGATCTTTGTGGTAGTGCAGAGGATCTAGTGAGCATAGCAGTCGGTTCTATTTTTCAAAGATTGATGATTTTGAAAACACAGAATCATCTTCTTGTTCACAAGGAACAGTAGTAGTAATTAAAGAAGATCAGATGGTGTTCCTCCTACCAACACAGAAAACATCAAAGTATAAAGATTCTATAACCTCATTCCTCAAAGACAAAACAACAACTTAGAAATCATCAGTTTCTCTCCCTCGTTCTGTCTCCGACTTCTTCATCTTCCTATTGTTTGTTTAGAGTGGGCAACTCGGGTTCCTCATCAAAGTCCGCAATCTCCCATTCGATTTCGGCAATTTCGGTTGTGCTCGCGTCTTCAAACTCTCAAAATACTGCAACCATAAAACCAACTACCATTGTAGTTTTCTTCTGACCAAAATACTGCAACCATCTTAGAAATGTATACTCATTAGGTTTTCTTACCTGTTGCTTCCTCTTCCTCTCCAACTCCGCCTGATGAAAACATAACAAAGGCTAATTGTTATAATCAATTTCACAAAAGGACTAAACTCTTTAACGAGATGAGTAAAATACCAATGCATGTTTTAGCTGCGCGTTCTCTTCTTTCAACTGGTTCAGTTCAGCTTCCAATTCCACTGTATATGCCTTCCCAAAACAACAACAACAACAACAACAAACACAAACATTAGTTTTTTTTTTTCTACAAGAAACATTATAAAATGAATGAAAAAGGTCTATATTTACTTGTTTTCTTGCTCTAGACCTCGCAGCAGACTCGCGGTTCTTGATCATCCTCCTCTGCCTTCTTTCCACTACTTTCTCCACTGGACCATCCACTACTCTTTTCCTTCCCCTTAGCCCTCCCAAATCCACTCCATACTGACCTCCTATGTTATCCACTTGTCCATGTCCTAACCCGTCTGACGACACCGGGCTTAACGGTCCAACCATCCCCATTTGCTGTCCACCCGCTCCAAACCCACCACCACCTCCATAGCAAACACCTGCCTGAATTGGTGGCGCCTGCTGATACCCTCCTCCTCCTCCTGTCCTTTTACCATAACCTGATGGGTCACCTACACCCATGGCCTGTCCTGGGAATGTAGGATCGCCGGTTCCTTGAAACACACCATATAGCTGTTGTTGCGCAGTTGCGGGTATAACACTAGATGGGTTTTGGTTTTGGTTCGGGTTTGGATTAGGTTTCGGGTTAGTGGGATGTTCTCTGACCACACCAGCCTTCACTAAGAAATCCTCAAGTGTCATCTCTCCAAAAGTCGGTTGTCTAGCAGCAGTCTCACCGCCATTTTGAGCATTGTTTTGACCATTACTACTACTACTACGTCCATTGCTGTCTCCACCATCACCAGTACCACCACCTCTATGTATCTCAGACCAAACCTCATCAACAGTCTTCCTACAAAGCGGAGCTGGAAGTGTCAACGAGCCTTGTCGAGGAAGACTTGGCTCCTTCGCTATCCCTCTCTTATTATTAGCCTCTTCGTTGCCCCTAGAACCACCACCAAAGACACCACCCTCGCCTCCATTGTTGTTGTTGTTGTTGTTGTTGAAACCATTGTGATTAGCCGGAACAGAATGTGAAGCTGCGGCAGCTGCTGCTGCTTGTTGATTGTTATTATTCTCCTCTGCGTTCCAAATAGAGACGAGAAACTCGTCCATGTTCATCGACCCGAAGTTCTTGCCGTTCTCACAGAGAGCATGTTGGAACTCGTCGAGGGTCAATGAGTAGATAGAAGATTGTCTTCCCAATGAAGTAAACGGATGATTCTCACCACTTCCTCCTCCATTCTGTCTCGCTTGCGCCATGGACGACTCTACTTCTCGCTCTGACATCAACTTCGTTTCTCTAGTTACCATTTAACAACTGCATATATACACAACAATGACCATTTTTAATATCTGTATTCACACAAATTATACTCAAATCTGGTTATATGGAGATATCACCTAAACGACAATAACCATTTATTTTCTCTCTTATATATTAAAACCATCGTATTATTTTGACCAAACTTCAGATACTTGTCTCTATTCAACTATTCTCTATTCACAAAGCTCACTTATAAATAGAGTAATAGACAATGAAACTAATTAATAGTTAATGCTCAAAGAACGAAATAATTATAAAATATGGGATAGGGAAATCGAGATTAGATTATTTTGGTAAAGTAATGGGATTTAAATGACGTCAAAAAGAGAAAGAATCAAAAAGGTAATTATTAAGTCGGTCCACGTGAAAATAAAGAAGAACGGTCCACATCGTGACAGCGACAGACGATACTAAATTTAGTAATAAATAAACAAATAATTACTCATTTCAATAAAGGTTTCGTTTCCAAAAGAGGAAAATATCATATCCCACTCGTTTTCCTCTTAAAGCGAACTTATCAACACATAATTTGTTCCTCTTTAATTATTTTTAATACGAGATTAGACAAAAGATAATCTAGAGCTTAATCTGATAATATACTTAAAGAAATTAATCATTAGCTTGGGTCATCCTTTTATATCCGTCTATTACAAAGAATCACTTTCTTTAAAGTTTTATACACCTTACAAAAGCCAAAATTAATAGGTGTTTAAACTAAACTTAACTTAGTTAACTATAAATAAAGAAATAGATTCCTCTAACAGTCTTTATAATCAAAGATCTTGAATATAACAAGAAAAGTAAGAACCTGAAAATGAAATCTGTGTATCCAAAACCGGTGGCTTTGTGTTCCTCCACCGCCGGGAAAGTGAAAGATTGCTTCTTTATTTGGAGGTTCTCCTCCTTTCACATAGTTTAAAAGCCGCCGGAGAATTTTGACTTCAAAGTTTTTGAGAGAGAGAGATAAATGGGTGAGAGGCGGTAAAAGAGAGATTGTATTTATGTTCTCACCGTGAGAAGGTGTGGCGCGTGGAGAGTCTAAAGAAGAGAGGCGTGAAGGTCAACATCTTTTGTCTAAAGTCATCTTTCGACCAATGAAATACCAACTTAGAGAGGTCCAGGTCCAGGCCCATGAGGCCATGATCAGAGGCAAAGAATCGGTTCGGCTGCAGACGACACGTGTTCTGCACGTGTCTCTCTTCTGTTTCTTAGAGTGTCTTCTCACAGGCTCGACACGTGTGACTTCGGCTACACAAATTGTTTGTTACGTCTAAGAAATTTGACTCTTTTACGCATATAAGAACGTGAAATTTAGATTAGAAGAGCGAATTACAGTGAGATCTTTTTTTAGTGTGGTTCATGATTTGTTTTGTGAAAATTGACGGATTAATTTGATTGATCAATACTGTTTTACTTTGGTAAAAACATATGTAGATTCAAAATGTTATGAAAGAAATAGTCAAAGTTTGTAAACACTTGTTTGTCGTTCAGCTTTTAGCTGGTGAAAGTAGACTTGTTCGATTTTGAATAGAATTGCGTTTAGTGACAAAAACTTATTAAAGAACAAAAAAAATCAAAGTCGAGAAACTATCCTCTTCCTTTTTTCTTGTTCCTGAGGACATTTTATTTAACTTGACAACAAAAAACATGATTCCAAGTTTTCAACCTTCCCTTGGGAGTACACGTGGACTGTTCACTCTTACGAATAAGGTTTATCCATTTTTAAATGTTTATAAACATGCAAGATATTGGCCTCTTAATTAATCAAGTAGTATATCTTTAAAATATCTTCATCGTATCTTATAATTTCAACAAAAAGATCTAAGAATAATAATAAAAAAATCCGACCTGCCGGAATCGAACCAGCGACCTAAAGATTACAGCAACTACTACAGTCTTCCGCTCTACCAACTGAGCTAAGGTCGGATTGATGCTAACTTATCTATGTTTTTTAATTTAATGTTTCTTTTTCTAATGGGCCATTGTTTTCTGTATTAGTTTAACTAAAATATTCATATTGGGCCCTAGTGACTTTTTCCTCTAAAAATCACCCACAAAATATATCAACAACAAAAGAAACTTGAGATTCTCATGAATCTCTCTGATCCCGGTTCAAAGTATCATATCAATCATGTCACAAAACCAAACTAGCTATCTTTTTGAGAGAGAAGATAAGAAAGAGTTTAGTTCTTCACTCCATCACTGGTTAAGAGAGTTTTAACGATGTTATTAACCATACCAGGAGCAAATGGGAACAAATGTCCGGCTCCAGGAATCTCATGGTAATGGATCCATGGAAGCTTCTGTGCAATGTAACGTTGCAGAGTCACAGGGACAAGTACATCATCATCTCCCTGCCACAAGTGCACTGATCCCTCATTGTTCGGGAACAGATTCTCGAGCTCCATCGGATCGAATTCCCAAGTTCCGAATCCAACAATCATGTCACGGTGCAATGTCTCGTGTGTTCCTTGTTGCCTTATTTGTGCCTGCATAGAGACTTGGATTTGATGAATGCAATTATGTGAAGAAAAAAAAGAAGAAGTGATGAAGAATGTTGTAACAGTATACCTCATGTTGCCTCCTTGCAGCACCGAGCTTAAACATGATCTCTTTGTCTGATTCAGACAACATACCGAGATTGCGGGCCACAACACTTGATCCAGGGAACCAGTTCTGGGAGTTCCACCAATGAGTAAGCCAAGGAGCATAGTGTGCAACACGAACCGCCCATTGGTCATTTCTCGCTTGTTGGTTAAAAGCTTCGGTTGAGATGTCTAATGGAAAGTTCTTCCACCAATAGTTCACCACTGGAGCAACAAGCGTTACTCCAGCCAACCTAAAGAAATCAAACAGAGATATATCTTCACACATCAAAATCATTCCCTTCTTCAATAACTATATGATCATTAACAATGTTAGTTCTAAAAGTAATACCTGTGAGGAATGTATTTAAGGCATGCCCATGTAGCTTGTCCTCCCATCGAGTAACCGATGACATAGAATTTGGTTCCTAGACTCAACTGATCAGCAAGCTCTTCAATGTCCAAAGCCAAGCTTTTAGGAGTACGGTTTGGGTCAGGATCACTCTCTGCATAACCAGGTCTATCAAATGAAACCATATACACACCTAGTCCTTCTTTTATATCCTACAAACATTGACATCAAAAGTTTACATCTTTAAACTGGAGCAACTAGTGAAGCTTCATCACAAGAGGGGGTTTTAAAGTACCGGAGATAGTAGAGCTGCGAAAGCATTATCGTGCCTGCAACTATCAGATCCATGGACAACGATGATTTTATGGGTAGCTTCATCTCTTGGAACTCCATGCTCTTTGTAAGCCAAATGCCTTCCGTCTCTTAGCTTAATCCTCGGTCCTGTGATGGATGGACCATCAGGAGAGCCACAAAGCTTTGGAGGAGGAGGCTGGATTGCCTTATAAGTCGAAGCAGCTATACAGACAAAGAATACTAATAACAACTTCTGGAGAACACCTGTAATCAGATTCACACAAACATAGATTATTGTCCTGAAATTGAAATGAAATCTTTAAAGGCAAGAAACAAGCTGTGAAGTCTCTCAAGACTTTAAACTAATTCATGGGCACTTATTCAAGATTCATCAAACAAATATTCTTGCAACATAAAACCAAACATAAGCAAATCATAAACATGTAACATGTTTCTACTTACTATCTAACTTAAAAACCAATCAAGTTCCACAAACTCTAAAGTGATTTATTGGTTTTCTTTTTAAAGAAAAGAAATCTAAAGCTAGGATTATGTGAGATTCAAAGCCATCATTAAATGCATTGTCTATAAATTCAACAACAGTAATCATATCATTTCACATCATGCTCCAATTCTGGAACTTTTTGTCTTTGTTTTTCTGACTCTGTTTTGGACAAAATTCAAGAACTACAAAACTGGAATCTTCGTCTCTGGTTTTTGAGAAATTTTTCCACATGGGTTTTTCTTTGTTAGTGACAAAAAAAAGAAATTTCAAAATCTAATGGGCGAAATTAAAATGGAAGAGACAAAAGATCAAACCTGAGGAGGGAGACCTGGCGGAATCTGTTGATCCCGTAGCCATTGCCAATAAAGAGACGAGAGAGAGATAGAGAGTGCGAGAGAGAGAAGTAGCTGGGGAAGTGAGAGAAGAGAGAGAGGTTTGGTCTAATTAACGCAGGTTTTAGATTTTGTTTGGTTTTACTTGCAACTTTGGTCGTTTCTTGTTTTGTTTGTGTTGTTTACCCAATGTAGTGGGAGTGAGATGTGAATATCCTTAAGCCACGTAAGCCGTTGATTAATAATCTACGTTTAAATTAAATTAGAAAAATAAAATTACTTTCACGCAACCAAAATAGAAAATCAGACCCGAAAAAACTGAGGAAAATAAGTTTATAAACCAAAAGAATGAATATTACTCGTTACAGAAAAAATATGTATTTAAATGTTGGTAGGTAAATATTTGATTCGCGTTAGGTGTACCTTCTCCTCTATAAAACCTTTTATAGTAATACTCCCTCCGTATTTTAATAATTGTCGTTTTAGGATTTTCTTTTTTAAAAAATTAGATGTCGTTTTCAAATTTCTATGCAAAATTTCTTACTTTTTAATGTCCCAAGGGAACATTTTACATAATGCTTAGAAGTGGAAAAGGCTATCAAACTTTAGAGGCTTAACTCGCTCGCTCTTTCTCAAATAAGACAAAGATTGCACTAGACCTTGAGCCCGGGAAGCTCATATATGACTGGAACGGGCCACCGGTCCAAAATCAAAGGATGGAGGGTAAGGGATAAGGGGGTTCACTGCTGTCTGATATCATCATATCTATTTTGACCTTACCGGGTAGTGTTCCCATGGGTCTCTTTGATGAGGGGAACGGATCACTCATTCTTCCATTGGGGACAAAAACCATCAAAAAACGACGATTGTTCGTGAAGGTTTCCAAAGAAAGATCCCTTGGTTCTGGCAAATTCCAAAGGTGGAATCTTCTAGTTCTTCCTATTTGACCCGAAACCGATCGATCCTTGTTTGTCAAATCTCCATCTTTCTCATTCTTCTACGTAGCGGATAGAGCAGATGGTCCAACTACATAAAACGACACTTATTAAAATACGGAGGGAGTAATATATAAATTTTATTATTTAGTGTTGACAATGATGTCTATGACGCAGTCTACATTACATTAGGAATTGGAATCGAATTTAGAGTAAATAAAGCTTAGGATTCAATATTATGAACCGGTTCGTGGACTTCGATGGGATGTGGTGCTCTAGATAATATTGCTACAAAAGGTCCAATGCCGATGTCTATATTTTTGGGTGGACAAAAAAAAAAACTTAGCAATAAATTGAGAAACACTAAAAATCATCACTTCCTCCTAAGTCCTAAACATGCATTATTCGGAAGTAGCTATTAATATAGTTATCTCAACAGTGACTGTTGCACCGGAACATTTAATGTACTCAATCTCAAGTCACGAGTCTATAACAAATTTCTTTTGCAATTTATTATTTATGTAAAAAAAATAAGTGTATATCTTAGAAGACCCAAAAATTCCCAACAAAGATAGTTGTAGATTCGTTGAGTACCGTTCCACTAACCCATCTTCTCCTTCAATCACCTTTATATATACGTATTAACCACAAAGGATTCTTAAACCGAAAATTATTTCAGAATTAACAATGACACGCTGTGTTGGTTTGGTTAACCGGGGAACAGAAGAAGAGGAGAAACAAGAACCTGAACGCTATGGCGAGGGAAGTAGTGAAGACGGCGATGATGATCTGTTCGAGATAAACCTGGAGGCCATTAGTGATACGACGGAGTCTCCACCGTATGATGGGCAGAGATTTCCGGCGAGAACAGGAAGCGTTTTACTGGCCAACTGTCTATTACCAGCTGCGGAAATCTCTTGTGCCGTGCCGGCAACATCAAGAGGTTGGAGTGATTTGGTTTGGTTTGGAGGGGTTCTCTATGTTGAAAATCTAGGTGTTGAGAGTAAGAAAGCTTAATTAGATAGTAATAGTATATATCTAATGGTATTATTTTTTAAAAAACTATCTTATAGATAATCTTGTCTATATATGCATGTGTTAATAGTGTTTAATCAGATGGTTTATCACTATCTGATCATTTCATTTTAAGAAGATACAATGGGGGAACTAGGTGTAGTATTATATATGGTAAGGAGAGAAAGATCCACCTAAGAGTTTGGTTTCAATCGAGTCTAGGGATCGAATTGTAGTTGCTCGGGTACTCGAGACTCGAGACATAGGCATGCCTTAAGTACATCAACCACATGTATCACATTTACATCTCTACATTGTATGTTCAAAACAGTTCCATTTGACTCAATTTGGATTGTAGAGAACAGGTGGAACAGAAAAGTTGTTCCCTGGGAAGGTGTTGCAACACGAATCAATATAGAGATCATTTCCAACACCAGTTCTAGTGAATATTTTAGGCCAAGGTAAAACTGGCAAAGACTAGGCTCACTCACTGATCTATTCTTGACACATTAACTAAGCTAACTCTATAAAAGAGCCGAAGATCATTCGCTCTAAACCTAGTAAAATATCTCCAGTTTAAAAGCAATTCCATCTAAGAGAAGAGAGTACGAGTTGCGGATAAAACTCTTTCTATCAGGAAAAGTAGGTAAAAGTTCTGGAATTGACCGTACTAGAAGACTAACCTGAAGCCAAGAGCCCAAGTACCTACTTATCTCTGCCACCTAATCAGGGAACACCAACACCGAGCAAACCGCTAAATACTAATCACTATTTCATTAGACTATGCTATGGCTAAGTTCCACGCAGCCAAATGCTAAAACCAACTAAAAAATTCTACTCTGCCTACATGGAGCCATACTTTAAGCAAATCTAATGTCAAGCAATCCTAAAACTTGGGACCTAAAAGTATAATTCAAGCAAGAAATAAGCACATCTTCATACCGGAAAAGCAAATAGGAAAACTCGAGAAAGCTCTTCTGCATTAGTTCAGCACATGTAATCCGCAACATCAATTCCGATACACTCACAAATCTAATCTCAAGGAACAAGCTATGTCAAAAGACATATCGATGAATTGTATATATAATTCTTAAGTAAAAACGTTGAAGATCGAGTGACAGATACAAACATTGAATCAAATTTCTTAAACATCTTTCTAAATTTATCCCAAAAAAAAAAAAAGCCTTTACACGCATCCAATTCAACCTCACATCAAAGAACTTATATTTGTAGCCTTTTTTTGCTACTTGCTAACGGCACCGGAAGTGAATTCACGATCTATCAATATTCAATCAAAATATAACAAGAAGAGAGAAGAGAGTATAGATCAAGAAACAAGCGTACGCGATCAAGCCACGATGCTCTTCTCCACCATCGGCAAGAGATACCACCAATGTAGAGCAGGCTCTAGTGGACCACAACACGAACACAGCCGCAAGCACAAACCGAACCGGCCCCGCTCCTTGCGGCACGAACAATGACACCGCCGATAAAACCACCACCGGAAGCAAACAGTATCCAACCAAGCTTGTACACGTATGGAGATTAAGGTTCCCGTTTCTACCAGCAAGCATGTTGAAGACAACATATAGGAATATAGACGAGACGACGATCCATCCAAGTATGACACCGAACTGGATCTTACCAGCTAACAACTGAAATAAGCAAAGCGCAAGGTATAGAAAGATCGGACCAGATAGATCTGAATCCTTGTGAACAGTTTGATTAATCCGGAAAGGATTGAGAATCGATCTAGTCTTCTTCCAGATTTGATCTGGATGGATACCGAGCTCGTCAAGTAAAGGCTCCTCATCTTCAAACGAAGCTGAACCTCCACCAAAAGACGAAGAGGAAGCGATTGTGCCGCCGAATGGTCCGGCAGGTGTAGCGGAAGACGCGGCTGCGGATCCTATGTCGAACGACATGAAAGGAATTGCGGAAGAAGAGGGACGCGGCGGTTGAAACGGTGTCGCTGGGAATCTCCGTTGCTGGACATTAGGACCGGCTGAAGATCCACCGGAGGGGAAAACTACAGGTGGAACTGCGAAATCCTTTGTCATCTTCTTCAAATTGTTTCCGAAATTGAGATCTCGAAATTAGGGTTTCACGATTGGATCAATGAGAAGAATTTTCTTTAACCCAATTCACGTTCGTGGCGTTTCAGAGAAAATTCCCTTCTTTTTTTGTTCTCTTTTTCTTGACAGTGAAGAGACAACTTTAGAAGAAGGCGCCTGAGGGTATTTTCGTCCTTTTGTCTAGCTTTATGACGAATTATAACCAATAGGCTTCTTCGGAATTGGCATGGTGACGTATATCTTCTACTGCTATTACCATTATACCCTCTTTTATAAACGGAATTGGCCCAATGGGTCTCCTCGGCCCAGTAGTCATCGGTTTTATTGGATAACGTGGCACGATGTAATTGGCTGAAGATTAGAAGACCGCCGGACTAAGATTCAACCAGCGGTGACTTCGACACTTACTAGCCGGTAAATTTATTCGCCGGAGCTTCTGCGAGCTCCCTTAAAGATTATGGCCACCGATGGCGAGAGTATCTCGATGTCTGTGGCGGTGGCTGCCTGCGTCGCTATGGCAGTATTCTACGTTTTGATCCTTTACGCTCCCACCGTAATTCTCCGTCTCCCGTCGGCTTCTTCTTACTCCGAATTTATGATTCGGCGATTCATCTGCGCGGCCATTTGTACTGTAGCATCTCTCGTCTTCACAGCTTTTATACTTCCGGTATGCTTCTCTGAGTCCCACCATTTCTCGATTTGAAGTTAATTCTCCGTTGATTTGTAATCGAATTGGATCCAAAATCTAGATGCATTTGGTAGATATTCTTTGGCGTCAAGTTTAAAGTAAAGAAATTTGATGTATTGATAACTCTGTTGAGAGTTGAATTAGCTTTTACTAGTTGTTGTAGGTTCACACGATTTGTTAGAATGTAACACTCAAAGATTCATGACTACGTTGTGTTTGGTACAATGCAACGCTATATACAAGAATCTCTGAAACTTGTTTTCCTTTTTTGGTTGAGTAATGTTAGATAAAAAGCTGGGAGGCCTCTGTTATACTTGGAGTTTATGGCATAAGGACAGATCATCTGGTAAGTTAGTTCTTTGTCTCAATGTGTTTACTCGTAGCTTATTGTACACTATTCATCTTAAAAAGGTTATTTTTTGTGATATGGAACAGTGGCAAGGAGTGGTGTATCCTCTTCTATTGACCTCGCTCATTTACGCCAGCTCTTTGGTATTGAAGTTGTTATTGCTCCTGGAATCATGGAAGGAAAATGGTGGAGGATGTAGTTCCTTTAATTACATCAGAAGCTTTTTCCAAACAATTCCTGCTTCGGTACTGACAGGTGCTTCTAATGTTTCCGTTTGGCGCAATTTTATCGTGGTAATCATCTGTTTGCCATCTCTTTGAGCTTATCTGTCAATTCTGTATTGAAACTGCATAAGACATTGCTTGTTAATTATCTGAGGACTATATGCATCAGTTTGGTGTATAAGTAACTACTAAATCGAACGAATTATAATATGTTAGAGCTGGTGTTTCTTGTGATTTGCAGGCACCAGTAACTGAGGAGCTGGTTTTCCGAGCTTGTATGATACCTTTGCTTCTGTGTGCTGGATTTAGGATTTACACTGCCATCTTTCTCTGCCCAGTTCTCTTTAGCTTGGGTTTGTTTCTTTGTCTCTCTCTGTGAATAACAGTTTACAACTCGAGTGAAAAGAAAATTACTAGATTTGTCTGACTTTTATATGTTCTGTATAGCTCACTTGAACCATTTTAGAGAGATGTACATCAGGCATAACCGCAGCTATCTCCGGGCTACACTGATTGTTGGTATGCCCCACTATAATGGTTGCCATCCATAATCATAATAATATTGTTTGTTAATCATTCCTGAGCTTCACTTGTCCGTTGATCAGGTCTTCAGCTTGGCTACACAGTCATTTTTGGTGCATATGCATCGTTCCTCTTCATCAGAACCGGTACATTCCTCGCATTATATAAATTACACGTAACAACCTTCTAACGTTGGCCTTGATGATGATGTCTTCTGCATTGCGTGAAATTTACAGGACATCTTGCTGCTCCTTTGTTTGCTCATATATTCTGCAACTACATGGGATTGCCTGTGCTATACGCACAAGGAAAAGGTAAGACATAAATTTCATGCTGTTTAACCGTTAGTTTAACAAATGCGAATGCCGAAGAATAAGCTAAAGATGGTCATGGTTCTTCTCTCAGGTTTGGTGAGTGCAGCGTTCTTAGGCGGTGTGGTTGGGTTCGTCTCGCTTCTCTTTCCTTTAACAAAGCCTCTCATGTACAACGATAGTACCAACGATTGTCCGTGTTGGCTTGGCTATTGTTTGTGGCATTGACCACATCTCCGAGTTTTTTTGTTTTCATATTTCCACTGATCATGTCTTAGAATCTATTTTGGACACAATATTTGAATTATGGACTTTTACTGCAAGCTAATGTTTCTTGATAGTTTGTGTAGTTTTTACCTTGTAAATATATTGATTTCTGTAATAGACAAAAACAATAGTAATAAAAAGAAAAAATGGTTCAAGTCTCAAAAATTAGTGTGGCTAATTGTCTCAAAAATTAATCCCTAATGATTCACTTGCTATCCTAGGGGGGACAGGAAGAAGGATGATCAACATCGCCAAGTCTAACCTAAACTATATTGTCCAATGTCAACATGCCAAAATTCATTTGATTTATTTTTTAAAATAGAGAAACAATGATTAGAAATTGAACATAGGTCCATAATCTTACATCAGAGGATTCAGAAGATGATGTCTTGCATGATCTTCCAAAGAGATTTTGGGGGTAATCATCAAACGGATAATAATTTTCTGAAAATTATATTTCAAAGTTGACTTTCAAAGTCTGAGTTTATGATGATGATTTTCACTAAGGAGTTACGAAAATTATGTTTCTAGGATTCGTAGGTCTCTCAGTAATTTTCTCACCAACACTTGATTACTATGCCATATTCCTAGGAAATTTGAAGCTTGGATTTATGGTCAATAAATTATCTGTACTCACATTGAGGTTGATTATTTATGCATATAATAGAGTTTGTTGAACCGGAAAATCATCCTCAACAAAACCAATATATAGTAATTTCCTCTAAAATGTATTTTACCCAAACTATACACTACTATCTAGTGAGATTCACTACTGTTATTTATTTGGCTGATTTTAAAAAGTTGAAGACCAATACTATTATGATCTATTCATAAATCATTTCTTTTATTTTATTGTTGTATGTTGAGCTTTTATAACAGAGCATAATATTGCTGGTATTTGAAGTTTTGAACTAATACAAACCGTCAAAAAAAAAAAAAAAAACTAATACACAAATTTTCAACAAAATCATATAAATTTTCACTAATATTAAAAATTTATTTACTTTTATTTATTTTTCTATTTTAAATAACTGAGTAAATTCAAAATATTTATTTCTCTTTTCTTAAATTTTAAATTTATCATCGCAGAGTACACCACAAAATTTCATTAAGAAACAATTTTTTTTGTAAAGGAGATAAATAATTGACATTTTAATATGCACATGATCTAATAAATACAGTCAATTGGATACAACTTTGATCACGTGATTAAAATTTGGTAGTAAGTACCTATGTTCTCCTAAACACTTTTCTCGTACCTTCTGATATCCTTATGGACCTTATCATACTTTATCCATATTTAAAATTTCGGTAACTAAAAGAAACCAACCACTTTATAGTATTTATACAATTACATCTTTGAAATAAATTTGGTTGAGGTTATAAAACTCCTAACTAACATAACTGAATAATACTAAATCAATGTCACATTTTCCAATCTAAATGTTACCCTTAACAATTGGTTATTGCAAGAACATGCAATTTATAAAAATAAAGGAAAATGTAGAACCTAATAATAAAAGGGATATAAAAATATAAAGATACTGGTTGTTGAAGAGAAGAGCAGAAGGTACAATGTAGTCCCAGAATCCACCATGTCCTAAACAACCAAACCCCACATGAAAAGGCAAAATAGAAAATCTAATTAACATATAAATGGAAACAAAAGTAAAATATCCCTCAGAAGATAGGCCAGAGAGCACACAATGCTTCTGTCCTTTTTGTAGTAAATTAATTAGAAGAACCCAACAAAAATAAAAACTACTCCATAATTAATAATACTACCACTAACCAACTATTTCTTAACTATTTTTTCTTACATTACACCAATCAAAGAAAATAGAAATAATGGGTTCTTCTAATTAACCAAATCCAAATCTTGTCCTAAAGAGTTTTGTTGGTTCATCAGGATTGTCCAGAAGCAGAGCTTGATGAAGAGAGATTGTTGTTGTTGTTGTTTCCTTGATTTGATCCATTAGAGTTCTTGGTTTTGGAGAGCTTTTGTTTGAGTTCGAAGAGAAGTTGTTGATTCTCTTGATTCAGAATCTGAGCTTTCTTCCTCAACCTCTCGTTCTCCTTTATTATATAACAGTTTTGCAAGTACAGCTTCGAGTTTAGCCTCTCCATCTCGATAAAACCTGGTTCTGTTTCTTCACAAAAAAAAAAAAGTGAAATTATGTTAAGAGACAAATAAAAAAGAAGAAGTAGAAGAAGGGAGATTTATTAAAGCTCTCTATGTTATGATTATAGTTGCGGTTAAATCATTGCAACACCACATGGGTTGTGCAGCTTCACACGTTTAATGAGGAATTACATTAAGCAAAAATCATGACCGCATTTATTTCGTTTTCTACCAAAAATGTCAATTTTTTCTTTAAAGAAAAAACTCAATGATCAAACGGAGGAACAATCATGCTCTTTTTGGTTGTGAGGATAAAAAAGATAAAGCCACCACAACAATGAAAACAAAAATAAAGTAATGATGATGGAGTAAGTATAATGATGGAATTTCAAAACGAAAAATACAAAAAACAAAACACCAAAACAGAGCCGGTACGAGCAAAAAAAAACAGAACAAATGAAAAAAGAAGAGAGTTTTTGAAACAGAAAAGAAAATGGAAAAGCAAACAAATAAGGTTTATTCGGTTGCCTTTGTATGAAAGAAAAGGATATATAAAGCTTTAAGATTTTCCAACAATTTAAAGTTGGGTTGTTGTTATGGTAAATGATATTCACGTTGCTTGTACGTGAGGAGAGACATATGTATAGAGAGAGTGAGAGAAAGATTTACCTTTAGGGAAGACGAGACTTGTTAGAATCGAAATGAAGTGGTAAGGGAGAGAGGTTTGTGTGTATGGAAGGTAGAGGGACAAAGAGAACAAAGTGAAGATAGTGTCTCTTATATAGAATCCCAAAAGCTAGAGAGAGAGAGTGTGTAAAGGGGACATGCTTCTCTCTCCTGACACAACAATCATGCTTTGTGTTGTGTTTATGCTTAGATGGCGGCCGATTTCGCAGCTCAATATTTTCTGTTCTTTCTTTTGTGTTTTGGTTTTTTTAATAAGAATAATGATTTGTGAGGGAAAGAAAAAAAAAAGATTTGTGTTGCGTCATGTAAATGATGATCGAAAGAAGAGAGGAAAGATAAAGAAGAAAATTAGAGGGAAAACTTCTTCTCTTTCGAAATTTCTCTATAGGGTTATTTTTGTATTTCAAAGGCCTCTTCACATTTTGGTTTGGTATGAGATATTAGCCGTTCTCTCTTTCCATCATGTTCATTCCCGACCCGCCAAATGTTATTCACGTTATCGTTTTGATATGAGACCAACAAGTTTATAGATGTCATCACAATATTTCAAACAAGTAGAGCCAAATCTTACAATTCAAAATTTATGTGGTCTAATATCTACATGAATATATTAATAACATAATAGTTTGTACTAGTGTCGTCGTTGTATTACGACGGAGTTTACGAAAATAAACTAAGTAAGACAACATTTCACGAAAATAAAAGTCACAATGTTTGTAAAACACTAGAAAACGATTCTCCCTACACTACATCCAAAATTTAATACGTAGACCGGCTTGGATTAGTACTCATATAGGGAGGGGTAATTTTGCAGTGAGGTAAGGGTAAAAAAGTAATTAAAGAAGAGGGTGAAACGAGTTATTGAGTGAAAATGATGATGATGAAGGGGAGGGTAATAGGCCGTCGTCCCCCAAAGATTCGCAATGATGGTTGGGTATTGGTTCGAACCATCATGATTCATTATTCAATTTCAAGTTTTCTATTTGGACCATTTTCATTGCTCTCTTTTACTCCTTTCATTTCCCGGTTTGGTCAATATTGGTTTAGTCAACAATACTCATCATCAGCCATAATAATAACACATTTTAGAAGGTGTTCGTGTTCGATTTTCTTCATGCCCCTTTATTTCTTTTCCTTTCATCATCCCTTATTTAGATAAAGATCGATATAATTAAAAGGAAAATTAAAGAGAGAATTATGAAGAGGAAAGTTTTGGGACCTAAAGGAAAATAAAAAAAAAGCTCTCCATGGGTTATGAGTATGCCACAGCGTGAAACATCATAGTTTACAAGGTGGAGGATTGTTTTTATTTTTCGGGCACTTTCGTTAATTTTCATTAACCATATATCGTCCCTCGTGGACCTTGTTTGGTGCATAATAATACAAATTATTGCACTTTCACGTTATAATTACTTTTTCTTTACCAAATCTTGTGAGTTTTTTTGGCGTTTATTATTTTATTCACGGGATAAATCGTATTAATGCATGTTTTGTGAACGGTGATTGTGTTATTTTCCTCTTTTGCCTTTTGTGCTAAACATTCAATGGCTTTAAAATTCAAAACATAAGTTCGAACTCATAATTATTATGTTTGTCTTGAAATGGAACTATAAATAAATAAAAAATGGAAGCAAAAATAAATAGTGGTTGCACTACTTGCTTACATCAAAGGCATGATAATTAATAAGTAGGGAGGTGTTTGTGTGAGTCATCTATCTTATTGTTAGGGGAATTTGAAATGACATCTTTGCCCCCAAAATGGTTTGGTTCTCTTCATTTGTTTTTTATCTTTCAATTTCTTCCGGATGTGAACAATTATGATTGGCCTTAAAACTATCTTTTGTCCTTTAAAATGTTTCATCTAGTTCCTTTCTCTTTTACAAGTCATCTTAACAGTTCGGTCGGATGATTGTAATGTGACATATAAAAGGTTGGTATTAATGCTTTACCAAAATAAAAAATAAAAACGGATTCAACAATCACTATAGTTTTGATAAATAGTGATAAAAATAAGTACTCACATGTATAAATTAAATATTTATGCTATATTTATTTGTTGTATGTGTAGGACATCAAAATGTATGGTCTATAGTATGTTAAATCGTGTGAGTATGAAACTATTTCCAACTTTTAATCATTGTAATTTGTCATCATTTCGTCCCTTTAGAACTTTATTTCTTTTTATGTTTTGGGTCTCCATAAGCTAAAGTGCGTCCATTTGCATTGCATGGAAACATTATCATAACATCTTCTAATTTAAAAAAACATACAACGAATATTTAATAAAGATTTTGTGGGGTGGAGCACTAATGATATACATAGGTCTGAAGTATATTAATTAAGAGAGGGCTCTTTTTGCAGGTGAGACATACCACACATATGAAAATATAAATACAAATTAATGATGAGAATCCATCTATGCACTTTCTATAGTTTCATATGTGATGCTTACAAAATTTGTTTCAAAATTTAATTTGATATACATTTTCTGTTGATTCATTTTTTTTTGTATCCGCGGTTTTATTCTATAAGGTTTGAATCATAATTTCCTTAAATCAGGAACTAAAACTCTAGTAATTTGGACTAACGGACCATAAGTGATCTTATTTTTTTTTTATAGATCTCTAGTTCTCCACTGATCTTAAGTAAATCCAACCATGCATGATGTAGAAAGTAGAAACAGTAACTCTTATTCAGCCACTCGACTGCTATAATATATTTATGCGATTTGTTATTCCTGATTTTTTTTTGGTCAAACGATTTGTTTTTCCTGCTTATAGTCTGTGTCTTCATATATTATGGTTATACGACTTTACGATCTTTTTCACTCGTACAGTCACACATGGTTATATATAATCATTACCTTAATGAAGTTTCTAAACTTGTGACACCATCTAAGCAATTGTTTCAGGAATTTGTAGTCCTTGTAACTATAGCTACGCCCACTTAGCTAGGTTAAACAAATCATGTCATGTTTAATGTTTTTGCATGGCGTTGTGGAACTTGCCATGCAATTTTTAATTTATTCTGCATGGTACAAAATAGTTCCGATCAAGATTTTTTGTGCATGCACAATAATTTATGCCTTCGCAAATGTTCTGATTAAAATTTACTAACATTTGCGAAGGCATAAATTATTACCCTCACATAAAACTAAACAAAATATAGTTAATAACCTAAAAACTATAGTTCTGATTAAAATTTACTAACATTTGCGAAGGCATAAATTATTACCCTCACATAAAACTCAAATTCGGGACAATGGCTCAGTTTTCTTAAACAAATGCCCAACCAAATAAGATATCTTTTTTTTTTGACCAAATAAGATATCTAAGTTTTAAAATTTATTCTTTAATTATCAAAAAGTTTTTGTTATGTATCCTTCAGATTTTATTATTCAAGCATTGCGCTTTCGCCCTGCATTTTGGGGTTCCACTTTGTTTTGTTTTGTCTACACAATTTTTTGTTAATTATATTTAATTTCAGAAAAGGCAGAAAAAGTTATATAAAATGAGTTAAAGAAAGAAATAAAGAGGAAGCATCGTGTTACCTTTGCTCTCTGGGTGTTACACTATCGTGCAAAATTGTATCTTTATGCACATGCGCTACTTTATAATAATATATATGTATAAACCATTAGGTGTAACAATCCATCTTTATTTCCATATTATGTGGATTCATAATCTTTCATGGATTTGTCCTACAATGTATATTCTTTTGTAGTGAACGTCATATCAAACTCAAAATGTATATGAACATTGTTTTTTCACCAAAATGAACCTGAATTTTTGGAAGTTTTTCCTGAAAAGCTTCACAGTACGTATTCAATCTGTAATAACTAATTTTATCAAGAATGATTTACTTAGAAGTGATTATATATATACCGTATGAGTGAGAAAATATATAACAGAAAAATGTAGTTATAAACATATATGACCAGTCTACAACTTCATTTAGAGTAGTTATATAGACAAACCTTCAACACAAAAACGGAACCCACCACGAATCTAGAAAGGGGCTGAGAAAAGTGTGGTTCGATGGACGTAGACGGTCAATGGCATACAAGGGCTGTTAGAGTTAAATCCATGCGAGAGTGTAGAGTAAAGTTTTTTTTTTTTTCACTCGTTAAAGTAAAGATCATGGTGTTCGAATAATATTTTACGTAATGTAATAAAATTGCATGAAATATACTCAAGTTTGGAAACTAGTAATGAATGCAAGAATATAAGAAAATCGATTTAACCAATTCTTATCACCAATGTGCATCTGACTTTGTAAGAGTTTTTTTTTTATTATTTTTTTTACTTTGTAAGAGTTGCTTATAAACTAACTTCATAATCTTTATCAAAAAAAAATATAAACGTCTTAGTAATTTTGTAATGGACAGGTTTCTTGCAAGTGATTTTATGTATCTTATTAGTGAGGATAAAAGTATAGAATTTTTTTGTAGTAATGTACGTGTACAATTGAGAAACAAAAACGTAGTCCACCATCAAATGTGGGAACTGTTGAAAGGTTATAAATCTGAAAACAAACAAATGAGACTAAATTTAGAGGCTCAAATATTTTAAACCAAATAGAAACAAGTATAGTGGCTCTAAAACTGAAAACTTTGTAATCTTCTGTACTGAAGTGAATCAGTGATTAGAACCTTTAAACTCATATCATTTGGCTTTTAAGTAGTTTTTTATATAAATATGTTACATAATCTGATTAACTAACTTGAATTGAGAAATTCAAAATATAGAGTATAGTACTTGAGTAATAATAAATGAAAAGCTAAGAGAAGGGAGACAAAATGGGTCTTAGGTAATCACGAATTAGAAGTAGGAGTAGCTGCCAGTCTCATAATAAACACCTTCTTCTGTAGCATCCAATGATGACCAAACCTCTCTAATTATACAAAGCCCTTTATTCTCTTTTTCTTTTCTCCTTTTTCTAACTAGTGCAATTATCCATTTTATTTAACTTTTTCAGCGTATCTTAAATATCATTTACTGAAAATTAGTGAAAAGGGGTAAAAAAGAAAAAGAAAAAATCTGACCTCATGATTTAAGGAAGTTATTGAGTCATGGACGACAAAGAAAAAAGAGAAGTTATTGAGTAAAAAGCCAACAATAACAAAACTATTAAATTTGACATTTTATATTACACCAGTCACCAGTGATACAATCCAATTGCAATGTTTATTGTTAATATGCCAACGAACTAGTTTTAGAGATGAAAATGTTCTTTTGTATAGAGTTTTTTCGTCAATAAAATCATTGTTCAAAATTCATAATCGAATAAATTACTCTACTTCTCATCTCACTTCCCATATGAGATCCTTAACATTTTCAAACTTATATATAAAGTATAAAATTCAATTAAACCGTTAATCTAGACAAAGAGTCCCCCTTGATGGATCATGCATACACATTTACTGTATATAGTTTGGATGTAATAAATGATTTAACTATTTCTTAATTAATAAAGGTTAAAATAAAAAGAGGTTGAACAAGTACTCATGAGTACTAGTCCCCGACTTCATGATGATGATGATGATCAACATCATCCACCATTATGCCCTGTAGATACAATTATGCATAGTGAGCCCAACTTGTGTTATAACCATCTTCATTTAATCCTCTCCCCCTTAGTCTACCCTCTTTCACATGTTGCCCACTCTATCCTTTTTCTCATCTTAATTTTCTAAACATATGGAAAAATATATTAAAACTTTAGATATTGTCTTCATTGCCATTTCTACATTAATGTGATTTTATATGACATTCAAATAAAATTATTTATCTGATTCTTGATATACAATTCTAAAAAGAAAAAAAGAAAAGAAAAAAACCTATAATTTTATTTATTTTATACAACTTTTTGTATGTTCCATCCTTTTTGCATTAACCAAATGTATTTCATTTGTTCCGTCGGATCCGCTTGATTACAACTCATTATCATAATTTAAACCCTGAAGGTGGAACCAAAAGTTTTAAAACCAAACTTTTGATTTGTATTTTGATAGTTTTGCGTCTGTTTAGCAGATCAAAGTAGATCTTCTCTGGTGGGGATGGTGTTAGTCTCTTACCCGTGTGGAGATGAAACATGATTGGTCGAGAGTAATGACGGTCACGTGAACGACTTTAACGAATTTTCTATGATTGCTCGTTACTTGTTATCATTGGCTGTGATCATACATTACGTGACCCACCTGTTTCCCTACCCCCATTCCCATTTCCACTCTCCTACAGTCCTACTTGTCAAACAACATTACTTTTCCGATCATTGCATTGCAATTACATAGTTCGATATTTAAATCCATTAATATTCATTGATCCGAGAAATTTCATAATTTGTAATATGATCTTGCTGAGATAAAATACAGAGATGAAATTGAGATTCCGGTTAGAACCAGAATAGATGAATGTGATGATGCCATTTCAAATGAATATTCACATTCTAACGTGTTCTCTGACTGAAACTCATCTTTTATGGCTTCATCAGCTTTGCTTTGACATATTCCAACACTCCTTCTACGTCCACCGTCCATGCCACTGATATTGGTGAATATCCCACCCATGGATTGCTTCCGTTCCATCTGTAATCCGATCAAAACCGCTCTTTAGAGAAAGGTCTAAAGATTCAAAGAGTGTTAATTTTTGGTGGAAAACAAAGTTATAAACCTCTTGAGGCCTTGATCCATGAGAGTGTGGCCAACGCATATTCCTTGAGTTTCTACCCGAACAACGCCTTTCTTATATGTGAATAGATCAGGACGTACTACAGCCACAAAGCTGACTGGGTCATGGAGGTACACTCCTGAAAACCAGCAACCACAAACTTTTGTGAATCATAACTGCAATTTCTAAGCATGTTTGATTGATCACAGATTCTTGCTTACCGTAAACACCATCAGATTTGACGTGCCAATCTCTATAGAATTTGCACATATCACTTATCAATTTAGAGTGTTTCCCCTTGCAGTTACTCAGCTCTAAGAGGTCATCATCTGAAATAGATTAAAAAACAGACACATTCTTTAAGCAGCCTAGGTTATAATGCGATATCGAGAATGTTAAAGGAGTTGGGGGAAGAAGCTTCTTCACCTGATAGTTTAAGTTGGGTTGTGATGTTTATACCAACAACAGTGATATCCGCTCCAGATGTGAACACGACATCAGCTGCTTCCGGGTCACCATATATCTGCGTATAGAGCAGAGACCGACAAAATGAAACCGGCATTTTCTTTTTCATTAACAGAAGACTAAGAAGAGGTTACAAGGGGGGTTACATTAGCCTCAGCTGCAGGATTGACATTTCCCAAAGAAAAGAAAGCTCCACCGAGAATAACAATTTTCTTCACCTTACTCGCAAATGAACTATCGCGTTTGATGGCCTAAAACGAAAATACCGTTATGTTCAATACACAAAACGAATTTTAAGACAAAGGAGGGATTCATGATTCTTACTAATGCCAGGTTGGTTAGAGGTCCGAGGGCGAGAATGGTGACTTCCCCCGGATATTCTGAGACCTTCTCATCTAGAAACTCAGCTGCACTTTTCTCACATTTCTTTCTAGTCGGAGGAGGAAGAGAGACATCTCCTAGGCCATTTTTACCATGGACAAAATCAGCAACACGCGGAATTCCACCCTGAATCAACACACAAAGCCAGAAGTCGAGCTAAAGTCACAACGGTTTGACTTTGTCTCATACCAAAGATCTGAAAATATATCCACGGCATAAACTAAGTTCAATCCTTATGAGAGGAGAGAAAGATGGCACCTTTAAAGGTTCAGAACTTCCTTCTGCGACGGGAACATCAGGGAAGCCAGCAATCTCACACTATTCTTTTGCAAAATGAACAAAGAGAAAAAGATCACAGACACATTCCAAAAATATTTAAAAAAAGTTCTAGTGACTGAGTAAACTGATGCATTGTACATACCAAGAGTAAAGCGTTGCGAGTAGCATCTTGTGTAGAAACATTACCAAACACAGTAGTCAGTCCTAAAATCTCCAGCTCCGGTGTTTGAAACGCCATCATTATCGCCATGGTATCATCTAACCACACATAATCATCATACACTAATGTTAAAACTGATCCTATTGGTCATACAATTGAAGGAAACTTGTTTCATAATCCAACACTCATGTGGAAAAAAAGTCAACATACAAAAAAGAACTATTTCCCCTGAATCTTTCTATTAAGCAAGCATTGGAGCTTAAAGATCCACACTTTACAAGCAAATGAGCACACATAAACAGATTCAAGAAATCACCATTCGATTCAAACAAAGTTGGAAGCTTTCTGAGGTTAAATCCTACTCTGCTTGATACTAAAGCATCAAGATCCATTTACTAAGAAACGTAATCAACTAATCAAAAACAGGGGAAGAAGAGAGAAGCTCACCGATTCCTGGGTCTGTATCGATAATGAGCTTCTCACGCTTCGTCGAAGAGATACCCAAAACGTCACCGTTTGAGATTCCACCATTACAATTCTCCATACCACAATCCATCTCAGCTCAAGAAATAAAAAACCCAGGAAACGAATTTAAAACCCCTTGAAACTCTCAGCTCTTTTCCAGATTTATAGATCAGAAAGGTCTAAGCTTTTTTCAGAACCTTTTACGAGAAATATACCTCAGAAAGCTCTCAACTTTATATAAAAAAGCAGAATCGAAGTGGATTAGTTTATGGAATATAACAATTTTTATTCAAAGAAGACGACGAATTGCTGAGTCGTCCAGCCACAATTTACTTATTTCTTTTTTGCGATGACAGATGGATATACAAATTCAAGAATATCCTAATTTTATTTTTTGTTAAAAATAATCTAACCTTATTTTAAGCCACATTTTTAAGTTATCTTTCACGATAAACCCTTTCTCAAACTGAATTATTAGCAAATAATGAATTCATTAGTAGACTTTTTATATAAATAAACAGGGGTAGAATTTAAAAAAGGATTTCCATGTGTTTTTTCTTGATTAAAATGTAACGAAATTTGGACGGTGGTTTGGTTATCGAAAATGTAAAAAAATAGTACTATTATTAGGTTGGGAAATTGGGAGGAAGGAACCAATTATGTCACATGTAACATGTAACATGTAACATGTTGCCAATTAGAGCAGTAGTTGATTTGTATATGTCACCAACGACGCATTTTGACTAGACGTTTATTTCGTTCACGCATTACCCACTTTTTTATTGAAAACGAAAATTTTACTTACGTAACATAAAAGCCCAAAGTATCTTGGGCCTGAAATGAAAAATAGTACTAACAACAATTAAGCTTCTTTTCTTTTCCTTCTTCTTGACGCAATCACATTTACGCTTATATTGATGTGACCTAGATCTTGCTTTTTTAGAAAATTATTCAAAGTTATGAAAGTATTTATATACATATATTGAGAGTAGTCTACTTTTTACTTGATATTACACACGTATTTTTAGATTTGTTTTGTTGATGGCGGTATTTGATATTAATTTTGAAATATTCCTTTGATTTCGTCTCTATAATTATAGAATTAATTACGGATTTTGCCCTTTTTTATAATGGCATTTGTGGATTTTGCCTTTTTTTGAATAGTATGTGGATTTTGCCCTTTTTTAGGCTCCAAAAATATGATTTAACATGCGTTTCACTCGTTATGTTTGGGTTTAGTCGGTTCCATTTGTTCTTAGGGTTTTGTATTTGGTATAAAGTACGTATTTTTGCAAAAAAAATCATAAATATGTATATTTTTAAGTGTTAAAAAAGGGCAAAATCCGTAAACTATTCAAAAAATGGCATTTTCGTAAGTTTTTCCAAAAAAATGGCATTTTAGACAATAATCCCATAATTATATCATGTCAAAAATAGTCTATCTACTCTTTGTGCTTACGTAAAATCATTGAACATAGACACAAGGGTTGTTATAAGTAGTTCCTATAGAATAAAGGCTATAAACCCAATAATGGTTACATAGACTTTCCTAAAAAGAAGACTTAATGGTATCTCGACTCTGAAGGCACCAATATTTGTGGCATGCCCAACCTGACAACCGCAGAAAAAAACCAACAAAAACTTGTGGTATAATCAAACCATGGATATAGCATGTATTGTACATGGACATAATACCTCAAAAGTAATTTTTGTTTTCTCAAAGTAAGTTCACATTTGTAACATAAGGAAGAATGATAAAAGAAATATTATTAAAAGTTTATAACCTTGGCTACATACTTGGAATCAACAATGGTACTAGCTAATGAAGTCATCAAAAAAGATCTTACAAAACGATAGGAATGCTCATTATAACATGGATAATGAATTGTATTTGCTTCCTTCAATGATGCATCCTCTTTCTCAAAATGTTGTCGCATTAATATGTAAATCACATGTTTAACTTATATCAGGTTCATACATTTATAGACGACTAATATCCATATGTTTAGCCACGCAATAGCCGAATCAATAACAAAAGCTCGTGCCATATTGATATTGAGGTTGCACCTTACAGTCGGAAAGATGAAAATCTGCCCGAACACATGTAAAGATAATTACTTAATTAGATAAATTAAACACTAGCTACTTCTGAAATAATAATAAAACACAAATGAAATTCCAGCCGACATAAAACCAATAATGAGGGTCCATGTCAAAAGATATCATAAATGGACAAATTTTGAAAGTTAAGTGGGAACATGGAACGGACGAGAATCTTGGCGGCCGAAAATGGGATTATGCCAATTGTTATAGCCCAACCTTCTCCATTATCTCTCTATTATTCTACTAATTACTAAACTGATTAAACATATAAACGATTTACTATTTATATTGTTCTGGAACATTACTAGATAACTTTAATTGATGTAACTCGACTAGATAGAAATATTAGATCAGATCGATCATGGAAGTGGATCTTATATATGCAACACTTGCCTTGTCAATTGTCATAGACTCATAGTCTACCATATTACCTTACATTCTCAAAAAAAAAAAACACTTTCTTCTTTTCTATGTACACGTATCTTAGCCTAATTCAAAAAATTTATAGAGTCTAGTTGTAAAGAAGTAATTTTCTACAACTTATATTAGAAAAAATCACATGAAGACTAAGATTTATAAACCATTAAATTATGATTGATCTTAATTAGTGATAAAGAAACTAGTCAGATTGACAAAGATATGGATAAATGCAACATGGTATCAACAGTGATATATATAATAACTTATCAAAAATGGAAATAAAAAACAAATACCATCCAATTTTAGGCAAATTTTAATTGTTTATGTGCCCATATGGTGACATCGAAGGGTATGTGAAGAAGTTGTGAACATACAAGTATATAATATATAGAGAGTGAGGATAAGATTACTAGTGGATGAAGATATAAGCAAGACTTCAAATTTGGCTCCTCTTCCAACCTGTCTTTTTCTTTGCACGCAATATATTTTGTAACCCCCATACACATTTCAACATAAAATATAATAATCCAATTTTTTTAAATTATAATCTAATATTGCATATCCCTTATAAAAAAAAATTACATATAATGAATGATAAAAAAAAATGTCTTCACTAATGGAATTTGTGTTGCAGATTCATATAGTTTTCTTTTAATTAACCAAGGTATCTATCATCCATCAAACACGGTTTCAAATCAATAATAGAATTTGGCACCACCAAACAAACATTAGTATATAAAGAAAAATATCAGTGGGTTTTGTAAAAATAGACCTCTCAAAAATATCATAGAATTAAAAGAATAATTTAATTTAGTACATCATCATCATCATCTTCATCATCATTTCGCCGTTAAGTTTCTCTCTCTCTCCCATTATAGAATTCAGTGAATCAACAACAAAAGGTAACACAAAAACACATCTCTCTCTCTCTCTCTCTTCTCTTTTATTTTTCTTCCCCAATCTTTTCTTCATTTCTGTTTGGTTACCGAGAAAACGCAGGAAAATTTTCTGCAAAAAAACTCGGTGACCAGATTCAAAATTTCCCACGTTAATTCTCTCTTCTTTGTTTTGTTTCAGATTTTAATTACTTTTCTCGGAGATCTTTTCTTTGTTGTTGTTGTGGAGATTTTAAAGAACTATGGCGGAGGAACATCGATGCGAGACACCAGAAGGTCATCGTCTTTGTGTTAACAATTGCGGTTTCTTCGGAAGCTCAGCGACAATGAATCTTTGTTCAAACTGTTACGGCGATCTCTGTCTCAAACAACAACAACAAGCTTCCATGAAACCAACCGTCGAATCATCTCTCTCTCCGGTGATCGCACCTGTTCTTGAAAATTACGCGGCGGAGTTAAAGATCCCGACGAAGAAGACGGAGGAGAAAAAGCCGGTTCAAAATCCGACGGAGCAACCTCCTCCTCCGCCGCAACGGCCGAATCGATGCACCGTGTGTAGGAAACGGGTCGGGTTAACCGGATTTATGTGCCGGTGCGGGACGACGTTTTGTGGGAGTCATAGGTATCCGGAGGTTCATGGTTGCACGTTCGATTTCAAATCGGCGGGACGTGAAGAGATCGCGAAAGCTAATCCGTTGGTTATAGCGGCGAAGCTTCAGAAAATATGAATCGGAGCCGTTTTGGTTTACCGTTGTTGACCTGAGAAGATTTCGATGTTCTCGGTGGATCTCAGCCGTTCATTATGTTATTGTATTACGGACACGTGTCACGCGATTAAGGCTGAGATGGTTTCGTTTCGTCATGAACTTTTTAATTATTTTCTTTGTTTATTTCCGAAAGAAATTAAAGTTTTTATAATTGTGTGGCTTTTGCTTGTAAAAAAAATTCTCTTTGGGAAAAATGAAAAGAAAATATATAGAAATTGTGTCTCGCTTTTTGGACAATGTTTTATACCAACAGAACAAACACGTTTCGATCATTTCCAGCTTCTTTAACGTTAGATCGATGAAGAAAATGAATCTCATGTATCTTATTGACGTTATTTTGCTGATTTGAGATAAAAAAAATGGAATTTAAGTTTCAGGTCAGTTGATTTAAAGAATCAGTTTACCTAATCTTCTCTAAAGCATTTAGCTTATAAGTTTTTTTTTTTTTTTTTTCCAATTTTAATGCTTTAGGGTCAAATAAGTGTAAGCTTTTTAGGCATTCTTTAATGGTAAAGACGAAGATACAATAGCTTCGAATGTGTGGCCATGTTTCGCTAAGCGGTCAGCAACTTGATTTGCTTTTCGAAATGCGAAAGAAAGGGAGATTACATCGAACATCTTCCAACGCACTTGAAGGTTATGTGCCATTGGGAGCAAAAAGGTCCAACTAGTCTCTCCATTTAGGCACAAGCAGTAATATATATTCAAAATCACGTCAAAAATTTTGATAGCTTAGTGGTAGTAAAAAAGGTTAGTTCCTTTCCGAATTCAATCTTTCTTCTTGTTACGAAAGGTTATTTTTAACTTAGAGTATCTAAAATCTTACTTCGATTGCATGGTTTATGAAAAGAAAGTTTCGGTAGATAAAAGTATATGTTGAAAGAGTTCTCAATGAGTTAAAGTAAGTGTTTGACTCCTTCAAAAATAATTTTAAGTTTTAAAATGTCTTGCATATTCTTGTGACCATTTTATCAATGAATACAAATGAACTACTGTTTCCTCTTCAAATAATTATTCTCTTTCTGTTGACATTGGATTAAATTTAGAAGTTTTCACAATAACTCAAAATAATATAAAACGTCTGAAAATATATTTATCTTTATATGACCACTTGACGATGAAGACTCAAACCAACAAAAATCTAGTGTTTGTTTTATTTCCCTAATTACTAATAGAGAAATTGTTAAAAATGCCCCTTTTTCAATACCCCTTTTCAAAAATGCCCCCTTTGAGAGTCTATTTTTAAGTTTGCCCTCTTTTAATTTTTAATGACTATTTTACCCTTATTTGAAACAAAATTAGGTCCACAAAATACAAAATTTTTTTTTTGCGGGAAAAGTGATTCCGCAATTTTTTTGGCGGGAAAATTTTTGGCGGGAAAAATTTACAAGGTTTTTTTAAAGATTTTACAGAGTATTTACAAGTGTTTTGTAAGGTTTTACAATGTATTTTAAAAGGTTTTACAAGGTACTTATAAGATTTTATAAGGTATTTATAACTTGTAAAACCTTATAAAAAACTTGTAAAACAGTGGCGGAGCTAGAATTTTCTTTTACCGGGGTCAAAATATAAAAATCATATTTTAATAAAATAGATGTGATTTTATCCAAATTATATTGCATATAAGTATATAACTTATGTTTTATAATTAAATAATAATTTTTGGTATTTCTAGAAAAGTTTGGTTGTATAAAACATGATAATTGATATACATAAAAGACAATTATAAATGGGGAAAAAGAATAGATAAAAGCAAAAATAATAAAAGTATAGTGGAATAAAAGTAATTATATAGATTTATAGTAATCAAAGAAAATGCTATTGAAGTAAATGAAAACACTTATTCACAAAATTAAAAATAAACTTATATATAATTATTAGTGGTTATAATTCATATCATTTTGCAATATTAAAAAAAGTTATGTATTAAAGGGTCAAAAGATTGGTTTTCACAATAGGCACTGGGGTCAATTTATAGGATTTTTCTTAAATATCTACATACTTGTTTAAATTTGCCATAATATTAGTTGAATTTTAAAAATTCACCGGGGTCAGTTGACCCCCATGGTTGTATGCTGCCTCCGCCCATGTTGTAAAACCTTATAACTTGTAAAACCTTATAAAATTGCTTGTAAAATCTTATAATATCTTATAAATACCTTATAAATACGTTGTAAAACCTTTTAAAATACATTGTAAAACCTTATAAATACCCTGTAAAAAACCTTTAAAAAACCTTTAAAATACCTTGTAAATTGTTCCCGCCAAAAAAATTGCGGAATCACTTTTCCCGCAAAAAAAAATTTTTGGCGGGAAAATTTTTTGGCGGGAAAAAATTTTACGGGAAAATTTTACAAGGTATTTTAAAGGTTTTTATAAGTTTTTACAAGTGTTTTGGCGGGAAAAATTGCGGGATCACTTTTCCCGCCAAAAAATATTTTGTATTTTGTGGACCTAATTTTGTTATATTTCCTTATATATTTGTGATATATTTTATTAAAAGAAGGGTAATTTAGTCATTTTGTACATAAAAAGGGGTATTTTTAAAAATGGACAGCCAAAGGGGGCATTTTTGAAAAGGGGTATTGAAAAAAGGGTATTTTTGTGAGTCTCCCTTAATAATAATATATTTCTGTGTATATTATGTGATATTTAGAAGTTTTGTATAATTTCCAAAAACAAGAAAATACTTCAAATAACTTTCATATTAATCGTATAGAAACATATCTTTCATATTTTATATTTCCATTATTGGATGAAGAAGAGTCAAACCAAATATGACCGCAATGTTATATTTTTCTGGTAAAAAAATTATACCTCTTTTGTTCATATTAAGGTGATAGAAAATTAGAAATTATGAACAAAATTTTAAAAATAATATAAATATCTAAATTATATTGCACATTTCATTTACCAATTTTAAAGATTTGTGTGTATATATTATATAAAAAAAAACTCTTCAACAAAATTAAACTGGTAAGAAATTATAAAAATTATGTAAAAGAAGGAAAAATATCTAAAACATGAAGCCAGAGAAACGAAATATGTAGGAGTATTAATAAAGAAACACACTTAATTAATTAATTCAATGGAAACCAAAAAAAAAAAAAAATTAATTAATTAATTCAATGGAAACCGCTAAATTATTAACCGTATGCCATAATTAAAATCTAAGACACACACCAAGCCTCGCCTATATATTTTCCATGCGAAAAAAAAAGATACACAAAACAATTTCGACCATCATGAACATAACTAAACTCACTCCTTGGTTTCTTTTCTCGTGTCTGATTCTTCTATCAGGTATTATTAGTCTACAACTTTTATTTCTTCTTCTTGATCTGCTTAATTTATGTATCGTATATCAAATTACAGCAATTAATTTGTATTAAATCAGTTACATTCGTTTAATTTCTTTTTCTTTTGATACGTTCCAGACTACATAAAGGTAAACGGTTCAATTTCTCCATCTAGCGAGCAGACACAAAAAGATGGAATTTTTGGTTTTAAACCTAAGAAGTTGTTTGTGTTCGGAGACTCGTATGCAGACACCGGAAACACACCTTTCCTGATCGCTCCCTCGTGGAGGTTTCCCAACGGAATCACTTTCCCGGGAATACCTACCGGGCGATTCTCTGATGGTCGTAGCTCCACTGATTATCTCGGTACGTATGCAATCTGTCAAAATATCTCAATCTGTAAGATTTATAATATTGTAAGCAGATTGCAAAACCTAGTGAAAAACTCTTACATTAGATATGTCTAATTAGCTGTAGCATTGCATCTCTTATATAATGAAACGGAAGTAAATAAATTTTGTTATATTTTATATATTCGTAATCAAGAGTTCATTATAGTTTGTTTTAAATGTTGACCATATAATAATTATTTAGTTTAACGTTTTCACTCGCTCAAAATGCAAGATATCTCTAGTTTAACGTAAATCGGTTGCAAACTCTTTCGCTAGCTATTTGAGAAAACTTTTACATGGGTAAAAATATGTTTTACTCAGACACATGTATTCATATACTACTATACTAGTCATTTGCGTACAAAAACATATATCAATAATTCTTTAGTTTGACTCATATTATAACATGTAGCGAAGTATGTTGGAGTTAGAACGCCGATCACACACAAATGGGGGAAATACGGACGACCGAGACTAGCTGTGAAAAGAGGAATGAATTTCGCTTATGGTGGAGCCGGTGTGTTTGAGACTATGTTCAAATTAATTCCTAACGCTAGTGTGCAGATCGATTTCTTTGAACAACTCCTCAGGAAAAATGTTTATTCACCAGCCGATCTCAACTCCTCCGTCGCTTTCTTTAGCATCGTTGGCAATGACTACCTTACTTACAACAGACGTAATGGTACCGAACAGGTACAATACCGTTTCTTTTCTGACTAGGGTTGTTAAAACTGATCAAAATGGATTATTAGTTGACCATTTTGATCCATATATTATAATTTCCTAAAAACATATTTTCCTCATTTTGTGAATATATCAAACAAAAAATGTATAAAAGCTGGTTTAACTTCAATCTTTATTTTATGATAGCTTGATGAATTTGAATATGTATGATGATGATTATGAACTTATATATTATTAAAAACTAACTTTTTCGATTTCTTTTGAAAATATAAAATTTGGCAGGGTCGTCCAGCACTCATAAGGAGAGTTGTGAAACAGATTTTGGTAGATGTGAAGCGAATTAAGGATTTAGGAGTAAGGAAGGTGTTGGTGGCTTTATCACCACCGCAGAAATGTTTGCCTTTGCTTGTCACTCCTAAAGGCTGTGATACCAACGACACCTCGACGCACCTCCACAACAGTCTTCTCCGCAAAGGACTGATAAAACTAAACACTAAAAAGATTAACAATGATGATAAAAGTTTCCTCCCGTTTGATCTCTACAATGCCTTTGTGACCATATTCAAGAACAAAGGAGTTCCAGGTTTGTTAGTTCTTTATTTTGCAACTAGAATCACAATCAAATATATCCAAACACAAGTGATCACGTCTTTGATAGATTAAACAGAAACACATATACCAAAATCAAATATAGACTTTATAATGAATGTTTTCATTTGGGCAGGAGTTTCGACATTTCCGGATCCGTTTAAGGCATGTTGTGCAACAAAACGAGGTACCTCTTGTGGAGATATAAGCCTGAGTGGTAAAAAGTTGTACAGTCTTTGCGAAGATCCAAAATCATTCTTCTTTTGGGACAATGTTCATATCACTGATCAAGGATGGCGTTCTGTATTTTCTCTTCTTCTACCTGATTCACAGTTTTAAATCAACTAAATCAAAATTCAACAATTATCATGAGAATAATGAAATGTCTTTTAAATTTCAATAATAAAATTTAACAATCAAATTCCGGCCAGGCCACTTAATTGTTAGCTAGAGTCAAACCAAGGGGTACAAAAAAACAAGTCCAAACTTTAGGGGCATAATAATAAAACTTTTAGGTACGACTTATCAAAAGTAAAACTAATGGGGCGTTATACGAAAAACAAGGAATACAGGGACAAGTAGACAAAGAATCTTGCAAAGTCTTCTTTCTTTGTTTGATTCTCATCATGACTTCACTTTTGTTCTTTGTCGCTTCAATTTCAAGCTTTTTCCTAAATTCGATTTTGCGTTGTCAAAGTCATTAAATTCGTTCAAAGTTTTGATTATTCCGATGAGATCTCCAACGAAGACGATGCCTTCGATGTCACCATCTTCAATTTCCACGGAGAAATCTCCACCTCCGTCAGATACTTCAATGGCTATAGTAGCTTTCGATAACTCCACTACTCACTTGTCTTCTTCTCCATCGCCGCCACATTCTCTTGATCATTCCAGTGAATCGGAGAAGGAAGAAGAGAAACGTAGACCCGAGAGTAGGAGAAACAAGAATCCGGTGAAGGTTGAGGAAACTACATCTCCAATAGTGGTGGTTCATAATCACAATCGCTCTGTGAAAGAAGTGGTTCCAACGAGGAAGAGTGCGAGAGTTGGTTCTGGGAGAAGTAGTGGGCAACGATCTGGAGCTGTTTTGGCTATTTTGAGAAGGTCTAGGAGGGAAGAGGTAGTAAAGTTTTCAGCTTTAGGGTTTCGGTTGAGTGAGGTTGTGTTGGCTTTGATTTCGTTTTCAATCATGGCTGCTGATAAAACTAAAGGTTGGAGTGGTGATTCTTTCGATCGTTACAAGGAGTACAGGTAATCTATTTGTTGTGTTTGTGCTTATTTCTTCTCAGATGGTGATGTTTCTTGAATTTGGGTTCAGGATTTAGTTTAGGGTTTAGGGTTTTATCATTAGTGTTGTGTATTTGATAAGCAATTTGGATTACTTTAGTTTTAGTACATGTGAATTGTCTTTAACGCTTGCGTGGTCCAAGTCTATGTTTTGGTTGAACTTGGTGAAGGACCTAAAAGCAGTAAATTTTGTTCCTTTTAACATTGATTTTTATTTGTTGGATCGTAAGAATTCATTTGCAGTTTCCATTTTGTTGTTTTTGTCCAATATTTGAAGTCAGTTTAGTATGCTTTGATTTTGAAACTAAACTGATATCTATGTGTCATCTTCTGATATCTGTGACAGGTTTTGTCTGTCTGTGAACGTGGTTGCTTTTATATATTCTAGTTTTCAAGCATGTGACTTAGCGTACCATCTTGTAAAAGAGAAGCACTTGATCAGCCACCACCTTCGACCTATGTTTGAGTTCATTATAGATCAGGCAAGTCATTAACTTACTATCATTCGCCATTCTAAAGAGCCTTATCTTGTTCCCTCTATGGTATTCCTTTCTTACTTTCGTTCTTGTATGATCTTGGCTCAACTCGGTGATGAGAAGACTTGGTTATAGATTATTCCTGATATTTTGACTTGCACTTTTAGCTGGTGTTACCCTGTCTCCTATGAGGCAAAGAAAAACACTTTGTGGTTAAACGTTTGATATTGCTACGTTTATCAACCTTTTCCTCTTGCTTTAGCTACATAGCAGCATAGGTTGAAAGGGACTTATCTTATAGTTAGGAACAAACGGTGAAAAGTGACTCTGTCATTCTCGTTTGACCAAACTACTCCCCTCATTGCAGAAGTTTTTTTCCAAAAATTGCAAGCTGTCTTAAGTCGCCCGCAAAATGTTTTAGATCAAACTATGAAGTACGTAAGGTTTGTGTTCTGAAGAAGAGTATTTGCTTTTTGTGTTTGTGCAATCAGGCACTTGCATATCTGCTTATGTGTGCCTCAACAGCAGCAGTCACTAGAGTTGATGATTGGGTTTCAAACTGGGGAAAAGACGATTTCACAGAGATGGCAAGTGCCTCGATTGCTATGTCCTTCTTGGCCTTCCTTGCCTTTGCTTTCAGTTCACTCATTTCAGGTTATAACCTATTTAACCAAGACTCTCTCTGATCCTCCCAACTTTTTGTATAGGTCCACACTCCTTGTGTGAATGTATAATAAAAAAGATCAAAATATATCTCTTAGCATTGTAATTATTATATTATTTTTGTAGACTATATATAAAGGTTTCCAAAAACTCTGTAATCTTTGAGGTTAATAAGAGAGGCATATTCTGTTGTCAAAAGGGTTACTAAAACTCTGACAGAGCAAATGGCAACAACTTTCAGTTCTTGAGACCTCAGACTTTGGGGACTATTGTTATTCTGTGATTTTTGAATGGAGAAAACTCAGAAAAGGTACTTTAGTCATCTTGGAGTAAGGGTATTTTAGTCATCTTACATTTTGGACTCTCGGACTTCCTGCTGCTGGAGAATATCAATAGTCGCCAAAGAAAAAACAAAGGATTGTGCTTTTGCTTCGTCTCTGGTTTTTTAAATAGAGAGACTCACTTCTCAGTTTGACAAAAACTAGGGTTTTTAGCTTTCTCAGATTTGTTATAACTTCACCAAGTTTTGACCTTTAACCACCGATCCAATGGTTGGTACGAAGAGACTTGGTGGTTCCATCGATGACTCCCTCACGAAGAACCGTGACGATGAAGTTGAGGCGATGCTCAGGAGGAGAAAGCAACTAAAGACAACGACGAAGACGACAACACCATTGAGCTTGTCTTACTCTGCTTCAAAGATGAACTGGTCTAAAAACGATGAGCTTGTCATTCTCGGGGTTAGTTAGTAAATTTTCTGCAGCTTCTCTAAGTTTATTTATATTCTTCTTTTAAATTTTTATTACTTTGGTCTTTGTTTGTGTGTGTAAAAGGGTATTGTGGACTATGAAAACGAAACGGAATTGAGCTATAGATCTGACTGGGATGCCTTTTACCGTTATATCAAAGATTCTGTAGAAGCCAAGTTTTCGAGAAAGCAGCTCATCGATAAGGTCAAGAGCTTGAAGAGAAAGTTTACATACAATCAGGGGAGATCTAACGATGGGGAAGAACTTTCTTTTACTAATACTGATGATGATGAAATCTTCAAACTTTCATTGATCATATGGGCTGAGAATGAAACAGAGTATGTTTCTAATGAGAATATGGACCAAGCCAAGGTTAGTGTGTTTGTTCTGTTTTTGTGTTACTAATGATGTGCAATGAATTAATGATCTTGTTTTCTTGTTTTGAATAAGGATGTTCCTTCTGGGGAGAAAGAGAGTAATGGTGTGCCTTGTGCGGAGCAAGAGCGGGTGAGTATAGAGATTGATAATGGTGAGAAAGAGAAATTGGACCAAGCCAATGTGAGTGTGTTTGTTCTGTTCCTACAAATCTTCTTATTACCACCTCAAAAACATGAATTATTGATCTTGGTTTCTTCTTTCGAATAAGGATGTGCTTTGTGAGGAGCAAGAGAATAATGATGTGACTTGTGAGGAGCAAGAGAATAAGGATGTGCCTTGTGAGGAGCAAGAGGATAAGGATGTGCCAAGTGTTGAGCAAGAGCGGGTGAGTATCGAGATTGATAATGGTGAGCAAGAGATGAGTGAAGAAGATGATGTGGATGAGTTAGGTGATATGGAGGACACACTTGACTCTGGGATATCGTTTCATAGTTTAGATAATAATGGTGAGAAAGAGAAGAGTGAAGAAGATGGTGTGGTTGAGTTGGGTGTTCTGCAGGAGGTACTTAAGGCAGATACATTTTTTCAAAGTTTAGGTAGATATCAACAAAAGTTGCTGCTTCAGAATTTGGAAAACATTGGAGCTGAAAAAAGAAAAGAGTTAATCGACGAATGGAAGGCATTGTTTGTCGAGGAGCTGCAATTGAGTATCAAGAAACTAACTTTCACCGCAAAGCTTGCAAACGGAGGAGTTTCTCCTTGATTCAAGAAAGAAAATTTCTGCTTTTGGAATGATTTCGATGTTTTAGGTTCCTTCTATTATTAGTGCTTGTTTTGTCTTATGATGTAACTTGTTCTATGTACTATCCTTATCGTTTCTTTTTATGATGACTCAACAACACTTAAACACTTGCTATTCTCACTTTATGTTCGAAATCGCGAGCGATGGTTATAGTCTTCCTTGAAGATCTGTGTACTTCCAATCACTTTCACTATTGAACCTCTCAATCTTTGGTGTCATATTGATAAGAAAAACACGATGTATCTATGATCCGTTCTTGTTCTAGATCTAGATAAGTAACATTTAGAGCATATTAAAACGTCAACTCTCTTGATTTCTGTTCTTTTTCACCACCATTGCAAATTCTCCTTATTAGTTTTGAAGTGTTGTGTTTGTTTCTGACTCTTCCTTTTGGGTTGGGCTTCGATAACGATTGTTCAGGCCCACTAAGATTCTTTTAATTGTGTCACATTCGAGAAAAAGACACAACCAGTTAAAGCCAAGATTCGCATTTTGCCATATGCCATTAATTTTCACCTTGTGATTGATATTTTTTTTTTTGTACTACACGCTCAACGAGACCATAGATCAGCTCAAATATTTATTACAGAATTCTTTTTTTAATTATCGGAGATGAGATTGATGTGAAATGTAATGATAGACGAAAAGAAAATAAAAAAAAGAAACGACGAATTTGGACGTAATTTTTCAGCGAAAACATATGCTTTGGGACCCACACTTTCACATTTCAACTTTATCATCACACAGAAACACTAAACACCAAAATCCCCGACAAATTTAAAGAAAATTTTTCCAATTTTTTTTTTTTACTCTATATCTCTGTGAGATTCTCTTCAAGCTCAGGCCTTTAGGCTTTAGGTTTCTTTTGGGAGTCTCCTTGAGCTCTGAAATCACTCTCTAGAACCTATTTCGCCTCCTAATGTTAGTGGGTACGTCTTTGTAACTGTACTCTTGCTTCTGCATTTTTCGATCTCTGTTGCTTTTGATGAGATTTGGGGACTGTCTTCAGGGGGATTTCAAGATTTTGACATCTTCAATGTTTTCTTAAAATTTGAATCTTCACGTAAGCTAGTGTTCTTAGCATTCTGTTTATGTTAGCTTCATGAGATCTGGGATCTCGAGGCTGCTAAAGTTTTTTGCTTTGATTTCACATTTAATGTGTTTTGAATTTACTCATCTCTCTTTAGGTTTGGTTAATGTTTAGCTGAAGTGACTTTGAACCTGGCTTGTGGTTTTGATGGATTTTCTTTCTATTAAAAGTTTTGGTTTCCCTACAAAGATGTGTTCTTTTTGTTAATTAAAGTCTAAAAGTGACTAATCTCTATCTGTACTTGTGTAGGGTTCATCATTTGAGTCTATAAGTATAATCACTTTTCACTGTTCATTTCCTTTTTAAATCTCTTGTTTCCCTTTCCTTACTTTGTTCATCATTTCTTCTTCCCTTTTACTCAACAGACACTGCTCTTGCTCTGTGATTTATTTTAAAATAAGCCATAAGGTCTCTTCTTGTGATTGTTGCAGGGTGTTGTACCGGAATCTTTAGGATGAACCAAGGAAGATGAGTCTCTCGGTCTTTCAAAAACCAAGTCTTGGAATGAGGAACTGTCCACTGTTGTAAAGTAAGTCATTAAGATGGGATCGTTTGCTGGTTCTTGTGAAATTGTTGAGGAGAAGGATGTGGTCAGGTTGGCCAAACATTCTAGCAGATATTGTATGTCACCTTTGGGTTCAAGTAAAGATATGGAGCAGCGTCCTGCACTCAAGTCAGGGTACCAAGGTTCTATGGAGTATGACATTGATCAGCTTTTCCAGTCTATAACTATAAAACCATCACCCAGACGAGTGGTGGGCTCTTCTTTCCATCATCTTGAGACGAGCGCAAGTGCTGGTACTAGCAGGAGCACAAGCCCTTCAAAAAAAGGCGCTATGAAAAAGCCCTTTCCCATGGGAACCCCTCGATCACCAAGAGTTGGCCCCTCTGATTCAATATCACTGAAGCAGGCTCTGAGAGATCTTTGCATCTCCAAGGCATCAGAAATGGCTTCCCAGAAACGTTTATCAAAATCTGCTGCTGCATCTCCGAGGGTTTCTGAAGCAGACAGGATAAAGAGTCTTTACAGACAAGTTTTAAATGAATCTGCCGGCAGGTCTGGGCTTCCTGTGGACAAGGGTAAAAGCTTGGTTGAAATATCTTTGACGCCGGTAGATGATATACCCAGCTCCTCCCAGAGTGTACCTCAGCGGTTTGATGTCCTTGAGACAGAGCCTTCTAACTTCATTTCTGAACCATCTCAGGCTGAAATCCTTCTCCACGTACTTGGAAATAGGTCGGGATTAAAGACAGTGGGATATGAAATGCTGGAGAATGCATCAATGTGTAAATCCAACAAATCTGGATCTTGTCTCAGTTCTGGCAGTGGAGATTATGAGATAGAGATAGATGAAAATCCTACATCTCCTCCTCATGTGGTCATTGAAGATCAATTGGTGGAAATAGACAAACATGTTACCTCGCTGCCTTCCTGTTCTGGCAGCAAAGTTGATGCTGAAGAGCTAGAAAAGAGCATCGTCTCATCAGCTAGAGTGAAAAGTGAGCCAACCGCTTTGGGCTCAGGGTTAAAAGGAAAGTTGGATAACTCACCTAGTTCAGGAACAGAGAAGAGCAAACCGGTAAGCAAGGTAACAAGAAATATCCCACGTCCCAAACCGCGGCCAAAGAAGAAGATATTGCTTAAAAAGAAGCTAAAAATCGTTGTAGCTTCTGCTACAAAAATGGTCGAGGAAGTCGATACTTCCTTAGAGCCTAGTGCAAGTCAACTTCTGTGCCAGAGATGCCACTGTGCGGTAAAGAGCACCAGCACTGAAAACCACCCGCCCTCTAATACTAGTCATAGTACTGATAAAAGTGTTAGTATAGAAGCAGATCAAGAACCACTCGCAAGCGCGCGTCTCATTCGCATTGTCAAGTGTAATAAAGAGGCCAGCAAGGGTTCCTCTGATTCTTGTGAGGTTAGTGATAGCGGTGAAGCTGTCATTGTCAAGAAACAAGAAGTCTCTCCAAGCAATTATAGTGGAAAAGGTGATGCGGATGAACAGATAAGAGAGAATCCAAATTCCAGCGAAAAATTTGAATTCTCGTTGAGCTCAAAGAATAGCCTAGGGGATTATAGCAGCAGCACAAGCATGAGTGAGGAGAGCAATCTGAGCAGGTTTAGCTGTGGCAATAAACCTCACATGTCTATGGATGTGAGATGGGAAGCAATTAAGCATGTTAAGCTGCAGTATGGCTCTTTAGGACTCCGACATTTCAACCTTTTGAAAAAGCTTGGTTGTGGAGATATCGGAACAGTCTATCTTGCTGAGCTGGTTGGTACAAACTGCCTGTTTGCCATAAAGGTCATGGACAATGAGTTCTTGGCCCGAAGGAAAAAGACACCAAGGGCACAGGCAGAACGGGCAATCCTTAAAATGTTGGACCATCCTTTTCTGCCTACCTTGTATGCGCAATTTACTTCAGATAATTTATCGTGTCTGGTGATGGAGTATTGTCCTGGTGGTGATCTTCATGTCCTGAGGCAGAAACAGCTCAGCAGGTGTTTCTCCGAACCCGCAGCTAGGTAAGATTACATTTCACTTTGTTATTATGAATTTGTAATGCTCACAAAGTCTTTGTCTGGTTAGCAAATTCAGTGGTAATATACAGTAAAATTGATGATATTGTTGACAGGTTCTATGTAGCAGAAATCCTCCTTGCGCTGGAGTACTTACACATGCTTGGTGTTATATACCGAGATTTGAAACCAGAGAACATTCTAGTCCGAGAAGATGGTCACATCATGCTTACAGATTTTGACCTCTCACTCAGATGTGCGGTGAACCCGACTCTTCTCAGATCAACTTCTCCACCCGAGAAAGATCCTGCAAGGATGTCGGGTCCATACAACACATCGAATTGCATACAACCTCTATGTATTGAACCATCATGTCGGGTCCCATGTTTCAGCCCTAGGCTCTTATCAACCCAAGCAAGAAACCCAAAACCAAGAAAAACGAAAAGGCCTGATCTTTTGGCCCAACAGTTCAGATCATTGCCTCAGCTTGTGGCTGAACCAACCGAAGCAAGATCAAATTCGTTTGTGGGTACGCATGAGTACTTGGCCCCGGAGATCATTAAAGGAGAAGGACATGGTGCTGCAGTAGACTGGTGGACATTCGGGGTCCTTCTCTATGAGCTTTTGTACGGGAAGACACCTTTCAAAGGTTACGACAATGAGGAGACACTGTCCAATGTTGTTTACCAGAACCTCAAGTTTCCTGATAGCCCGCTTGTGAGCTTCCAGGCAAAGGAGTTGATCAGAAGGCTGCTGGTGAAGGATCCAGAGAGTCGTCTCGGGTCAGAGAAAGGAGCTGCAGAGATCAAAAGACATCCCTTCTTTGAAGGATTAAATTGGGCTCTCATCCGATGCGCCATACCGCCTGAGCTGCCAGATATCTATGAAAGTGGTGCAACGGAAGCGACTTCTCCTGATGGAAATAATAGGTATCTTGAATGTAAAGCCATCGGAGATCATCTCGAGTTCGAGTTGTTTTAGAGAATAGTGAAAGACAATAAGGTCTAAGCAGACAGGAAACTTTTCTGTTAAGCTATTAATCTATTTCTTCCAAGTCTAATAGGTAAAGTTTTGCCTCTTTTTTTTTTTGCTTACCAGATTGATCCAGAATCTGAATTAATATTCTTAGGTTTTGGATCAGAAATTGGAATGGTAAACAGTAAGAGATGAATGGGAACAATGTTTTCCTTCATTCATTCAAGTTTATCGTCTGAAACAGACAAACTTCGAATCAACTCTATATCTAAAACTCTACAAGAGTCTTAGTAACAGCATCATTGATTCATTGGCATGGCTTTGCAATAAGTTGGCAGCAATATCATCTTAGAAGTTATAAAATCCCACCCAAGTTGGTGAATATATTCTTTATTCTTTAAGGAATTTAGAGAAAAATCTTCTTCTTTACTTTTCCTTTGGCGGGACGTGCTTTGTTTTGGAATGGTGTCACGGCAAAGCAAAAAACTCCTTTTAGAAGGTTGAAGCAAAAGCAAAAGCCCAAAAAAAGAAAGAAAGCAGACACTGAAGCAGATAAATAGAGTTTTAAGTGTTTGGAGCAGAGGAACAAACAAGAACATGAATAGCACCAACTCAGGAGCTACAACTTCGACCAAAAGCAAGATACCAATGGATGAGAACCAAGAAGAAGAGATATGGCGAAAGTTTCAAGCCCGAGAAGAAGAGATCGAGAGAAAGAAGATGGCGGTTAAGGACAAGATTCAACAGCGCCTTGGGTTTGCAGAGGAAGCCACAAGAAGCTTGACACAGACATTGGAAGTAAGTTCAACAAGCTGTTAACGCCCACAAAAAACACCCTTTTCAAAATAAGCTATAGCATCCATACAAAAAAATACTCTTCAAAAATGCATATGAATGCTAGTGGAGTTTCTATGAAAACTTATGTATCCGTATTAAACAACACGAACATTGTCTCAAAGGGGCTAGAGATCATGGGAGATCCAATGAGGAAGGAAGTGGGGATGGTAAGAAAGAAAATCGAGATGGCAAATAGAGAAATCAAATCTTTGTCTCAGAGCTGCCAGAAGAAGGTTTGATATAAGGGTCTTTATTAACAATCCTGCTTCCTTTTACCTCTACAACTCTTTTATATCCATCAATAGTCACACCAGATGATAAATAAATGCCAGGAGAAGGAATACAAAGAGATCCAGGAGGCTTTCGACGAAAAGAACAAAGAGAAAGCTCACCTTGTTTCAATCTTAATGGAGGTAAATCAACCGTACCCTATCCTAGCTCTGGTTCTCTAAGACTTTTAGCTTTGTGTATAATTGTGGTGCTGATCGCAATCTCGGTGATCTTCTTGGCAGCTACTGGCTGAAAGTGAAAGAGTAAGGGTGAAGAAGCTGGAAGAGATCAACAAGACTGTTGGGTCCTTGCGATAATCAATTCTACCTTTTACATGGGAACTTGTTTGACTGTTTGAGGTTTTGGATCATTTATGGATTAAAATTCCTTTATTAAAGTGAGAAAACGTGTAAAAGAATGTAATGGAAAAAAAGGGTTGCCTCAGGGTTTTAAGAAATTCATACCTAAAGATGATTTTGTTCCTTGTGAGTTTTGTGGCGACTCCTTAATCAGATTACAAGAGTTTTGTATTCTTCCAGCAACTTCGAGATGTCATTAATCCGCAACTGAGCACAGCAATGAACTTAGACATGTCAGAGTGCATGTGTAAATAATGAATATGATGTGTGTCTTAAGATGCATAAAAGTTGTAGACGGAAAAATAAGGAAGAGATAGAGTAATGAATATCGTCAATGCTGTTATGCATCACAGTGGTAACATCTATTTCTTTTGGGCTTCTTGCGTATTGGGTATTCTCAGTGCAGATACGAAAACTAAAAAAAGTACATGTGCTCAAATCAACTTAAAAATAGATTATTTAGGCAGCCACATAATTCAAGGTGAGATTTGTGCAAGGGTCATTACGATGATGCAACACGTTGATTAATTGGTTTCAAATGTTCAAGAGAACTCATAACAGGAGGAAATCATGCAGTATTACCTCGGAAGAACTTTTGACATGATAAAACGTAAAGGTCTTCGTTCCAGGGAGGCCAAAATCAGCGGATGTTAAGCTGCTCCGTGTACTGAGACACTCGCCACAACGATGAAAACAAAAATGTGTGAAGGAAAGGAAGAAGCAAATGTCAAATTTCATAGCATGTAATAGTTTTTAGAAGGGGTAGAGGAAACAAAACTTTTACAACCTTAAGAAATGAATCAGTTTCAATAATTTCTTCGCATTAACAAGTCTCAAGGGCATATTCAAAACAAAGACGACATCCATATCAATTTTTTATGTCACTCCTAAAATCCCACAGGATTTATCTAAATTATCTTACTGTCATGTGGTGATTCCGAAGAACAACCATCTGACTAGACATACAAAGATAATCTAAGTAAACAAGAACTTAGTCCAAAACAATTGGCATGGGTAAGAAAGAACTCACGTGAATTTTCGGGTAACAAGTCGCTGATAATCTCGAAGTAAGGAACCAAGCTCTTTTAGTTGTAAAGTTCTTGGAGTGGACTCTTTCCAATGCTGACGAAGTGCTTGAGTGGCCATCTTTTCATTGGGAAGCATTTTAGTACAGGATAGCACAATCATACATACTGAAATAGAGAAGGGAAAGATCACCTGAATCATAGAGGCCCGGTCATCAACTACATCTCCCTCAATTAATCTTGTTCCTAATTCAACGAATTCATGATCATCTGACTCCTCGGGAATTTGAAGGCGCAACCCTGATGAAACAGATATTCCCATTTTCTTTTGCAATTCAACAATACTGAATCCCTCTTGTCCCCTTTCCTGCCGTGACCAGACTCTCTAATTGTTTAAACAAGTTGAAAAGCTAATTTGACTGCATTGGCAAGAAACACATAAGTGATATTTAGGAACTCAAATTACCTTGTCCAATTCTCTCTCTGACTCTTTAATTTCAGGAGGGTTTATAAGTTGAGGTACAGAAGACCTCTTGGCTATTGGATCGTCTGAGAAAAGAGAAAAGAAAAGGGGTGAGGTTGTGATTTAAGTGGAGAAGTTTTGAGTTAGGTCTCTATCTAGAGTTCCAAATATAGTTCTTTCTTTAAACACAAATAAGAAATTTTCAGAAGGCTAAACAGTTCACTAAAATTCAATCAGATGCGTAAATTTCATAACTTCCAATTATAAACTAGATAAAGAAAAAGAGCGTGCTAGAAATTGAAGAGTAGCTATGCCTACAACCAATATCATAGACTATGGCCAACAGGATGATTAGTTTGTCTGGCGACACTAAAGAATATTAACATATAAAATATTTCCAAAGATAATAATGATAATGTGTGTACACACAATGATAAGTTAGTTGGCACCAAATAAGAATAAAATACCTTCGGGAACCAACCACCAGAGATCACCGAAGGTCAATTTTCCATCAAAACCACCAATTAAAAGATGACGTGCCCCAATACCAGTCATGGTATGGTAAGCTCGAGGAGGAGGAGGCTCATTGCTTATTGGTAAACGCTTCCACTGAGCAGTTACTGGAATATGAAGACAAAAATTTAGCAGAAAGAGTAACAATGAATTGAAAAAACTGAAGGGTGAGCAAAAACCTACCTCTGTCCAAAATTATAGTATCATTATAATAGACATCATAACGACTCAGCCATCCACCAGTTCCATGTCCCCCAAATAACAGAAGCTGCATAAACAGATTTAATGATGTGAGTGATGTAGGTCACATGAACCCATCCATACCCGAAAGTAAAAACAATGAATAAGGAGCAAGGAGCAAACAGGAGCTGAAAAGACATACATAATGCCCTCCAGATGTAACTGTATGACCACATCGAGATGATGGTGCTTGTCCAGGAAGCTTGAGTTGGGTCCATCCAGGTGTTTCACGCTCTTTCTTCCACAACAAAGGTAAACCACAGTATGATCAATAAACAGAAAAAGACGACATAGAGGTAACCTACTAGATTCAATGCATTTTTAGGAAGTTAAGGATGAACCTTCATCTATCAGACCCTTCAAAGCCCACAAATCACCCATGATTGGACCACCACCTCCTGCCAAAGATAACTATATTACACACCAATTTTCACTTTTGTTGTTATTGACTCAAGCCAAACAAACTGTGATCATGACCTATTCCTTTGACTTTTATATCTTTCAGGAGTCTGATTCTTCAGCAATCACATTTATCAGTTCCGATGTTCAGTAAAATAAGGGGAAAACGACTTGAGTAACAATGTTTTCTTTGTACTGATTATACCAAACACCTTAACATATTTAAGGACCGAAATCAAGGTGAATTCGGAAGCCAACAGAAAGAATCTACAAAGTTTTGGTGTAGTACCTCGGCCACCGAAAACAAGTAACCGTTTCTCAACCATGGTGGCTGTATGACCACATCTAGGAGGTGGCAATGATCCCGAAACCGACAGCTCCATCCATTCAAGGGACACTAATGGATACCAAGAAACTTAGCATTATCGGCATATTAAAAGAGTTTATTGCAAAAACTTAACTAGAAGAGAAATATTAAGATTTACTTGTATCCATAACATATACATCTGACAGCCACTTTTTACCATCCCAGCCGCCACACCTGCCAACGATCTAGGTTTAGCTATGCAGGTAGCAAGATTAAATATAAACCTAAAAAGATGATGACGTCCAAGGTTTGATACTTACAATACAATTTTTTGGTTGCCAATAGCAGCAGCGGCAGCAAAATCACGAGGTGTAGGTAAGTCGCCGAAGCTAGTCAGCTCAGACCACTGCCATATATCTGCAGCAAATGTTAGCAGCCATCATAAATACGGATATAATAGAAGTTCAAAAGCAGAGTATTATAAATTTCCAGGCAGGTCTCACACATCTTTGTTAAAACTTACATACATACCTGTATCTAGAACCCAAAAGTCTCCCAACCTGACATAGGTTTACAGAAGCAAGCTACTTAAGGCCAGTGAAAATAGAATGTAAAGCCACTATAACCTAAAAATATACTAGTGTGTACCTCTTGCCACCAGAACGTCCACCAAAGATGAACATATGGCAATCGATTGTGATGGCAACATGAAATGCACGCGGTGTAGGACCCACTTGTCCTTCAGACTCGCTACCAGTACATTCTGGCTCAAACCAGAGTTTGTTTTCTAGTCGACAAGATAAAGAACAAACATTTTTAAGACAAGCAATTTTTCACGTGATCAACGATGTTGAGAAACCATAGACTGATATAAGTATAACCACCTACACTCGAGACCATAAACAAAAACCACTTTCACTGAAACTCAAAACAAGGAGAAGAAAGATACTCAGAATATGAAGTGCTAAACAAAACTAGAAGTGATAAAAACTAGCTTTGATAAATCATCGCACTAACCAAGACAACATTCGATAAGCTATCAGAAACACTACTCATCACAAGCTAAGCAATCCAAGACAGTAACTCATAGGAAAAAAAAAGCATCTTCATTGACAAACCAATGAAAAGAACAAGGAACCAAATAATCATAATGAAAGTACTGAAATTTCTTCCGTGTAAGAACATTCATTTTTTCTCAAAGTACACATGATCAAAATTTCAATCATTAGGAAGCTTTCTACAAAAACAGAACCATCGAGAAGCCAAAGATAAAGGGATCAGAGGATGATGTTACCAATATCATAAACAACTATATCATTGAGGAATTTCTTATCGACGAGTCCACCAAACACCACCACCATGGATTTTCCGACATTGACAGCTGTATGTCCACTGATACACAAACACCAACAAAATCAGCTGAAAATTCAAAAATCAACAAAATATAGAATAAGAGAATTATACCTCCGCGCCTGCGGAGGAGTTCCACTGAAATCGGAAGAAGAAGCTTGAACCCAGTGATGCATTTTTAATTCAGCCGATGATCACGAAATCTCACGATTCACCGTTTGGATTCGCTTCAAGTAGACTTCTTCTTCCCGTAGAGTCAATCAATTTTGCAGATCGAAAGCCAATAATTTGGTTTATGCTTTAATACCGGTTTAGTTGAGGATGTACCGGTTTTCTCCGGTTATTAAAAAATGGAAATCCAGATTTTTAGGTTTAAAAAGCAGATGAGTTTGAGTTTGAGTTTGTTTTTCTTTGATTCACCGATTGCAGAAAACAATGGCACTGAGCTCACTCGATGAATTCGTGATTCTCGTCGTGAATCAACAAGACGCATCTTCTTCGAGTCAAGATATTTCGATCTCAGCTTCTGAAATGGCTTCCTGGAATTTGTCAGAGATACTCTCTTACGGAAGAGTAAAAGTTCGAGCTCATCGAACTAGGCAAGTGTTTCTTGAATTCTTGGTTTTTCGTTTTCTATGCAGGCTTATTCAGGAATCCTCGTATTTCCATGGCCTTCTAAGCGGAAGCTTCAGGTATGTGTCTCTCCTTCATTGTATATACAAGTGTTTTGGTGTATATATATAGTTTCCAATTTTTTGTTGTGTGTATGTATTGATTGAAATTGGATTTGTAACAGTGAATCAGGCCTTGATCATATCTCTGTTGAATGGAATCCAGAGACTTTCTTGAATCTTCTCATGTTTTTGTATGGTTACGATATAGAGATTACATCCAGTAGTTTCTTACCTTTGTTTGAGGTTAGAATTTTGTATCAATCCTCTGCTCTCTTTTTTCGTTTTTCTCTTGTTACATGCTAATTATCGAATTCTGAATGGCGTATATAGGCTGCGCTCTATTTTGGGGTGGAGAAGCTGCTCTCTAAATGCAAAAGCTGGCTTTCAGTGTTGGCATTATCGAATGATACTGCATTACCGAAACTAGAATTGTCTGACCTTATTCAGATGTGGAGTTTTGGTCTCGCGCATGGTTAGAATCTTGCGAGAAATCTCTTATTAGTTGTTAGATTAGTTAACTTTTCTAAATCATTATTCATTTGGTGATAACTTACAGCTGGAGAATTTGTACCAGATCTCTGTGTGGCTTATCTTGCAAAGAATTTCGTATGTACCACTTACTCTTCCAATATATCCTTCCTAGTAGCTGTTGGGTGTGCTCGTGTAATCGTCTCCATGATATGTAGGATGTATGGTAGAAAATGATGATCTTATGTTTGAAAAATCTAACTTCTTCCAATTTGGTAGTTTTGGTAGCTAATAACGGATCCTTCTGTCTTCTGCAGATGTTGGTGAAATCTGATAAGTATTTTGGAAATGTTCCGTATGAGTTGTTGATGTGTTGCATTAAACATTCCCACCTGACTGTACACAGGTAAGTTTGTGGCCATTTTCTATCTTATCAGTGCAAATATACCTAAGATTCTCACCTTTGACTTAACTCTGACAGCGAGATGCATCTTGCTGATGCACTTCTTGTTTGGCTTGATACCGGCAGAAGAATGTCCGACTTGTCGGATAGTAGTCAAGATAACACAATCAACTTGATGAAACAGGTAACGTTTAGAAGGTCTGTCGCCTATGCATAGATGAATAAAGATGTTTAGCTTTATGGAATTTTCACTTTAGGATTTTTTTTGTTTTCTGGGAAATTATATTGCAGGTCCGTTTTAGTCTTTTGCCGCTGTGGTTTATTGCCGGTAATGTCATGACAGATGCCTGTGATATATCTCCTACTTGATGATTTAGCAGAAAGTCGTTTAGTTTAGTTTGTTCCCATATATCAGGAAGAAGCAAGTCTCATGGATTCTCAAAGTTTGCTGATCAAAGCATTGAATTGGTGACTAAACTAATGAAAATGCCATCCACATGCTTGGTCGATAGTCTAACAGATGGCCCTCCTACTGATCTCAGAGTTCGGCTGACCGAATACTCTGAGGTATGTATTCTTCAATGAATTTTCTTCCTGGATTTGACTAACTAGTTGTGTCAGAAATTGTATTTCAAGTTTTGATAGAATTTCTACGAGCATTTATGTTGGGCATCTTATAAAGTTCACTTATGTACATCCACATCCACATCCAACTTTTTCATTACGACGACATATAAATCCAAGTCTGTCCTACATTTCATATATTTAGACATTGGATGTCTTTGATTCATTTTGATAAATAGGTGAGTCCTTGAAAGCTTTATGTTGTCCTGTCTAATTATGCCTTTGTTCCCTCAATCAGATATTGGATCTCTCAGGATGTCCACAGTTAAATGAAGCGAGTCTGCTACTGTCAATACTGCCTAACTCGTATTTCGCAAACCTCAGTTGGAGAAAGAGTTTGAAAAGTTTCCTAAAGAACCCTGACGACGATGAAAGACATCAAGAACAATTATCTAACAGAACTTTACCAATTTTGTCTTTCGAATCGGTGAAAGAGATTGATATTTCCAAGTGCCAGAGGCTTGATTATAAAGCTGTGATCAAGTGCTTCTCTAAGTCATTCCCATCATTAAGAAAACTGAGAGCTGCTTATCTCTTTAACATCAAGGTGTCCACAATGCTTGAACTTCTCCAGAATTTTTGCGAGCTCACTGAAGTTGATTTAACAGTTGATTTCGCTCCTATAATACCGGTTCAAGCATCGGTGTTTTACTCTGGCCAAGGTCATTGTTCGTTATCGAATATCACAAGACTAACGCTGGAGGGTAGAAGTGACATATGTGGTTAGTCTTTTGTTTGTTTTTTTTGGCTACTTTCTTATACTGCCAATTGTTTGATCTACCGTATCAATCAGCGAAGTCCAAATATGCTCTACTTTGACAATCCAAATCCCATCTATTTTTCTTGTTGCTGCTAATTAATTAAAAGGTAAATAAACTGTATATTTTCGTAACTGATACCTCAATTTTGCATTGCAACAGATATGGAACTACGGAGCATCTCTAGAGTATGTGATTCGTTATGTTACCTGAACATAAAAGGGTGTGCACTACTCTCAGATTCATGTATAGCATATGTTATACAGAGGTGTAAGAAATTATGCTCTCTCATAGTTTGCTATACCTCTTTCTCGGAAAATTCGATTTTGGCACTATGCGCTAGTATTTCTATGACCAATGAGCATATGGATTCAAATTCATTAGCATCCAGTCTTCAAATGCTTCACATGAGTAAATGCGAGGGTGGGTATTTTTGCCATTTCAGTCTCTCGTTAATGTAAAAGATCAAGGCTTTAACATAAATTTAGTGTTACATTTGCAGGAAGTAGTGAGACATCACTTCTAAAGTTGATAACTCAGACACAAAAAATGAAGAGTCTTTGCTTAAGGGATACAAAAGTTTCAGACAGTGTGCTGTGTGAATTACCCGGCTCTTCCTTGGAAGCACTTGATATTTCAAATACCATGGTCAGTCATTCATTTGTTAGTATGGTATATCTTACTTCCACGGGACATAGCCGTATTTAAGTGATGCTCTGATTCATTATCTATAATGCATCAGTCCCATTAATGCTCGGAGCTTTTTACAGATATCTAGGATGGCTCTTGCTCGTGTAATTAGCAGAAATCCTAATCTAAAAAGCCTCAAAGCAAGAGGATGTAAAAATCTGCTTCAATTACAAGTTGATGGGAGAACTGAAAATTCCTCTCCGTTGTTTTCTGGTCAAGAGGTGTTTAAATGTTTAAGCAAGGGGAAAGGATTGGAGGAACTTGAGATTGGTTGGGGGTTTTCTTATTTCTCTCTCGAGTCTTTGAGACCTGCAGCTTCGTTTCTACGAGTTATAAGTGTGGGTTTGGGTGCTTCCTTAGGTGAAGATGCTTTAAAGCTTCTACCTTCAACTTGTCCTTTGCTAGAGTCTATCGTCCTCTATTTTCAGGTAGTTCTGATTCTTTTGAAATTCGAAGAGTATTATTGAAAGATAAGTGAGTCTCTGATCTTTTCCCATATTGAACTAATTTTTGGTTTGCCAGGAAATATCTGATTCTGCCTTGACAAGTATCCTGACATCATCAAAGCACCTGCAAGAGTTAGCTTTGTCCTATTGTTTCGGAGACATATCCCTTCAAAGTTTCAAGTTCTCTATGCCGAACCTGAGAAAACTTAGGCTTGAGAGGGTATCTCGTTGGATGACCAATGATGATTTACTTGTTCTCACACAAAGCTGTCCGAACTTGACCGAGCTTTCGTTAGTAGGATGTTTACACTTAAATTCAGGTGCAATCTTTATTTTACTGGGGAACCAAGTCATCTAGCCTCATAATACTGTGCTATTTCTGAAGTTTGCTCACCTCTTGTTTTGATTTTTTTCTCTCAGATTGTCAACCTATCATCTCAGCTGGATGGCCGGGAATGATTTCTCTTCATCTAGAGGTTTGTTTTGACCCTTTAAGCTTATTAGTAATGTAAAACTTTTAGTAATCCGTAAGGTTTTTTTAATCTTAAGGTATAATGATCTACCAACCTAAAACTTTTAGAAGAACAGTAACTCGCTTTTATAACTACTTTAACCATATTTGGGTGATAGGAATGTGGAAATATAACAGAGAATGGTGTCGCTTCTCTCTATGGTTGCATTGCTCTGGAAGACCTTTTGCTTCGCCACAACGTGAGTTTTCTTTTATATATCCATTTTTTTAGTGCTATGTCACATCGCCTCAGCTAGAACTATAAACTCTTTGATGTGTCAAGCTTTATCAATGGTTTCCATGTTCCTGTTTTCTTTTTCTTTGTTAAGGGCTCTGGAATACAGAAAAGCTTCCTTCTTGATGCTACGTTGAAGGTAAATTTCAAGCACTCTCCATGCGTTTTTTACGTCAAGAGATTTTTTTACTTAATTCATATCAATAATGAGCAGTTTCCGAAGCTTCGGCTGGTATCTCTGGACATGTGTGATGCAAAGGAAGGCGGCTTCGATGTCCCAGAGGTAAGTAATAACAGAGAACACCTATGAAAGTTTACTCAGTAGCTAAAGAACACCATATGGAATCAGTTCATTGTAGCTTTAGATCGGAACAATATTCGCATACTTTTGGTAATAATAAAGAAAACATTTGTTGATATTGTTTTGGAGTGGCAGGAGAAAGAAGAAGGTCGTAGTCTAAGCATAGTGAAGATCAGTAGATGCAAGTCTGAGAGATGCGCGCTGGGAGGAGGCGTGGCTCCAGATCATAGAGAGACGCTGGTCATGTTATGGAATGGCCAAAACTTCACTAAAACGCTACTAAAACAAAGACTTTGATTACCACTCTAGACTTTATGATGTGCGTGTAGTTGGTTTTGATATTTTTGTTGTAGCTGAAAGATTTTTGTTTTGAATTTAAAATTGAAGTTTGGTCGGTGTAGTTGTAGATTAAATTGTATGCAACTTGACCATCTTGTATTGAATTTTGTTGGCCGCACATAAAACGTGTATGGTAAAAAGACTACCATACAAACATACAAAAAAATATTTTTCAAAAAAGTAGATATGCACCACACCTTTTTCAAATTGATGCTCATATTCAGCAAAACTTATTGCACCATGGTCCATTCTTATAGCCTTGAAAGTAGATGGTGTGAGCGATTAAATTAAAATGCTGATTATAAATCACTAAGAGCATCTCCAATGCCCAACTTCATTTTTTCCTCTATTTTAGAGATGATTCTATTTTAAAGGAAATATAGTTGATTTTGCTCCATTGTATGCCTTTAAAATAGAGTTAGCTCTAAAATAGAGAAAAAATGTAGAAATTACTCTATATATAGAGTAAAAAAGAAGACTACTCTATATTTTTCTCTATTTTAGAGGAAACTCTATTTTAGAGACATACATTGGAGCAAAATGCCTCTAAAATAGAGTCAACTCTAAAATAAAGGAAAAAATAGAGTTGGACATTGGAGATGGTCTAAAGAAATTGCTCATTGCAATGTTAAGTTTTTAGGCTATTATTAAACGCTCCGGGAGTTGACTATTAGATTTTGTGTTGATTTTCATAAGCGGTTTGATTTATAAAATAAAATGAAGAAAAATAATTAGGTTTCTTTAGAGGACACACTCAATATCCGTTGAAAGTCAACTTAGCAGTTGTTTATCAAGGTGGGTTTTTTATTTAAATATAGTAAACAGTCGTCTCGTTTAAGATTTTTTATAACGATTGGTCTTAGAAGAAAAAAATCTTGTAAGAAAGCTGGATCAGAATGTAATTTTAGCAATTAAGGTTTCGGGAAAAGATTTTAAAAAAGAAAAAAAGAAAAAAAAAACAAGAAGTCACGTCTCTATAATTATAGTAACTAAACAATAAAACCAATAAAGTAATTAAGGTATGGCCGACTGGTTGGGGACAAATCTATGTGGACAGCTTTTCATAAGGACATCTTACGTTTAATAAAAGATCCACTTAAAATTTTATTGTACAAATACTAAAAACACAGATATTTTTCCAGCTACAAGAAAATAAAAAGATTATTATTGGCGTTTTTCAATTAGAGAAACAGTTTATGAAGTTTTTAACTTTTTATGTCAGTTTTTTTTATATGTAATTGGATTTTGTAGGCTGAAAATCTAGACTAGTAATTTCTTGAGCATGTAATAATCGAAATTTATCAAGTGCTAATATCTCAAGTAGTAATTTTTTAAGACAAAGTCTAAATATGGTTTCGAGTGACACTTGAAAAAAACCATATAAAATATTTTGGTCTCTGTGATGTAAGGGGACGATCAATGACACCAGGGCCGGTCCTTAGTTGTATGTGGCCTAAATCATAATTAAAATATGTGGCTTTTGTTATTAAAATAATTTTAAAAAATTATTAAATATTTAAATATTTTAATAGAGTAAAACAATTTATGAAAATTAATTTTTCTAACTTTTTAGAATGCCAGAGAAAAAAGAAGCAAACTGTTGGTCTACATAACCACTATACTAACTTATTCTTTTGACCATGAGGCCTTCAGATTTAGAATATATTGTGTGGCCTAAAGCGGGTGCTTTACCTGCTTTATGGACGGGCCGGGCCTGAATGACACCACAAAACAAAAATTGTAGAACTAATGATAAATAGCGTTCCAAGAACGTGATCCATGCATGTGGTTTATTATTATTGGGACCCTATATTATTCATGTCTGTATGTGTATATTTGTAACGTGCAATGAAATTTTTTGAGTTTTTGACAGGTCAAATATGATGCATGTACACTATTTCTAACGTGTAATAAAGTATTGACCGTCCATACATATAAAAATCATAAACTAGTGACGCTCTATTCAAATATATAAGAAAAAAGAAAAACACAAATATATAAGAAAAAAATTCGTCATAGGTGACGCCATACATTACGTGTGCATGTATTGTTTTATTCAAACTAGATATTCATTATAGTTTAATTTCTTGCCATGATTTGGATTAAATTATAACTGGAATGTATTTTTATAAGAATTTAGGTTCGATGAGTTAAGTGTAGCTAAAACAGGATTAAAGAGAGAACTTGAACATTTGCATTTTGCAGTGTTCAACAAAAAAAAAAATAACAGGAAAAGTTAAATCACCAATTTGTTGAGTACACTGCAAATTTTTATCTATTAAACAAATAATTAAACATTTTGGGAACTCTCTTTAAATCTTATAAAGATTTGAATTTGATTATTAAATAGTACTATTATTAATGATTGTGGTTATGATGAATGGAATGCATGGGGAATAGCTAATTTGAAAGACTCTTGTCATGTGATGAAAATCCCTTACTTCGTGGGTTGCGATATCTCTTGCGTTTATTTCTGACCGTCCGATCTTCTCATCCAAACATGTGTAGTCATGTTCATTGATTATTTATAACCATCGATCTATATGTATATAGATAGCCATATGAATGATTTTTACTCAGAATAGTCTTTAAAATTTATTTCTGTTTAAACCTAGCTTTCAATTTTTCAACTACCAGTTTCTATTAAAGCATATACTATAAGTTTATCTACATATGGGTTTCTACTTTCTACTGATAGAGTGTGCCCATGCTAACATAAATGTCATTTTGTATATTATAATAGTTTTCATATGAAATTCGAACTTCAACAGCAAAAGAGTAAGAATCGTTCCAAATTGTACGCAAATCTAAAAACAAAAGTAAGTTCAACATTATCGAATAATAAATATGGATTCCCTTCAAAGTTTAAAATCTTCAAAGATATGTTTTGTCTCAACTTAGTGCATTCTGCATTGTACTTAAAATCACATTATATCAATCTGTATATGTTGTTTATGATCGCATAGTTTCCGAGGGTGTCCAATTTCCATATATGTCCTCCTCTTATATTTTTATCGTGATTAATCTTTGACTGGAAAAAAAAACTATCATGGCCAACATTTGATACAGAATTATCAGAAACATTTTAAACCGAAACCTTAACTAATATTTGAAAACTATATAAAAGTAGCATTTATATTTCATTATTACAAAGGGTAAAAGAATTAAAACCTTATACATGAATGATATTAATATATCAACGGCATTTGATTTGAACTTTCATAATCTAAGTCAGCGCAGCCTTTAAAGTCAGAAGCTCAAACCTGACACCTCGAACCTATTCAAGCTGAGAATGCCTGGTCGACCATTTCAGGTCATGTTTTGTCATTTTTGGGCTACGAAAGCACTATCAAACAAACAACAATTTGTAATAAGAAGCGGAACTAACCAAAAATATCGAACGTAATGTTGAACACAAAACAATATTTTTCCGAGTGCATTAATTTGATGTCCAAGGAAGATGAACGGCGACTACAATTGTGATTACCTTCCTAATAATGAAGCCCACCGCAAGAAAATTGTGTTAGCGTAAAATAACGATTTAAAGTAAGAAAATAAAAATGCACAGTATATATCATGATTTATTTTTAATGTAGGAATTACATTTTTTTCTACTACTAAGATTTTCACTAAATCAAAGCCCTCAAAAGTTTGCAATCATTTTTTTTTTTGGTTCTACCCTCAGAAGAAAACAAAGACAAGAAAGCAAAAAAGTGACTATTGAGACACCCGTATGTCGTTGTACGGCTCTGACTGTTGACAATGTTTCCTCATCATTTTGAGATGGTAATTAAGGACTAATGAGGAAGTAACAGTATCTGTTAAAGTGTAAGGTAAAACAATTTAAAATTTACTACTTGATAATAATTTGTGTGAATACTTCATATTATTATTTTAAAATATACCGTCATTATTTTGCCGTTATAATCTTTATTGTTTTGTGTTAGCAATTAGCTCTATCCTCTATGCCTCTATCACTAAGCTCATCGTAGTGTAGAATGAAAGTGTGGTAGTTTCAACTTTCAACAATAATCACATGCATGTCTGCGCAAAGACTTTAATCTTTTTTCAACTTTCAACTACCTACAAGATTATTAAACTAATCAAATCATCATTAATTAGTAAAATTTTAATTCATCGAAATGATGGGATCATAATAAGGTGTGATATGTCTGCGAAAGAATCCATTGTCAAGAAAATTCGTCTAAATTAGAAGACGTACTTAATAAAAAAATTAGGTTATGTTGCAAATAATCAAATATATGATATTTCATCACTATTAATAAATCCATAAAACAATTATATGATACAAATTTGTAACACAAACACATATTATCAATTCAACATTTTATTTTTCCTATATATAGTAATGAATTTTTTTTTAGATTTTATAACTAATTGAAATCGACATACATACTAATAAATATTTTTAGTATATCTTTCGGAAAATAGTGTAAAATACTATTTTAATCTTATTTACCATTTAATTTTAGACTGATGACAACAGAAAACAGACAAAAAATAGTATTATAAAAAAAAAATATTGTCACTCAAAGCCTTTTTTAACCCGCCTCTTCTCTCTCTCACCTCCAAAGATTCTCTCTCCCCTTTAAATTGTCGCCGGAAACGAACCGACGAACTGAGATTCAAATCTCAACTTTTTCGGCGGCGATGTTAGGACGAGATGAAGATCTGGTCCGAACAATGAGCGGGAGAGGAAGTTTAGCGTCCTCAAGTCACCGGAGTTTAGCCGGAGCTGCTTCAAAAAGCTTCAGAGATGTGTTCGCTCCCCCAACGGACGACGTGTTCGGTGGGAGCGAACGAAGAGAAGAAGATGACGTGGAGCTCCGGTGGGCGGCGCTTGAGAGGTTACCGACTTACGATCGGTTACGAAAAGGTATGTTGCCGCAAACGACGGTCAACGGGAAGATTGGACTTGAAGAAGTTGACCTCACGAATCTTGCACCTAAAGAGAAGAAACATCTTATGGAAATGATTTTGAAATTCGTTGAAGAAGATAACGAAAAGTTTCTACGGAGATTGAGAGAAAGAACTGACAGGTAAGACTTTAATTTCAGACAAAACAGAAACTCTTTTTTTTTTTGGTCGTCTGACAAATTTGTTTTTTTTTTTTGTTTTGTTTTGTTCTTTTATTTTATTTTTGATTTTGGCGAAAACAGAGTAGGAATCGAAGTTCCGAAAATAGAAGTAAGATATGAGAATATTTCAGTGGAAGGAGATGTTCGTAGTGCAAGCAGAGCTCTTCCGACTCTCTTCAACGTCACTTTGAATACAATCGAGGTTCAGTTTTTTTTTTTTTTTTTTTTTTTTTTTGTGGGTAACTTTGTCTTGTTCGATGTTGTTGAGAAAAAGTAAGATCTAAAGAAGATAAAACCTAACTTTACGGTCTTGGCATAAATTTTTCACTTTTTTGGGATAAAGTCTTGTCGGGTCCAAATTAGATACCTTTAAAATGTCAAACTTTTATGTGTGTAAATGTCAAAGTTGTATGAAACTGTTGCTGATCTCTTTATTTTACTGTTTATTTGTAAAACAGAGCATTCTTGGATTATTCCACCTCCTTCCATCTAAGAAGAGGAAAATTCAGATACTTAAAGAGATCAGTGGCATTATCAAACCATCAAGGATGACTTTATTACTTGGTCCACCAAGTTCAGGGAAAACAACTTTGTTACAAGCTTTAGCTGGGAAGCTCGATGACACTCTCCAGGTTTGTTTTGTTGTATCATATTTTTATATATATGTGTGGTCTTAAAAGCTCCTGGTTGAGTTAACATTTTTCTATGACAAACAGATGTCTGGAAGGATAACTTACTGCGGTCATGAGTTTCGTGAGTTTGTTCCTCAGAAGACGTGTGCCTACATTAGTCAGCATGACCTTCACTTTGGAGAAATGACGGTGAGAGAGTCGGTGGATTTTTCTGGCAGATGTCTAGGTGTTGGGACTCGGTACCAGCTTTTGACTGAGCTCTCAAGGAGGGAAAGAGAAGCTGGAATTAAGCCAGACCCTGAGATTGATGCATTTATGAAATCCATTGCCATATCTGGCCAAGAAACTAGTTTGGTTACAGACTATGTACTTAAGGTACAGCTTTTTTGTTTCTCTCTTTTTCTAACAAACAATATAGTTTGAGCTTATCCTTGGTTAATGTCATTTGACAGTTACTTGGTCTGGACATTTGTGCTGACACACTTGTTGGAGATGTGATGAGACGAGGTATCTCTGGTGGACAGCGGAAACGTCTAACAACAGGTAAAACTTTTGAGTATTACATATGTAACTTTGATATTGCCATGATAGTGAAGATGTGTTCATTAACTTGGATGACTCTTGTCTAAACTGAGCAGGAGAGATGTTGGTTGGACCAGCAACAGCTCTTTTCATGGATGAAATATCAACTGGGTTGGATAGTTCCACAACATTCCAAATTTGCAAGTTCATGAGGCAACTAGTTCATATCGCGGATGTCACGATGGTCATTTCGCTTTTACAACCTGCTCCCGAGACATTTGAGCTTTTCGACGACATTATCCTACTCTCAGAGGGCCAAATTGTCTACCAGGGGCCACGAGACAACGTTCTTGAGTTCTTTGAGTACATGGGTTTCCAATGTCCTGAAAGGAAAGGTATTGCAGACTTTCTGCAAGAAGTTACGTCTAAGAAGGACCAAGAACAGTATTGGAACAGGAGAGAACAACCTTACAACTATGTATCGGTGCATGATTTTGCAAGCGGCTTCAATTCTTTTCACACCGGGCAACAACTTGCTTCAGAATTCAGGGTTCCTTATGACAAAGCTAAAACTCATCCTGCTGCACTAGTGACACAAAAGTATGGTATATCAAACAAGGATCTGTTCAAGGCATGCTTTGATAGAGAATGGCTTCTTATGAAACGTAACTCCTTTGTGTATGTGTTCAAGACCGTCCAGATAACCATCATGTCTTTGATTGCCATGACAGTCTATTTTAGGACAGAAATGCATGTCGGCACCGTGCAAGATGGTCAAAAGTTTTATGGTGCTCTCTTTTTCAGCTTGATAAATCTAATGTTTAATGGAATGGCTGAACTAGCATTCACAGTGATGAGGCTCCCGGTTTTCTTCAAGCAGAGGGACTTCTTGTTCTATCCTCCATGGGCTTTCGCCTTACCCGGTTTTCTGCTGAAGATTCCATTATCTCTTATTGAATCAGTTATATGGATCGCTCTTACATACTACACTATTGGTTTTGCTCCTTCTGCTGCCAGGTACATTTGCTAGCTTCTAGTATTCAAGAAGATCACTAAGGAACTTTCTTTATTTTTCTTCTATTGTCATTCCCTTAGACTAACCAAACTTGTTCTATTAGGTTCTTCCGGCAGTTGCTTGCATACTTCTGTGTCAATCAGATGGCACTTTCTTTATTTAGATTCCTTGGAGCCCTTGGGAGAACAGAAGTCATCGCCAACTCGGGCGGGACATTAGCATTGCTAGTCGTATTTGTTCTTGGAGGCTTCATTATTGCTAAAGGTAAGCATATGATCCCTTTTTATGCAAAAGAACATATACCAAGCTTTTACCGGATAGTAAAACAGTTGAGTGGATGATACTGTAGAAGTCCTTAAAGATCACATATCTTATCATAGAACATTCAAAATCTGTTTGAACAGAACCAAACAGTCCCTCTTGATATCTATGTGATTGTTAAGTGAAACATATATATTTTTTTTTTTCACAGATGACATCCCATCATGGATGACTTGGGCCTATTATATATCCCCTATGATGTATGGACAGACTGCATTAGTTATGAATGAATTTCTGGATGAGCGATGGGGCAGTGTAAGATTTTCACCTAGACCTCATCTCATCTGGTTGACTTCTCTTTACAAATTGTGATATAAATTATGTTATGTTACATGATGCAGCCAAACAATGATACCCGCATCAATGCAAAAACAGTTGGAGAAGTCTTGCTGAAGAGCCGAGGCTTCTTTATAGAACCATATTGGTTTTGGATCTGTATCGGGGCGCTACTTGGGTTTACTGTGTTGTTCAACTTCTTTTACATAATAGCTTTGATGTATTTGAACCGTAAGTGCTCTTATTTTTAACTTTCTGGCTATTCAGAACTTTGAACAAGAATCATTTTTTAGTTGACAAGATCTTGAAATTTTTTCTTGTAGCTCTCGGTAACACTAAAGCTACAGTTGTGGAAGAAGGTAAAGACAAACAGAAAGGTAGTCACCGTGGAACAGGTGAGATCTTATACCTCTATGATACTGCAGCTATCTTTTCATTTTGATTATTCTGACTCTACTAAAAGTTGCAGGTTCTGTAGTGGAACTCACTAGTACTTCAAATCATGGACCAAAGAGAGGAATGGTTTTACCTTTCCAACCTCTTTCTCTTGCATTCAACAATGTGAACTACTACGTGGATATGCCTGCAGTAAGCAACAGCGTCTCATACTTGTTTTTCGTGTTAGACTTAACGAATGCCGTGTATCGATAAGGAGTTGTACTCATTGTTTCCTTCAAAATTCTGCAGGAAATGAAGGCGCAAGGAGTTGAAGGCGATCGCCTTCAATTACTAAGAGAGGTTGGTGGAGCTTTCAGGCCAGGAGTATTGACAGCGTTGGTCGGTGTCAGTGGTGCGGGTAAGACTACCTTAATGGATGTCTTGGCCGGTAGGAAAACAGGAGGCTACATTGAAGGGAGTATTAACATATCTGGTTACCCAAAGAACCAAGCAACATTTGCTAGAGTCACTGGTTACTGTGAACAAAATGATATCCATTCTCCACATGTTACCGTTTATGAATCCCTCATATACTCAGCATGGCTTCGTCTTTCCGCCGATATAGATACCAAAACACGAGAGGTAAGTATTACTATACATAACGACGTTTCGTTGTTTTTTCATAATCACTCGCATGATTTTATAAACTGGTAACCTTTTTTTCTTTTTTAATGTGATTGAATAGATGTTTGTTGAAGAAGTGATGGAGTTGGTGGAGCTAAAACCCCTTAGAAACTCTATAGTTGGCCTTCCTGGTGTAGATGGTCTTTCAACAGAACAGAGGAAGAGGCTTACTATAGCAGTTGAATTGGTAGCTAACCCATCAATTATCTTCATGGACGAGCCAACATCTGGTCTTGATGCAAGAGCTGCCGCCATTGTTATGCGTACTGTTAGGAATACTGTTGATACAGGGAGAACTGTCGTTTGTACAATTCACCAGCCTAGCATCGACATTTTCGAATCCTTCGATGAGGTTTGCCTCCGAAAATTTCACTTTTGAGTCCCAAAACCAGAATAAATTAACCAATCATCTTTTGTTTAATGCAGCTATTGTTGATGAAACGAGGAGGCCAAGTTATATATGCTGGAACTCTAGGACATCACTCACAAAAACTCGTTGAATACTTTGAGGTGAATCATTGGTTTTTTTACCATCTCTTGGTTATATGAATTTGGAACTATATCTAGAACCCTTCTTGCAGGCTATTGAAGGGGTTCCAAAGATCAAGGACGGATACAATCCTGCGACGTGGATGCTTGACGTCACTACTCCTTCAATGGAGTCACAAATGAGCGTGGACTTTGCTCAAATATTCGCTAACTCCTCTCTTTATCGGTATGTGTTTTAAGAAAAATGCTACAACTAAACCATAGTTGTTACTCTGTCTTTCTAAAAACTTGATGTTTGACTCAGGAGAAATCAGGAACTCATCAAAGAACTCAGTACTCCACCACCGGGATCGAGTGATCTCTACTTCCGAACCAAGTACGCGCAACCATTTGCTACTCAAACCAAAGCTTGCTTCTGGAAAATGTATTGGTCAAACTGGAGATATCCTCAGTACAATGCCATTCGGTTTCTCATGACAGTAGTCATTGGTGTCTTGTTTGGTCTAATTTTCTGGCAAACAGGAACTAAAATGTAAGCCAAGCCATTCTTTTCTCTATTCCATTAGTAAATTATCATCTTATCAAAATGTAACGTATTCATCCAAAAACCAAAACAGAGAGAAAGAGCAAGACCTGAATAATTTCTTTGGAGCCATGTATGCTGCTGTATTGTTCCTCGGTGCCACCAACGCTGCAACAGTTCAACCCGCTGTTGCTATTGAGCGAACGGTTTTCTACCGCGAAAAAGCCGCTGGAATGTACTCCGCCATTCCCTATGCAATTTCTCAGGTACTTAACCATTCTAATAGTATTGCCTCAACGTTATATGATACTTTCCCTAAGATATGGTTAGACCACAATCAGAACTCAAATCTAAAAATGCTGCAGGTAGCAGTAGAAATCATGTACAACATTATACAAACCGGAGTTTACACACTAATCCTTTACTCGATGATCGGATACGACTGGACTGTGGTCAAATTCTTCTGGTTCTACTACTACATGTTAACAAGCTTCATCTACTTCACACTATACGGTATGATGCTTGTGGCCTTGACACCAAACTATCAAATAGCCGGAATCTGCATGTCCTTCTTCCTCAGTCTCTGGAATCTTTTCTCCGGTTTCCTCATCCCTAGACCGGTAAATAAACTAAGCAACTTACATTTGAATTAATATCAAGAAAAGTGTTTTAAGAGCTAGACTAACTTAACTTTTGATGCAGCAAATACCAATATGGTGGAGATGGTACTACTGGGCATCACCTGTGGCTTGGACATTGTATGGAATCATCACATCTCAAGTAGGAGACAAAGATTCGATAGTGCACATCACTGGTGTTGGTGACATGAGTCTCAAAACGTTGCTCAAAACTGGATTCGGGTTCGAATATGACTTCTTACCAGTTGTAGCTGCTGTCCACATCGCCTGGATCTTGGTCTTTCTCTTTGTCTTTGCTTATGGTATCAAGTTCCTCAACTTCCAAAGAAGGTGAAGAAACATTATGAGAAAAGATTTGAAAAACCTTTATAGATTAGTATTTGAGAATGTGTATGAATGAATTCATGTAAATTTTCTTTGAATAACCTAATTATTTATTTTTTGTCGTTTCGTATTAATAAACAACAGTTCATGTTTACAATATGATATTTTGCCTATTCAAAATCATAATACTTGGTATATTCTTTATTCTCTAGTGATTCTCGTGAGAAAAGATATTTGTGCAAGTTTGGACTCGTCCCAAATCAAGAAAAAAAAGTTAAATCATGTTTTTCAGTTACGAGTCTGAAATCTGACAACTACAAAAATGATAAAATGTTTTTATTTTTCTAATGAAAAATGATATGAGGGGTAAAAGAAGCAATTATTGAGAAATTGAGATACTAATGGGTTCCACTTAAATATCTGACATCATACACGTGGCACACTATGCTCCGTCCCAAATGAGCTTCGTGTAATATTGATTAATTTTTTTAACTTTTATTTTTGTCGTCTAGTGTTAAATTATTAATTAAAAATTAATTTATGTTTAATTTTAGATTTTATTCCTTTAAGCTTTTTCGCTCGTCACTCTCTCCTCCCAAAATTCTCTGTAAAACTCAATCTCTCCGTCTTCAATGGTTTACACGATTTCAGGCGTACGTTTCCCTCATCTTCCATCGATTAAGAAGAACTCGTCTCTTCCCAGTTTCAATGAAGATCTCAGGAGAACCAACGCTGTTTCATTCTCTTTGAGGAAGGACTCTCGTTCTTCTGGTACTTTCTCCATCTCCTTTCTTTGTTTTTCATTATATGTCTCCTTCTACTGTCACTGGTTTCGAGATTCGTGATTTCATGGAGTCAATGTGTGGAATTAATCTTTGAATCTGAATTTGATTATGCTATTTGTCTTCCTTTTGGAATTAATTGTGATAATTTCTTAGGGAAGGTTTTTGCTCGGAAGACATCGTATGATTCTGATTCGTCTTCGTTAGCTACCACTGCATCTGAGAAGCTACGTGGCCATCAGAGTGATAGCTCTTCATCTTCCACTGATCAAGTACAGTCTCGGGAAACTGTCTCTGACGATACTCAGGTTTGTTGTCAGATAGTTACGTGCACTTACATTGCTTTTTACATTTACATACTTAGATAGAATCCCTTTCTTCCCTCAGGTGCTCGGCGATGTAGACGCTCAGAAAACTGAAGAAGCCCAGGAGACTGAGAAACTAGATCAAACTTCTGCACTCTCAACATCTGGAAGCAAAAGTTATAAAGAAGATATTGCAGAGATGTCACAGTCTGTCGACCAAGAAGTTGGGCAGAGGAAGATTCCACCTCCTGGAGATGGGAAGAAAATATATGACATTGATCCTATGTTGAACAGTCATCGTAGTCATCTTGATTACCGGTAAACAATGTATTCTATTTTGCTTTAGCTTGTTTGCAAAAGAGTAATCCTTCAAAACTATTAAACAATGAATGTAATTTTTGTTAGTGGAACATGTAAGTTTTATGTTATCTTAATTTTCATCTTTCCTCTGGCTTAAAAGCTTGTGTTTCTCTTCTTTATTATGTTCTAATTACTCAGCATAACGCTGCAGATATGGGCAGTACAGAAAACTGCGTGAAGAAATCGACAAGTATGAAGGTGGTTTGGAGGCATTTTCTCGTGGTTATGAAATATTTGGCTTCACTCGAAGGTAAACTTACATTTTCCATAGCTTTAACATCTCTTGTTATTGCATTTTCAGCACTCTAGTCACAGTAAAAGTTTAGTAAAATACTCTACAGATAGTTGGTATTGCAGTTGCTAATTATAATTCACTGCTTTATTAGCGCCACTGGTATCACTTACCGGGAATGGGCACCAGGAGCTAAGGTATGTTTCAACTCTACTTTACCTAACAATTATGTTTTTAATGATTTGGTGTTATATTTGTTCCGTCGTTAGAGTTTCAGAATTTGCTTGTGTATGTCAAATGCAACTTTTTATGCCTGTGAAGAGAACTAAATCTAAAATCATGGATTAAAACTCATGTACTCCCACATTCAATCTGATTGACCATGTGATGCTCACCTATTACGAACATACCAAATTTCTTCTTTTTTTTTGCGGTGGTGAATTATTTTTTCTTTCAGTTGTTGGGGTTACAGATTTCAAAACTGGTCAAGTGGTTTTGTATTAAGCATAAGTATGAATGATCAGCCTGGGCTCATAGTACAGTAAACAGGGTCTCATGTGCCCAGTGTTGTGACATCGGTTTTGTCTTTTTGTATTCTGTTCCATGCATGTATCTGCACCTGATTGAATATCTAGATTATTGTTTTTTCTAACAAGTTATTTGGCTGGATTATGCCTTTCCAGGCAGCATCACTGATCGGAGATTTCAATAACTGGAATGCAAAAGCTGATGTAATGGCTCGGGTATGCTCTTACACTCTAATGTGATCTATTGTTTAATCTTCCATCTCAGTTGATAGTTAGGCTAGTAGTCAAGATTTTACTAGAACCTTCAATGATTCTTGTTGGTGGCATGCTTTGCTCTGTTATTATTCTGTTCCTTTCTGGAATTCTGATCTAAGACAGTCTTATCACTGAAATTTGAGCAGAACGACTTTGGTGTGTGGGAAATATTTCTGCCAAATAATGCTGATGGCTCGCCAGCAATTCCCCATGGCTCCCGTGTGAAGGTGACATGTTCATAGTTTACTCTTTTGGAAAAACATGCAAAATTGTCCGCTTTGTAACTCTTGTCGTAGTTTTACTGTATGTCATGCATTGGTAGATTCGCATGGATACCCCATCTGGTATTAAAGACTCCATTCCAGCTTGGATCAAGTATTCTGTCCAGCCACCAGGCGAGATCCCATACAATGGAGTATATTATGACCCTGCTGAGGAGGTACAAATCAGTACTCATTTTACTCACATTTGTTTTGGTGTTTTCTAGAGATAATTGAAACTCTTTCAAGCTGCAGACATCCAATAAAAACATTATATTTTGTATGCAAGTCATAACTGGTTTCCAGCATTTTCTTTGTGTATATGTGGTTTCATATTTGTCTCCCTCGCTGAAGGCCTAAAAAGTACTCCATTGTTTCAGGATAAATATGTGTTCAAACATCCTCGTCCAAGGAAACCCACATCACTGCGTATATATGAATCACATGTTGGAATGAGTAGTACGGTATGTTTCTTTCTCTTATCTTGGAATATCAATAAGTGTCAAAATATCACTGACAAAGGTAGAAGTTTAAACTACATTTGACATGACAATTCTCATATGTGCATGGCTTCCTCGCTTGTTGAGGATAGTGGAAAGTTTGGTCTAGGCATTTAAAAGAGAATTTGAGAACTAGTCCTTTTAAACAATTGAGTGTCATCGTTATTTGATGGCTTAATTAGAGAATGTATAGTTTCAATATAAGAATGCAAAAGGAAATCTCGGAACTCTTTTTTTCCAGGTTCTTGATGGCAGAAGACTTTCACTTTTGACAATATGATAATGATCTGCAGGAACCAAAGATAAATACATATGCCAACTTTAGAGATGATGTACTTCCCCGTATAAAAAGGCTGGGCTATAATGCTGTTCAGATAATGGCCATTCAAGAGCATGCCTACTATGCCAGCTTTGGGTAACTTCCTTTCCCAGATATAACATGTCTACCTACCTATCATCCAATGCATTCCTGTTAAAAGCCATTTGTTTTTGTCTCCTTGATGAATGACCATTTGACTTTGCTACATGCAACGCAGGTATCATGTCACAAATTTTTTCGCACCTAGCAGCCGCTTTGGAACACCTGATGACCTTAAATCTTTGATAGACAAAGCTCATGAGCTAGGCCTGGTTGTTCTGATGGATATTGTGCACAGGTATTGGCTTCTCGTTAACGCACTTCTCCAGAATCATCTTACTTCAGTTAGATGTCATTGTGAATCAGTTGATATGGACTTTTTCATGGATAATCATTATTGTCTTAAATAAAACCAGCCATGCATCAAAAAACACACTGGATGGCCTGGACATGTTTGATGGCACTGATGGTCAATATTTCCACTCTGGATCGCGGGGTTATCATTGGATGTGGGATTCTCGTCTTTTCAATTACGGAAGCTGGGAAGTATGTCTCTTTCCGTAGAGTTGATATTGCAATATTAATGGGAAAGCCTTTAGTGTACCCCCATGTTGGTGGTTATGTCTGTATCGGTATTAACGTTTGGTACTTGTGTATGTAGGTGCTCAGGTATCTTCTTTCCAACGCGAGATGGTGGTTGGAGGAATACAAGTTTGATGGGTTCAGATTTGATGGTGTGACTTCCATGATGTACACTCATCATGGACTGCAGGTGGTATTTTTGTATGGGATTAATTTTGTTTTTATGTCAATATATGATACAAATATGGCTTTATGGAACCTAACTGCTAGCGTTTGTGGCAGGTCGAATTTACTGGGAATTACAATGAGTACTTTGGATATTCTACTGATGTTGACGCTGTGGTCTATCTAATGCTGGTGAACGATTTGATTCATGGGCTATACCCTGAGGCTATTGTTGTCGGCGAAGATGTAAGTCATTTGCGCTTTTGTTTAGTGATACTGAAGTATCTTTGATACCTCTTTTCGGTTCTCGCAATTGATTTCGTTACAGGTTAGCGGGATGCCAGCTTTTTGCATTCCTGTCAAAGATGGTGGTGTGGGCTTTGACTACCGTCTACACATGGCAGTGGCAGATAAATGGATTGAGCTTCTCAAGTATATCCTCAGGACGCCTTGGCTTTTCAATGAGACTAAAGGGGACGTTGTTATATCATGTTGAACTGATATGGTGTGTTATAATTTCTCTAGGAAGAGAGACGAGGACTGGCAGGTTGGTGATATAACTTTCACACTTACCAACAGGAGGTGGGGAGAAAAATGTGTCGTCTATGCGGAGAGTCATGATCAAGCCCTTGTTGGAGACAAAACGATAGCTTTCTGGCTAATGGACAAGGTACCAGATTGGTTGCTGATAAGACTCAGCAAACAGAAAAACTAACATCTTACTGTCTTTGAACTCTTAAGTCTAGCTGTATTTAGACAAATTACTAGACTAAACCTTATGTTTTTCACTTGATTTTATAGGACATGTATGATTTCATGGCGGTTGATAGACAGGCCACTCCGCGTGTAGACCGTGGGATTGCTTTACACAAAATGATCCGTCTCATTACGATGGGATTGGGTGGAGAAGGATACCTCAATTTCATGGGAAACGAATTTGGACACCCAGAATGGATCGACTTCCCAAGGACTGACCAGCACCTTCCTGATGGGAGAGTCATCCCTGGGAATAATGGTAGTTATGATAAATGCCGACGTAGGTTTGATCTGGGGGATGCAGAATATCTTAGATACCATGGACTACAAGAGTTTGATCGAGCAATGCAAAATCTAGAGGAGACGTATGGTTTCATGACTTCAGAGCACCAGTACATATCCCGCAAGGATGAAGGAGACAAAGTCATTGTATTCGAGAGAGGTAACTTGCTCTTCGTCTTCAACTTCCACTGGACCAACAGTTACTCTGATTACCGTATCGGTTGCTCTGTTCCCGGAAAGTACAAAATTGTTTTGGACTCTGATAACACTTTATTCGGAGGCTTCAACCGGCTAGATGACTCCGCAGAGTTTTTCACCTCTGTAAGCCCTTTAACTAAATGAGAATGTAACAAAGAAACTCTTTTCTCCAAGTCACTACTAAGGAACTGATAATTTGCCATGCAGGATGGAAGGCACGATGATAGGCCTTGCTCCTTCATGGTTTATGCGCCGTGCAGAACCGCTGTAGTGTACGCTGCAGTAGATGATGATTATGAACGTTCTTCTCTTGTCCCCATAAGCCTGTTACCTGAAGATGTTTAGGAGCAAGACAAGGATGTCCAAGTTACCTAGTGTAAGCTTCTTTGTACTACAAAGATTTACTCTTTGATCTTCTTCTCTGTCTTCGCTTGCAGCATCATTATAATTTAAAAATGAAATAAAAATCGTTGCACTTCTACATTTGCTCAAGCTTCATATGCTTCATCATAGATCCTATATAGAGATTTGAAGTTCCAAAACATAAATCTTTGAGGATTAAAATCTGCAGAGAAAAGGGAAGAGGACAACAAAACCCTCCCCTCTTTATACACGAAATTTGAATAAAAACCCAAGACAAACAGTAAAAACAGCGTTGTTGTGTTGGTTTTACACTGGTCAATGAAAGGCTTGAGTCGAGACACCGAGCTGATGGAGAACACTGGTTGGGGAAGACGAGGAAGAAGATCTCAGGGCTTCGGCCAATGGTCCGCCCATGTGGTGATGATGGTGGTTGGACCCTCCACCGCTCCACCAGCTCATGTTTTGCTGATCTCTCCCGTTGTTGTTGCTCCGAGCTTCCTCTTCATTACCTGTGGACAGCTTCAGAGAGACATCTGAGGAAGAGTTTCCGGGCATGGAGATGGAGAGACAAGTGGCTGAGCTCATGGGGCTTGAACTATTGTCAGCTTCTTGCAGCGAAGAACGAGGCCAGTCGTCAAAGAAGGGCCTCAGGATATGTCCTCCATCTGATCTGTTGTTGCTGAATCCATTGTGGGACTCGTATGGCCTCTTGTTGTTCATGTTGTTGCTTTCTTGCTTCATCTCCGAACAACTGTTAACAGAATCCACATCTCATTGGTGAAAACAGAGCACAAAAGCAATAATTTGTCAAAAGAGATTCCAAATTTAGGCTTCAACAACATAGTTGTAGTAGCCTTTATATTTGTTTATAGGCTTTAAAAGTACCTTTTAATGCAGGTTTTATAAGAATTGATTAAGAAGTAAATAGAAATAGAATTGTTAAATGAGTGTTTTGTATCATGTGTTGTGTGTGGATAGGGGAGGTGGGTGCAGAAGAATCTAAAAGCTTTAACTTTTCTGCAAGATATGAGACATATATGGGTCAGCTTTCACTAAGGTCCTACCCTTTCTCTCTCTTTCTATTTTCTCTGTTTGAAAAGTCTCACACCTAGCTTCAAATAATAGATTCTATCAAATCCAATGTTATCATTATCTCTCAACACAAGAAAAAAAAAAAGAAACCAAACTCATAATTCAACAAACAAACAAACAAACCAACCCTAAAATGATAAGGATGTGTCTCTCAATTTCCAACATTACCCCTCTCTTCACAACATTGTTATGAACATACAAACCAAGTTGTGTATATCATTAGTTTCATAGTTAAAAATCAAGAATCAGTATTGCTTTCCTCTAAATGAACTTCATTATTATTCAAAACAATTGTCTTAAATCTCAACCAAGAATCTTATTCGCTTAAAACTAAAGAAAGAAAAAAGTCAAATGTGTTTAATGCTTTGACCAACAAGTTCAACAGCTAAAACAGACAGACCTAAGAGAAAAAACAAACAGTTTCTTTGTATTACCTTTGACTAAGGTGGAGAAGTTCAGATGAAGAAGAGTTGGAAGAGCCAGAGAAGAAGAAAGATCCTCCTTGACCCACAACTTCCTCACCACTACCACTACCACCACCACCAAAAGCAAACGTAGATGATGTTGTTGTTGTTGTGGTGGCTGTGGCAGCTGCTGATGTAGCCATGGACGTGGCAGTTGCATTGACGGTGGTTGGAGTTTCCACAGGCTTTCTTGAACGGTTGCGGCCACGGTGCATGTGGCGCTCGCAATACTTGTGGCCAGCGAAGACGTCTCTTGAACATCTCCACTTCTTACCATCCGTTCTCCTGCATCTCCCTGGCTCAGGATCCATCGCTGCCCTCCCCAAATACCCTGTTTTCAATATTCATTACACAAATCAGATCAAGATCAAGATTCTACTTAATCCCATTCACACATGTTTACATCTTCAAGATTTGCAAAACAAGATAATATACTAATATTGAAAGTCTGGATCTTGGGAACACAACTCCAACACAGTAGCACAAAACCCATCATGCATCCCATTTATATTTTAAAAATAGATAGATGAAGACTGTTCTCGAGACTCACAAGCAGGTTGGTAATGAGGGAGGTGTTGAAGAGGATGGTGAAGAAAGTAGGAAGGAGATAGATGGAGAAGACTTTTCTTGATTGGTAAAAGGAGCTCTTGAGGAACAGCAGCACCAGCCAACATGTACCTGTAAATCAGTGCTTGTAGTTCAAGTTCTTGCCACTGTGCCCAGCTAAAGAAGCTCCCCATCTCTACAAAAAAGGATTCAAAAAATCAATTAAACACAATCAGCAATTTAACTATATGAATGACAAGTCCAAGAGAGATAAGAGAAAGGAGAAAAAGACTCACTGGGGAACCTGGAAGAAGAATCAGGAGACAAAGAGGAGAGTTTAGAAGAAGTAGGCTCAGGGGCAAAGAGAGGAAGGGCAGTAGAAGTTGCAGAGTGAGATTGAATCTGGTCAAAGACATGTTTTGGTATCTTAGCAGCAGAAGGTTGTTCTTCTGACTCTGTCTGCTGTTGCTGCTGCTGCTGGCTTCTCCATTGTTTCAGTTGCAAATCCATGGAAGAGAGAGAGAGAAGTGTTGGTTACTTTTGGGATATAATGGTTTTTCCCCTTTTTTGTCTTCCAGGGTCTGATTTAATAGCTTATGAAAGTCTTGTTGGGGTTATGAAGAGCAAAAGAAAAAAAAAGAACTTTTTTTGCTCTAAGAAAAAAGCTTTGTTCTTTGTAGTCAGTTTCTGTATCTGAGCTTCTTCTGCAGAGAGAGAAAGGAGAGAGAAAGGACAGAGAAGAGGGAAAGAGGTTTTTATTAGAGAGACTTGCGAGAAAAAGACAGTGAGACAAGACAGATGGGTGAGAAAATACTATACAGTAAAAAAGACTACTAAACTTTTTTTTTTTTGATCATCTGATATTATATTAGAATTTCCAGTCATGGAACCAAAAGAATACAAGCATAGAGGAGACAGACACTCCCAGCAAGTAATTAGAGTAGACTAAACCCAACTCTACACCAAGAGCGGTTCTATACAAAAAGAATAGCTTAAACCAGTGAAGAGCTAAACAAAAGCACCAGTCAAACAGGGGACAAACCCTCTTCATCAACAAAAACCCTATGAAGCCACTGAGGATGACCTAGAGCCACATAAGATTGACATCTAAGGTCACCAGTAACGCTTTGAGCTATAAGGTTTGCTCCTCTGTTTGCGGCAGCATCTTCCACTTCAAGCTTCCACTCTAAGAAGTATCTCAAAGACCTCGTTAAAGCAACAGATTGGGGCTTGAAAGATGGCCAAGCAATAGGCCGAGTAACTGCACCAACGAGGGCCTTGTCCTGAAAGGCAAAGGAGACCCTGTTGATCTTGTGGCTGGCCATACTTTCCATAGCCCATAGAACACATCTTAACATAGCATCCTCCTTTGAGTTAATGCCAGAAAAAGACCTTCTGCTATGCAAGACCACTACCCCCATCTCATTCCTTAGTACCCACGCTCCTCCTGCCAACTTATTTCTGTTTGACCAGGAGACACCAACGTTACACTTGACCCAATTTGCCTCTGGTTTCTTCCAAACCTGCTGAGAGACTGAAACATCCAAAGGAGCACTTGACCGATGCGCAGAGACAGCCCCAGAAACCTCCACAGGATCCAAAATCTGAGCCTCAAACCACTCCAAAACATCATCCCTAATCTTTGCAACAGATTCAGCAGCAGAAAAGCTTTGACCCTCAAAAATAAAAGCATTTCTGTTACACCAAATCCGCCAAATAATCCAAGGAAAGCTTCTCCTAAGATCCAGTGGCCATTCTCTATTATCTCTGTTCAGCAGAAGGTGATAAATGTTAGAGAAAACTGAACCTTTCTGAAAACCTTCAAAAGGGCTGGGATAGTCAGAAAGAGCCCAGATTTGGCGGGACAAAGAACACAGAAAGAAGATGTGATTAATAGATTCACCATCCTCTCCACACACTTGGCAACATTGATCCACATTCATACCCCTTCCATTGAGAGAAACTGCAGCAGGAATAGCTCCACTAAGAATTTTCCAGAGGAAGATCTTGATTTTTGGGTCTGTTTGAAGTTTCCACACCAGCTTCTTTAGCTCCACGGTAGAGGGTTGAACCGCAGCCTCCGCAATCAAGTCAGCATTGAAGGTTTGATCAGCCAACCAGTAAGCTGATTTAACTGAGAAATCCCCACTTTTGTTATGCTGCCAGACCAAAAAATCATCTTGGGATATGAGAGGTTTGATTTTCTTGATTGTAATGATGTCTTGAGGCAGAAAATGAAACTCTAGCGCTTCATTATCCCAAAAGCCTGTATTTCTGTCAATCAAATCATTGACCCTAAGACCAACATCAAAAAATCTATTCTTTCTCCAAGGGGCTCTGAAACCATTATCATCAATCCAAAGATCAATCCAGACTCTAATAGACTTTCCATTACCCACTTTCTTTATCAGCCCTTTTGAAAGCAATTCCCTGCCAAACAACACACTTCTCCAAGCAAAGGAGGGACGCTGACCAACAGAGGCATCAAGGAAAGGAGAATCTTGATAATACCTACTTTTCATAAGCCTTGAAAGCAGGCAGTCCGGAGATTGTAAGAGTCTCCACGCCTGTTTTGCCAATAGCGCCTGATTAAAGAGATGAATATCCCTGAATCCTAACCCTCCCAGATCTTTTGTCAAACAGAGACGCTCCCAACTTTGCCAATGAATTTTACCAGAATGCTCAGAGGTATTCCACCAATAAGAAGCCATAGCAGACTGCAAATTGTCACAAGTCGTTTTCGGCAACTTGAAACAAGACATTGCAAACACAGGCATTGACAAAGCAACAGATTTCAAGAGAACCTCCTTACCACCTTGAGAGAGGCACCTAGAAAACCAGCCCGAAAGTTTAGACTTTAGCCTATCCTTTAGGTAGTTAAGCATGACAACTTTGGAGCCACTGAAACATTCTGGCAAACCAAGATATGAGCCAGCTCCACCTTCATCATGAATTCCTAGGCAGTTCTGAACATCTTTTTTCACTTGAATATCTCCTTTGACCCCAAAAGTAATGGAAGATTTGCTTAAGTTGATGGTCTGACCCGTTACCTCTTCATAGGCCTTCAGAATATTTTTCAGAACCAAGCTTTGCTCAAGGGAAGCCTTACAAAGGAATAGGGTGTCATCAGCAAAAAGAAGGTGATGAATTTCTGGACCATTCTCTGAAAATTTAAAACCCTCAATCTTCTTATCCCGCTGAGCTCTGTTAAGCCAATGAGTCAGACCTTCAGAGCACAATACAAAAAGAAAAGGAGACAGGGGATCACCTTGTCTCAATCCTCTTTGTGGGGTGATCATACCAAAAGGAGTGTCGTTTATTAGAACAGAGTAGGTGACAGTGGACACACATAACATTATCCAATTTATCCATTTGGGATGGAACCCCAAAGCTTCCAGCAAACACCTCAAGTAGCTCCACTCTACTCTATCAAACGCCTTTGACATGTCAGTCTTTACTGCCATGAATTCAGTAGACATTCTGGGATGAACTTTAAGACTATGAACAAGCTCATGAGCCACCAAAATGTTGTCTGTGATTAGTCTTTCCGATACAAACGCCGACTGGTTCTCTGATACAATCTCTGGAAGAAATGGCTGGATCCTTTTCACCATGATTTTTGAGATAATCTTGTATAAAACAGTGCAGAGACTGATTGGCCGCAGGTTTGACATCTCAGTCGGGTGATGAGTCTTTGGAATCAGACACAAGTGTGTATAATTCCATTCTTTGGGAAGAATACCATCAGTGAAAAAACTTTGAATCTCAGAAATCACCTGTGGACCAACAATTACCCAGTAATGTTGGAAGAATAAAGCTGACATCCCATCAGCACCTGGTGCACTTGAAGGTTTGATGGAGAAAGCTGCCTCTTTTATTTCTTGAGCTGTCACAGACTTTATCAATGCAGCATTCATACTGTCAGTGACTCTAGGGGCAAAACCATAGAACCAGTCATGGAATCCAGTGGGATTTGAGGAAGTAAAAAGAGTCTGGAAATATGCAGCAGCCACTTCACCTTTTGCTGCCTCCGACACTTGCATATTACCATTTACATCTTTTAATTTTTCAATTCTTTTTCTTTGTCTGTTTTCCTTGACTGTAGCATGAAAGTATTTGGAGTTCCGGTTGCCACTTCTTAACCATTTCTGCCTACTCTTTTGCTTCCAATAAGACTCCTCTTCCCTATAAGCAATGGCGAGATCTCTCTTCATAAATCTCACAGCCTGAACACAAGGCCAAACTTCAGACTGTTCTTTCTCTAGGGCCATCTCCAACTGCTTAATTTTATCATTGGAGTTCATGGAGTTGTTTTTCTTCCAAGAACTGAGCGCTTTTCTACAAGATCTGAGCCTAGCTGCAACAGAAAGATTAGTCCCTGGTCTGCCAGGATTCCACGACAATCTAATAGCCTCATTAACCTCTTCTTTGTGCAGAAATCTCTTGTCAAAACGGAATTGTCCCCTGTAAGAATCCTGAGAATTCACAAGCTTTAACAAGACCGGTCTGTGGTCAGACCCTCTTAAATCCAAGAAAGATTGATTAGATACAGGAAAACAGTTGAACCATTCTTTATTCCCAAAGAATCTGTCCAGACGACATTGAACCCAATGCACACCTCTCCTTCCAGCCCAAGTGTACATGTTTCCATGACTTGGTAATTCTGACATACCACAAGCATTTATCATATCAGTGAAGGGCTTGAAACAACCATCACTCCTTCTTGGCCCTCCATTCTTTTCTCCATTATGCAATAAGTCATTAAAATCACCAAACATACACCATCTATCTCTTCTTCCAACCCCAATCCTTGATAACCTTTCCCAAACAGCAACTCTTTTAGACTTATCCGGGTCTCCATAAACGCAAGAAACAAAGAAATTGGAAGCTCCAAACTGTACCTGAGCATCCAACAAATTCTTATCTACAAACTTGAAATCCACTGTCACACTACTCTTCCAGAACAAGGCCAAACCGCCACATTTGCCTATTGGATCCACAGTATAAACCTGATCATAACCCATCACCACTTGAAGATCAACAAGAACATCTCTTTTGTGCATAGTCTCCATCAAGAACAACATCTCAGGGAATAGTTTTTTACGCAATTCCTTGAGACGAGGAATTGTCAAGTTTTGAGACCGTCCCAATCCTTGACAATTCCAACTGATAATGCTCATTGGGCGTTAGGCAATCCCCCCTTTGGGATCACCTCTTGAGGGTTAAGCTTTGACAACTTCACAGTGCTTGAACCCACAACATCTGCTTTTCTTTTCTCTTTGAAACCTTTTAGAGCACCACCACCAACTTCAACTAAATTTAACTGAGGGCTTTGCAGCAGAGGCTTCTCCTTTCTGATGTACTTTGACGGCCTCTTCCTACTTTTAGCTTTGGTCTTGGTCAGAACATTTCCGGAAGATCCTGCTGCAAAGGAGCAAGGACCAGAAACCGTCGAAATGTTCTGATAAGGTTGAGACAGAGCCAAGAAGCTACCTGAACCCCCGACTGAGCAGGAGGAATCTTCATCCATGAGCCACAAACGATCTGCACCACTTTTAATAGAAGCCTCAACTAGAGAATGGCTAATAGGAGCTTCCCTGGGAAGAGAAACAGGCGAAGAAGACTTCTCGAAGTTGTAGACCACTCCTTTCTCTTTAGATAAATCATCATGAAAGACAGGTAAAGGTTCAAGCCTTAGAACAGATTTTGAAGAGAACGGATCCTTTTCCACTTCTCCAACAGAGATCTTAACTTTATCAATTCTTAACAATCTCTCCTCATCACTGGAAACCCGTAAATACTGTCGCATTCCTTCCAACACCTCAGCAGCTATTCTTGGTCTACCAGTAGATGGATCAATACCCACTTGATCTTCCTTCAAAACACCAAAAAGAGGGTCTGTTTCCTGCAGGACTGGTGGAGGCTTGGGTCTGGTAACCGGAACACCAGCTCTTCTAGCATCTGCAGCCTCTAATCTTTTTTGAATTAGCAAAGGACAGAAATCTTTCTCATGAGTCATCCTCTGGCATTCGTAACAACGTTTCTGAACCCTTTCATATTCATAATGAACCTTGGCTGTTCCTCCACCATTAGGAAGGTTAACAAGCTTTGATCTTCGAAGCGGCCGAGATACATCGAAAATAACTTTAACCCTTACAAAATCTTGAAGCTGAGGTTTGGTAACATCGAAAGCCACCTCCTTAACTTGCCCAATCTGATCACCTAACAAAGTAAGGGCCTTTTCAGTGTAGAAATTAATCGGAAGATTCCAAAGCTGAATCCACATCGGGGTGAACTGCAAATAGTTATCAGGAGGTTTTTCATACCATCGATCCACAACGATGGTCCATTCGTTGAAAGTATGAACGCCTTTCTCAAGAACCTCGACTAAATCATGCTCTGAGTTGAAGAAGAATTGAAAGCGTTCCTTCGAGAGAGCCACCCCTCTACATCTTCCAATCTTCTGCCATTTGCGAGGCATAGTGCGAATCAAATGATCCATCGGTTGACAAGCTGGATTAAGAGTACGACCAACTAAACTCAGGAAGTTTCTTTCACAAGATGAATACTCCGGCAGGAAAGGCATGTCTAGCGGAACATCTTCTTCCTCTAAAGACATGGCCATCATTGCTTTGTCCATTGCAGAAGACATGACTCCTCCGTCAAAGACCAAAACCACAGATCTGAGGAACTAAAAAACAGAAGGAAACACTAGCCTACCACCGAGAACAGGATTCGCGGAAGCTAGGAGAGACAGGAGTGAAGACAGCTTTCAAAACAACAACAAATCTTGAACAAACTTGGTAAATCGAAGAAAAATCGAAGAACCCTAGCCGTATTTGGAGAAGATGCTTTTGAAAGAGGACACAAAGTAGCGAAACAGGGTGAAATCGTCTAAGGGGAAGTGGTTTATCCCGGTCTAATCTCTCTTCTAACCTAATGGAAGACACTAGGCTAGAAAGAGGGTCTTGAGCGAATTTCTTCTTTTTGAAACATCTTTTTTTTTTTAAAAAGACTACTAAACTATAGTATAGCTTTATTAATCTCTCTTCATTAATCTCTCAGATTATTAAAATAATTATTTTGATTTAGGTAATAATAAATTAAAAAGCAAGTCAGAAAACCCAGAAAGAACCACTCTGCAAGATGTAGATGGAGAGATAATAACCTGCAGTTTTTCTGTCTTTGCTGCTTTGGAAATACCAATCTCCATTTTTATATTATTAGTATTGCTTTTTGATTAGTTTTATAGAGAAACAAACAAAAGCCTACTTGGAGTTGGGAATATTTTAATTAGTCCTTAATCAAGTGATTTGTTTGGAGATTATTTAATGAGTGAGCGTTACGTTGGTATAATTTGTAGTTGCATTTGTGACAAACAAAACTACTTTATAGTATTTGAGTTAGTAAAATTCATTAAGGTTCTCCTATATTATATCAGACGGCACTAGATGTACTTGCCACTCTATTTTCTTTTTGGACTTATAAATTTTGTACCTTCGTCCATAGATCTAGTCCGAAAATGGTAAATATCAATTCGGTAGAATCGGCTGAATTCTTGGTGGAATGAATCTGTTGCAGAAAATTGGAAAATATTATTTTGACATAGTTACTTTAAAGCGTTAAGGCAGAATTGGCTCATAAATAATCAAACTAACATAACCGGTGGAAAGAAAAAATGGGACTATGAGTCTAATAAATTCATCATGATTGAGAAAACTAAACAAATTGCTTGGAAATGTTTATACTTTTCAGTGATAATTATGCTTATCAAAATTATTAAAACTATTCAAGTAATTTCTTTGTTAGAAACATTTCAGAGATTTAGTAAAAAAAATTCTGCCAAATAACTATTGGCTATTCAGATTTTGTCAAAAAAAACTTTTATTCGGCGTATCGTGGTACGAATTCTTGTTTTCGCAAGTAAACATGACAAATCTCCTGGGAGTGTTTTTGGGAGGCCTGGATGCTGGAAAATATCGTATGAAACTTTTGTTGTTGCCTTGTTCGAAGACTTCAGGTCGGGTCATTGCGGAAAGGTTCAAGCAAAGGGCTTCCAAAGTATTTCAGCATGCAGAAATCCAAGATGTGAAAAAATATTTCGTCTAACTATCACTTCTCAATCACTATTTAACTCATCTTTTCTTTTCTTCTTATTATTACACACCATTCACACTTATAGAGTTATTATAGTAAACAAATTTAAAAGATACTTATATGAATTCATAAATTGTATGTCAGAATCTTTAGCTAAACTCAAACCCCAAAGCTTTAAAATAATGGTAGAAACGATGTCTCAAGAGTCTTCTTAGGAGCCATGTAATAATTATAGAACAAATGAAACCTTGTAAGATACAAATGAAATCTTATATGTTACGGTCAACTTTTTCCCTGTTTTTTTATGGGTTACTTGATAGATATCTCTTACTAGACTGAAACCAAAAATTTCTGGTTCCAATTTGGTTAAGGTTGGCAAACTTTTGGTCCAATAATTTCCTTCACCATTTGTCAACGGTTAGATTTTGTACTCTATTCAGTTTTTGTATAGAATTCAATTCTTTTGGTTTGATTTAGGTTTTTACATTCGGTTCGACTGAGGTAAAAAAAAAGGATAGAAGAAGAGAGAAAGAAGTAAAGAAAGAGAGAGAGAAGTGAGTAATAATGAGAAAAGAGAAGCAGGTGGGCTGTGTCAGAGAAAGCTCAGAAGTAAAAAGCATAAAAGTGAGTAACCAAGTGGGTGGTGAGGGTTTGTTTCTCTTTGGCTGTGATTCATCTTTGATTTGACTACTCATAGTACTTCTTGTTTTTCTCACTTTTACCCCTCTCTTTTCCTCTATTTTTTACTCTTCACCCTCAAAAACATTTTATTCATATTTTTCTCACACTCCAATTCATTTTACAAAATCTTAATGACATTCTCCCTTTTCACGGTTTATCTTACTATGGTTCTAATAAGTTCTTATTTCTGATGAAAATTAAACATCAAATTTTGTTATTTATGCTTTACTATATAAGAGATTAATGTAAACCTTCTCTTGACTGTATAATTTCTTAACTAAATCAGTCTTATAAAATTTCTCAAATTTCGATAACCGTATTATGTAAGTCTAAAGAAAACATTTCATCACATCATTATTTTTACATAATAAACATAAAGAAATACGAAATTGTTGAATTCATTTCACAGAAGTATGACATGAAGTATTTTACATGCTCTATTTAAAAAATTAGTACGTTTTAAATATCATTACTGGAGAATTATACAGCCTCCAACGAATAAGGAGATGACACATTACAATTTACAATGCATTGCCACTCATCGAAATTACTGGCCAGATTTCACCATTCGAGCAAATAGAATAAAAAAGTCAACTATATTTTGAATAGTCACAAAACTAGAAATACATCGTAATTACGTGACTATTTCTGATAGGTAAAAAAACATCGTTGATGTAGTATCGTATTAACGAGGGAATGATATAACTATCAATATTTTCATTTTATTAAATAATCGTAATAAATTAAAGCTTAGATAAGAAAAAAAAAAAGTTTCCTTATGATTTTTTTTACGTCGGCAAGAGAAGTTAATGTGCGTACTTGATTTGAGAAACGGTGATGGATATTTCTTTAAATTTAATTAAGAAGAGAAACGAGTTATTGTACAAACAAATCTGAAAATATAGAAATAGAGCAAAGGACAGAGAATAAGAAGAAGAGGCAAAGGAGGGCGAGAGTTCACATGTTCAAGAGAAGACAAATACGTTTCTCTGACACAAATCTGTCAGACCAATATTTTTAATTTTTATTATATAGTTTTTATTTTGTTTTATTGTATAAGAAAGAAACGTATATTATGTCTTTTACTACCACCATAAGGGTCAGGCTCAGTCCACTTGGGGTCCCAGTTTTTTCTTTGTTACGATTTTTTTTTGTAGTAAAAGGCAAGTCACGCCGGCACGCGAGCCCTCACGTGATCCCACGTGCTTTATTTATTCTCTCCATACCCAAATTTCTTCTCCTTTGTTGTTTGGTAAGACCATCCGCAGTGGTGTAAGTGTGAGGGGGGTGTAAGATTTTTTTTATTATTATAATTTAAAGTGAGAGAGAAAAGAGAGAGAAAGAAAGAGAGAGACAGAGAGAGAGTGTCTTACACCCGAGTGTAAACTTACACCCGAGTGTGAAGAGAGAGACAATTTTTTTCTTTTTTTAATACCTACACCCGACGACTAACACCCGAACGCTTGCCCCACTGCGGATGGCCTAAGGTTTTTTTTTCTGTTTTTCTCTTTTGGCTAAAATATGATATTAGCGAGATTGAAAACATGTATACTGTATTTAAAAAAATTTAGGCGTCAATTTTATGTTACCATCACTACATTAAGCATATGATAAGATTTATAAATTTAAATTCACATCTCACTATTGGTTGTATAAATTAACTACATACTAAAAAAGGCTAGCTACTACCAAACTTGGACCAGAACCTAACACATGATGTTATTTTAGTAATATGAAAAAAAAGAAACGAAAAGGAAAAGGAAAGAATAGATCTTTCTGGTGAGAGCATACAACACATTGTTGACACAAGGTATCTAAGGGCATGACCGCACGTGTCAACATGCATCAAACATGCGATCTTTCAATATTATATAATTTGAAAACACACAAAAGAATCCAATGTCAAGACTACTTTGCCTGCATGTCATGCCAATCTCTCTATATGTTTTCTAATCAATATACCAAACAAGTTGATTTCCAATAAGATCAGCCATATAGTAGATCTTAATTGAGCCATTGAGGGGTTAGAAATCGCATCTTTCATGTAAGCATTAATTTGGTTTGTAAGCTTTGGGAATATTGGTTTTGAGAGTGAAAATTACAGTGCATACGGACTTTTACATCGAACCATAAGTATAACATGTCCTTTGGTCCGTTATACAGTTTTGTACTTAATCTATATCAGTTGACGCAAGACGGTTAATGTTATGTGTTGCATAACAACTTTCAATTCGAATCTCACATATGAGCCATTTTGAGCCAAAACATGATATGATGGATTAGCTTATTTGGGTATTGAAGTATAGCGACTGTCAATTAATGAAGTAGGCATTTAGGCCCACGTACAGAGATTTGAGCCTTAACTAGAGAAGCCCAATCTAGTACATAACTTGTAAAAAAAAAATTAATCTCCTTGTAAAGTTACAACTTGTAAACTATAGGACCCTTTGCCCAAAAAAAAACTAAACTATAGGACCTTTGTTCAAAGTCTAATATGCTTTTGAGCTATTAGTATAAAAGGCCATTTAAAATTAATTGGCATTTGCTTAGGCCCAACAATGTTTCCACCTCTGGTATTTCTTCTTTTCCTAGTAAAACATATACATATTAATTTTACCAACCATAATCAACAAACCTTTTTAAAAAAACTGAACATTAAGCCCTAAACATTTTTTAACTCCTATTTAAGCAAAAAAACCCTTTCATTCCAATGCTATATGTAGTTTATGTAAGCAATATCGAGTCAAGAGATCTAATGTGAATACGTTTCTAATAAGTCTGAAATTTTTCGGATTAGTAAGTCTGGTTTTCAAGTGTTGGTTTAAGATTTCGATACGTATTCTGACATCAGAATGATCTCCATTTATAGGCTTTGTATTTATTCGTTATTAGAGTTTTTATCCAGCAATATCATGTTTGAGAAAATAAACATCGAACGCAGCACAAGTTTCCTACTTATCATTATATATTTATATAGCCCAACCTGATCCAGTACTGCACAATTTTATCCATGAAGTTTAATTCGTATAGGAATCCAACAAATATTGATCTGTTTGCTTCGAATAAATATTGGTTAAGGCCCAAAAAATCACTCTTTTAGCTATAAATATAAATCCCACGAAAATTTAGCATAGTACCAAAAAAAAATGAATGGGCATGTGTTTAAGCGGAGACTGCTAACAAAAAAAAGAGCCAAAACTATCTACTTCCATCTATTTTCAAAGTTTTTTTTTCGCAATTTTAGCAGGTATGATTCATATTTCAAACCGTTAGTTTTGGTTTTGACAACTCGAAAATAGTATACTCCATATCAGCCCATATGATATTAACTAATGGGCATTATTGTGATTAATTTACGTGTAGAGTGTAGTGATAATATATTTAGGTTTTGACTGGCAATAATGCATTTGTAAGAAAAGTCTTTGGACGTAATAGTTTTGGTCAAGTCAATGGTAGGACAGAAGACTAATTTCTCAATGACCTCTAGACAAACATATTAACCTTAAAAACAAATCCTGTCAGACCAAAGGGTCGTTGTGATATTTTTGTAACTTCAAAATGATATATGATTTTTGGAACAAAAACTAGTTTTTCTTAAGAAAAAATTAGTTTTGTTTCTAATCACAATCACTAATTGTTTTTATTTTCTAATCTGACTAAAAGAATCGAATTAAAAAGGTTTGATGAGATGGAAAGTTGTTGAACTTATTGTATAAAAGCTTAGAGAGGATATTGATAAGTCGTCTTTTGCTTTGTATCTACAGCTATGACGTATATTGTTTAATCCAAATCAAAGTGATTTTAAAGATATTTTGGTTTTTGGCGGTATACTAAAGATTCACATATAGATCTTTATGGATTACATTGATATTAAATCATATACTACATGCTAAAAATGAATAAGAGAACAATAAATGTTACACATATGATTGGTTGGATATGGTTGTCACTTGGCAGTTAGGTCATTTTCGTTGCTTTACCAAAATTTAATAAATAAAATCAAACAGTCTGTAAACATTTACATTTATATACACCAATGCCAAAATTCTTTATTTTATGCATTGGCACATTTTTTGCTTTTCCTTTACAGGCAAAACTCTTCTTTCCTAAAGATGCATTATTTTCCATTTAATAAAATACAAAACTTGACCGTACCAAAAAAAACAGAAGACAATCGAATTAAGTAATGATTATATATTAAGATTAGGTAAAATGGTGTAATTAAACCATGGGATTAATATTTAAATAAAAACAGAGCTTGCTTTACCAAATACCACCGAAACCCACTAAGAATACAGCAAATCGTCTCTCCGCCATTAAAACACCTTCCTTTGGACAAAAAGCTTCAAACTTCTCTATAACCCCCAAATCAGCAAAGATAGGGTTAATCGAAGAACCTCACCGTAAGTCCACTGAGGATTCAGTTTCTTGCTTTGGTTTAAGGAAGAAGAGCAGCAAAAACCTCAAGGAGAAGAAGTCAAAGATGACTCAGAGTCAAACCAACGACGGAGCTGGAGCTGGAGCTGTTACGACCGTAGAAGCTGTTCCTCCTCAGCCGCAGCCGCAGCCGCAGTCGCAGCAGCAGAGCAACGAGATGGTGTTGCATACGGGAAGCTTAAGTTTTAGTAGCCATATGTCGAGGGAAGACGAAGAGATGACTCGTTCTGCTCTTTCGGCGTTTAGAGCTAAAGAAGATGAGATTGAGAAGAGGAGGATGGAAGTTCGTGAACGGATCCAAGCTCAATTGGGTCGGGTCGAGCAAGAAACCAAACGTCTCTCCACTATTCGTGAGGTTTGAATTTTACTCTGTTTTCTTTTAGTATAGACCCTATAAAGTTTAGGTCTTTGTATGTGTAGAGATTCGATGTTTGTTGGTGTTTCTCTGTTTATTAGCGTTTTCAAGATCTAGGATTTGGCATGAACTGTTTCTTTTGATGGGGTTATGTTGTGTTTCCAAGAGCAAAGATGTGATTTTTGTGTTGTTTCTTGTATAGGAATTTGGGTCTATGGCAGATCATAGGATTTGGCCAAGTGTAATTGTTGTTATGATTTGATTTGATGGAGTTATGTTGTGTTTCAAAGGTAAAGATTTGTGTTGTTTCTTGTAACAGGAGCTTGAGTCTATGGCAGATCCTATGAGGAAGGAAGTTTCTGTGGTTCGTAAGAAGATTGATAGTGTTAACAAAGAACTCAAACCTTTAGGTTCCACTGTTCAAAAGAAGGTAAAAAACCAATCTTTTAGTATTTGCTTGCATCATTTTGGTTTAGCATCATCCATCATTGATACAAATTTATGTGTATAAGTAGCGTTTTAGATTGATATAAACACACAACAAAGATTTGATCTTAATGGTAGCCAATTGAATCCCTAAAGGCAGAAACTTTAACAATTGGGTTTGCCAGGCCGAATGAACTATTTGCGTTTGTCGAAAGGCTAAACAAAATTCGATTTTCGTAATGAAATGAAACAGGAAAGGGAATACAAAGAAGCACTTGATTCGTTCAATGAGAAGAACCGAGAGAAAGTACAGCTGATCACAAAACTCATGGAGGTTAGTTCCGAGCTCTCTTTGAAGTTCCTAATTTTGTAGAAACTACGGGAACAAACCCGAGTATTTCATCGCTTGTTATACATAAATAGTGTTTCTTTTTTCTTTTTGGGGAGATGGAACAGTTGGTTGGAGAAAGCGAGAAGTTGAGGATGATTAAGCTGGAGGAGCTGAGCAAGAGCATAGAAACCGTGTGAAAAGGTGTTCAAGAACTAATTGGGTTCTTTGTGTGATGTACCTACCTAGTTTAATTTTTTTCATCTTGTAAGATGTGTGTATTTTTAAGATTTGTGGGTTTTGAAAGTCTTTGGGGGTTTGATTTGTAAAATTTGTGGGTTCTCTTCTCTTATTTTTGATTTAACCAAATTAGGGATATGGGGAAATGGGAGATTCTTAGGATACTGGAAACTCATCACAGTGATTATTCTTTCTTTCTCTGTATTATGTTTTTGTATTTGTCTTTTTGAAGAATTTATTTATTTTATTTTAAATTGTTTCATTATTTTTTTGGCTTTTTAGTAAAGTTTCTTCTCGTTGGCAAAGAAGAAAAGTGACTCTCGCGTGCGTTTTTGAATCTAAAAGCTGTCGGAACGGCAGAATCTTTTCAATTGTTTATTTGCATAATCCTTTCCGTTTATACATCAAACCATCGAACTATACAAAACGGGAAATTCCAAATTTTATTATTTGTTTTTAAACGTGAACATTTTTTGAGTGAATAGAGATACCAAAGTTTTCGATTACTTAGCCACAATAAATAGATTTGGTTTAAACTTTAGGGTAGTTGCACTAAGTAATTATGAAAATCTCATTGTGTTGTTTGCAAAAAGCACAAAAGAATGCTGAGTTTCTTAAATAACATGTTATTTGATAAAATAGTATGTTATTTATAGAAAAACCACCCCAATTAATTATGGTTATATATCTTAAACACACCCCCAAAATCTTACCTGAATGACCAATTTTAATTGAATATTAACTCCATCAAGCTCTAGTTAAGAGAAACTGATTTGTTGGCTTTTGACTCCTCTCTCTCTCACTCTCTCTCAAGATGCAAAAGATCAGGAATGGAGCAGCTACGCAAATTAGAAGGAAAACAATAAAAAAAAAAGCCCCAAATTATAACGTAGAGAAGCAATAAAAGTTTAAGTAAGAACTGATGAATTGTTTGTTCAAGGAAGTAAAACAATTCTGATGGGAGTAAGAAGTCTTCAACCATTGACACTCAATATTGGAACCTTTACTTGAATTATGTCAAAACATTCATTCAGACGTACAACTTTTTCGATGCATTATCCTTTTTACAAAATACATTTAATAGTTTTTCTCTTTTCTTATTTATTTCTACACAGTTTCTAGTTGATGACCATATACATGTTTTAGCCTTTAGCTAATGCTAGAATTAAGCGAATATTGAATCCAATTGTAGACTTTGTTACTCTGCCTTGAGCTACCATTCTGGTAAGCAAACGGAGAAAATCACTATAGCTCTGGACCCAATTGCAGGCCCACTTGTTATAGTTATATTACCAAACCTATATTAGCATTTACTGTTTCTTTTTCAAATACGTACTCAACAAATGTAGTTTTTCTTAACTCGTAGATCTAGAATTTTAATTTGGATGTAAATGAAAATAATAAAACATCTTCTTCTTTTCTTAAGCTAACATGGGGAATTCTACCCCGAATACCCAAATGTATGAAAAAGAAATCCGATGTTATACTTTAAATTTGTGGTTTTGTTATTTGGTCTCACCAATGCACAGGCGACATTCCTGCTGTCTTATGACAATAAAGATACGTAAATCAGAAGATTTGATCTTTGATTTATACGACATCTTTTTTTTTTCAAAGTATACGACATCTTTTTTTTTCTCAAAGTATACGACATCTTACTCTTCTAACTTCATCATACAGTATTAGTAATGCGTTCTTTAATAACATGCATTTTCTTCTTCTTATTTTCGTTTTTGGTTTACTAAAGCGTGCACATTTAGAAAAACAGCGTCAATCCAATATCATGAGACAACAATGATAAAACAATGAAATAATACATGTGATTTACCCGTTATAACGACCGTTTTTATTGCTTTATTGGGTGGGCGGGGTATGCACATATATATATATTGAATTCGTCAGAGTCTGCCTTTTATAAATAAAATATTTTAATTCGCTAATTTTGCTATTTCATTTGGGTGAGTGACTAGAAAGGCTTAGGAAAGGGAAGAAATTACTAAAATGGCATGGTTTTGGAGTAATAGTAATATCATTATTTAAAGGCAATTTTGCCCTCAAGCATGTGTGAGAGAAAAAAAATAATTACAGAATTGCCATTAAATCTTGACAGGAAAAAGGCGGGAAAACGATAAATGCAGTGGCGGGAAAAATAAATGGAGAAATCTTAATGGCGACAGATTTGTAAGGGTGATAGATTTGTATGGTAGTTTTATCAAATATGACAGATTTGTTAGACTTTTCTGATTAATCTATCAATTAGTTACAGTAGATTTAAGTGAAGATGATAGATTTGCAAACTTGTGGTAGAGTTACATGATAGACATATTTTATGTGATGACAGAGTTACAGAAAATGTAGATTTATTTGGTAGATATACGTGCAGTTATGACAGATAATTAAGTAAAATAGATTTATCATGTAGACTTATTAGCCGTGATGATAGAGTTATGAATATGTAACACACTTATGTGGTAGAGTTAAAGAATTGATAGTTAGTCTGTCAAACGTGAAGATAGATTTTAAATTTGTGATAGATTTATTAGTCAATTCGACAGACTTATCCAACAAAATTAATTATTAGAGTAGCACCATAGTGATGGTAGACTTATTGTATGTAACGACAGAATTGTTATTTGTAAAGGTTGTTACGACAGAGTTTACTATCATAACTATGTTTGTCATTTATTTGAAAATATATGTGGATTAAATTTGATCACTTGGCTTAGTATTAGCGATCCCCTACTTTGGTGAGTGGTTGATTTAGTAAATGTTAGTTTTTTTTGTTGTGATTAGCTTCACGTGTAAGTAGATGAAAGCTAGAAACTAGAGTGTGTATGAAATAAAGGTTAATTTCCTAAGTGTGTATGAAATAAAAGCTAGAAACTTCCTAAGAGCATGCCTTGTCATTGTGTGAGTGTACTCCATGATGTTGGCATGTACTTTGAAGGTTAACTAGTGTCCTAGTGTTTCTTTTCTTTTTAATGTTTCATGTTTGAGCGAGAATTTTGATTTACTAATCAGACAATTTGAACACTAACTAAAGATCAAGGTTAAATTTATCATAGTCCAAATCACCAAATTTATTTCGATCGACTTTGGTAATTGACGAAAATTCTGATTTCGAGGATCATGCAAAATCCATGTTAACTAACATATAAATATGAATATATGATCATCAATAGTAGTAAGTTTGTATTATGGAATGACCATAGTTAGTCAAGTTATAGAGAAATTACTAAGTGTGAGAAAAAAATGTAACTCAACGACCAAAATTAGCTTTTTCCATTAGTTTGTAAGTTGAGAAATGGGTATATATGCTACAAATTTTACTACTACAGCTAATTTCTCTAATCTGTTATGAAGTCTTGTCACGAGATTCGTTCCTCTTCTTCGTCGTTAGTATCATATTCTTCGTTCAGACAATTCCACGCCAGATTAATGCCTCAACTTATCAAAAACAATGGGAAACGTTTGTTTTCTTGTCGATACACTCGCTTTGGTAATAATAACCCTTCCTTGGTCTCTTCTTTTTTACTTTCCTAGTGATTTGCTTAATCTTTTTAGATGATTATTTACTTAATATTTTTTAGACTTCACCATATGCATCAAATTGCAATGACATAGACGACCCAATTTCAAACATAAAGTCTACAATTTGCTCAAAAGACAAACCAAATGATCATCATCACTTCTAGCAGCTCCTTTGCCTCCAGCTCCTCCACCCGAACTCGCAGCTGCAGCTTGAGCAGCCTTCTCTTGCAATGCTTTTCCATCTCTATATCATTCATTACACAACAACCACACAGATCGAATCATTACACAACCACACAGATCGAATCATTACACAACAAAAGATTCGTTTTTTGTATTCTTTTTTACCTTCACGACATTGCTCTGGCGTCAAACCATCGTCACCATTCTTACCCTTTCCTCCAGCACGAGCCACAACTCTTTCACGGTCACGCTCTCTCTGACTTCCATATGACGATTACGCATCAAAAATCAAAAGCTTGGATCAAAGAAAACAACAAACTTTGTTCTATTTTCACTAATTCAGAATCTTATAAACAAGATTAGAGAAAGATTCAACAAGATCTACTCTTTATAGAAACAGAAACAGAGAATCAAACAGAGCAATCTAGAAACGAAACTTCAATTTCATCTTTCTCTCAAAACAAACCCTAATAGGCAAGTAAAAGTGATAGCCAAACATCAACAGTGTATTTGGGAGAATTACCTTTGATATCACGGTGAAGAACTTGATTCACATGACAATAGTGAAGCCATGTGAGCAATTGCTTCATGTAACATTTTTAAATAGATTGAGTGTTAGAATAAAGTTTGAGGAACAGTAAATCTTAGTCCAAGACGATCAGCGAGTCCAGTCAAATCATGATCCATGTACTCAAAAACCATGTAGATGCCACCCTTGTATTTGTTATTATCTATAATTCCACGTATATACAAATCCACAACCTTAAGGTGAGAACAAAACCTAACGTTATTTAGATATTAAGACAGGAGTTGAATTTTTTTCACTAACCTGGCTTTCCTTGGTCATCCATGTCTCGACCTTTTAAGAGACAGAAACAGAACCATTCCATGAACCACACAAATTTTAGACTATTTAAACAGAAATTGCTAAACTTGATTCAGTGTAAGATATGTGTTACTTAAACAAACCTAGCGAAGTCACATTCTCTTTCAGCTGAATGACATTTTCATGATGAAGTTTCTTCAGGATCTTTATTTCCCTGATAGCTGTTATAGGAACTCTGAGTTCCCAACGAAACTCTGAGTTTCCCAGTAGTTGTCTGAATTCAACTCACATTATGACTTATCCATAAAATCAACTCAAAGGTATCTGGTTCATTTGATCATAATATTCCCAAATTCCATAAACCAATTGTTCAATGAACCCTGAACATTAATCAGTGATCCTTTAAACCCACACGTTGCTCCTAAAGTGTCACAGATCAATCTTTCTGTCAGAAGAGAATCGAAAAAAAACCAACATAAAGCTCAATCACAGCTTTAAACCGACCCAATGAGTTAAAAAACGCTTGACCAAAAAAAACACAAAGAATCGAGTCACTGCACACACAACAATGAAAGTAAACGGAAACACTGATAAAAGTAAATTAAAAGGCGGGAAGTGGTAGAGAAGACGAACCAGCCACGGATGAAAGAGAAGCAACCAGAGTTAGAACCATGGTTATGGTGATGATCGTGATGACAGTGATTGTAATTTTGCGGTGGAGGAGGAGGCGGTGGTCCGTGATGATGATGAGGATAACCTCCTCCGGCGAAGTAACCTTGATAACCGCCTTCGTAAGGACGTGAAGACGGTGGTGGATACGGTTGATATCCACCGGTGGCGGTGGCGCCGATGGATAACCCGGAGGTGGATAGTGAGATTGGTTCCACATTGAGATGCACAAGCAAGAACAGCAGCCCAACCATAGCAACGGCGTTTATACTCCATGATAGATGTAGCAACGACTACTAGCGTCGGCGTGACCTCTCTTCTTCCTGTTTATCTTCAACGCAACGGCGCCGTCGCCAATACAGATCTAGTTTCGCAAGTGAACGAAACAAATTTAGGTTTTAGATTTGTTGTTTGTTTTATTAGTTTTTTTTAATTCTAAATGGCAATTAAAGTAATTATTAGACCTAATGCTGGTCCTAAAGTCTTTTTAAAACTTTTTTAAGTCTTTCTAGTAAAGATCTCGTTCACTGAGCCTTTAGAATAATTAGTGGACTTTTATATGCCATTTGACGTAATTTCCCATTTCATTTTCATATTTTCTTCTTGTCTTGTTGTATTTGGTACGTTATGTATATATATACGTAAACAAGACAATAAAAATCAAAACAAGATCGGCATGCAAGTTTGTGCTTTTGTTCATCAATTATTTAGGACATAAAAAGTGAACGCAACAAAATACTATGAGCTTTGATATTTCCACCTTTTGTGATCACAAATTTCTTTCGTCTTTGTTGTCCTAACAATTAATAATACAAACCAAAATCCATAATTTTATTTGTAGGACTTAAGACATTTCCGTTTCAAAAAAAAAAAAAAAGACTTAAGCTACAAACTAAATAAAATCTATATATGTTCAGTGCTGATAAATGCCATGTAACGGTGGATAATTTAGTATTTTACCGTACGTTAATTATCATTAAAAAAAAAAAAAAAAAAATTATCATAAGATATCTCAGGACATACATAGTAATTTTTATTTTACTAAATTTTATAATGCAGTGTTACTTTGATAACCATCTTTCTCTCCCATTAAAAAGCAAAAAAGCTTCTCTCCCGTAGAAATGTTTTCTATTAATACATAAATTGTCACGTAATTTTATTATGTTACGTATCAGTGTATTCCACATTTCCACTATTCCTTATTGTTTACAACAACTAAAAATCAGATTTTCCAAAAGTGTTTTCATTTACTTATGCTAAAATTCGATCACTTTCTTATCTACCATTTTTAGTATTTTAATTTCTTAAAATCGTTTCAAACTCATTGGTATATATATTTGGAAACAAAATTGGCTAAAATCACAAAATTTCAGGCTTCATGTCTATATTCTCGCACTCTTTTGAAATTTTCAAAATATAAAATAGCGTAATTTAAAAAAATTTAAATTTGTGTGTGCACATTACTATCAAATTGAAGACTTAATTTATTTTTATATCGAACTGGTTAGATAGGCCACGTACACTCACCGTCTGAACGTGCCTTAGCCTTTAGGATTCTAAACGACGGTCATGCCCTTATGCTTTGTCTGCGTCTAATTTATTGACAATTTGGCTGTTACGTTAATGGCAACTCTCTCTTCCATACCAACTTTTTTCACTGATTTTTTATGCTGTCACTTCAATATTCTCAGACTATTATTTTAAAAACAAAATATAAAAATTATCATAAGATTTTTTTCTTCTTTTTTTTTTTTTGATAATCAGAAGGTAAGAACTTGTAAGAAGAAAGTTATCATATTTTTCCTGGTTCGGACAAAAAGCTTACAAGTGATCTATTTTGTGCATGATTTGAAGTGTGGACCAAATTAGACTTTAAGGATGGTTAAAGCAAAATTAAAAAATATTAATAGACTTTAAGGATGGCTTTGGTATATGTTAAACATGTTTGATATATGGACTATCCATAAATCAAACTGCTCAGAGAAGGTCTATAAACAGATTTGGACTATAACACGTCTAGCTAATAGTTTCCTAATAATTAGGGGATGGTTTATAATTATTGCTATATGTTGAAGAACTATTTTATAGCTAGAAAATATTGTATTGTTTATTAATACAAAATTTCATTATATTCTTTAAAAAATTCATTATATTCTTACTAATTGTTACAAAACAGCTACTAATTTTTCAAATTAGTAAGAAAATGATGAAATTTTGTTTTATTAATTTTTCTTTAATAGATGATATTCAGGCAAGTATAGAACGAAATTAAGTAAACAATGAGAGAATAATCAAAAACATAGTAGGTTTGCAGTTCAAGTACACGTACAGTGATTAACAACAGTTACCATTAGACCATCTCCAATGTATTTCCTTATTTTTACCTCTATCTCTATAATAGAGGTGGGTTTTCTCTATTTCTACTCCAATGTATTCCTCTATTTTTGCCTCTAAAAAAGAATATTCTAAATAGATTCTTTTTATTAATTTAGTATTAATACCTTTAATTTATAAAGTTGCAAATTAACCCATTTACTTTAACTCTTACAAAACTTTCATAAAATTTTATTATTATTCAAATTAAACATTTATTAAGAAAAAAAAACATAACATCATTTAAAAAAAAAACATAGTAGATTTTCTTTAACCATCGGCATTAGTGTATTTTTCCCACAAATGATCAATTAATGCATTTCGAAGTGAAAAATGAGCTTCTTTATCTTTGATTTTTCTAAATCGACCAAGAAACTCTTGGAACCGGATATCATCATCTTCTGCTTTTTGGACGGTTGGAGGTGAAACTTCTCTTTCGACTTCAATCGGGGCATCGATAGTAGTCTCAATGATTTTTTATATATATATATAATATAAGATTTTATAGAATTTATCTTTTGCAAATAGTAGTCTCAAATTTAAGAATAAGTTTTTAAATCAAAACCTCTAAAAGTAACCCAAAATATTAGTTTTATTTATTTTAATTAGAAATAAAAGGAAAATAAAAGTTAAAGGACCATTTTGCAAATAAAAAAGTTTAACTCTATTTATAGAGGAAGAAATAGAGATCTCTATATATAGAGCAAAAAATAGAGATCTCTATTTTAGAGGTGAGAATAGAGGTGGGTTGGAGTACATTTACCTCAAAAATAGAGTATAGAGGCAAATATAGAGGTGGGTTGGAGATGCTCTTAGCAGCAAAGGTGGGTTTCTAAAGAATTTCAAAATAAAGTTGTTTTCTCGAATGGGAGCCATATATGTATAAAGTACATCTACATTTATTTACCCACTCACACATTTAATAACGACAGTCGTATTATTTTATTTTGATGAATAAAATGAACGGTACGGCGCGATTTGCGTAAAAATATGTAAGCACATTATCATGCCACGAAACTGCATTTGTAACATTTTTATGCAAATGTAATTTTTTTCAATAAATAATTTACGTATGTACGTATTATAATTTCCAAAAACATTGATACTAATTTAAAAGAAAATTGACATTCTCCTTGAGGAAATGTCGAGGAAGCGATAATTAAATCGTTTAATCGTCAACAATCTCAGTTAATCTTTTTTTTTTTTTTTCTGCTTCACTCCATATATGAGTAAACTTTTTAGTTTTTATATATACGTAAACTTGCATGTAATTAACTCCATCGTTTTTCTAATTTCAATTTTATATACGATTTTTGGCTTGCAACATTTTTATAAGTACATACATAAATAAAACCGTCGGCATATTCATAAATTGACATTTCATAGTACAAATAGGGATATTTTAATTCATTGGTCGATACAAAGTTTTGTCCTAACAATAAAATTAGCTAAAAAGACAAAACAGAAATATACGGTGTCGTTTTACATTCCACGCGTTCAGCAAAATCTTTTTGTCTGCTGCATGCTCAGATGAAAAAAAAAGATCATAAGATTTGACTAATTAACAAATATTTAATCAGAATAATCAGCTGCAGCTTTACTTAATCTTATATCTTGTTCATTTTTATATATGTAAAGTTGGTTACACGGTAATATTAAATCTTTAAGAGAGCGGGGAATCCAAGAGCAAACAGTGTCTCCTTCCCTAAATTATTTATTTATACAGTATAGTATTATCAAATTGCAATTAATTCATTTTTATATGTAACTAGTGGTGACAATTAGTGGACTTCGCTTTTTATGAAAAAAACAAATCATTCATATTGAGACAACAACAACTAGAAAATATTCTACTTATTATTAAAACACAGATATGTCAATAATTGAAACTAGGTATGAGTGGATGAACAGTAAAACTAATTATATGTAACATATCATTTCCACAACCTCTCTTTACATCAATTTTCAAATTCAAGCCAAAACTAAACATTAAATAAACAGTAGTGCCACATGAAATTATAGGTCGGACCATAGTGAAAATATCCTATATATACTATTAATATATATAAACATATAAAGTCCACAGATGCTGAGAATTTAATTAAAAGGAGTACACAGCTGTAAAGCCTACAACTTTTCTTTCTCATTTATGGTGCGAACCTTTTATTGTCCTGCCCAATGCATTTTTTAATACGAGTAATTAAATATTTTTTCATTTTTATAATTTCAATTTTCAAGGACAAAATAATTCGATGTATATGTATATTATTTTTTGTGTATATATCAGCAAATTTTCACGTGTGGACAATCTACGTCAGTAGTGTATATAAACGTGTGTATGTAAGACAAATCAGTCGTTGGATTAGTAGTTGCCAACAGTTGCCTTAATTAATAAATTGGTATTTTACTCTTTTCTTTGTGTTTTTGTTAGGGTCAAGATAATATATAAATTTGTGATACTAATCATAGATATATTACGACAAAAATACGGACCTGTTCATTACTCGAAAACTATATGAAGTCGAAATAGATAATGTCCTATTTTTCTCATCATTATCATGAAATCTATTAAAAATTATCAATAGTTGTGAATCAATTGATTCGTCATGATTGCTATTCTTGATTTCAACATCGTCAGATACTATAAATTTCCGAATGAGTAAGTAAAGATTCGGACCACTGTTATTTGGGATGTCTTAAAATAAATAATTAACGATAGATTTCGTGCTATGCCCGGTAATGTTAAATGTAGAACATGGGGTGTTTTGTTTTACTTAATTGTCAATCACTAAATCAGATATTCGGATTATGAATTACGTCAAGTGCCAATCAGATTGTTTTCACTAAACTCATATCTTATTGCTTTCAAAACCAATTAACGTCAGTCCATTTATATAAAGGAAAAAACAAAGTATTTAATTAAAGTACTGTCCAGTCTATTTCACTAAGCACCTAAATATTCATAACACTAAAATT